TATCGCCACAGCTCGTCGCTGTAGGCTCTTAGCCAGGAGACCCTCAAGGGGTTTCTAGTTTGGTTGTCTATCTTTGTCATCGGCGTGCCGTGACACCATCCGGCCGTCGAAATACTTCAGCTCCTGTGCATTAGCTCTGTTTGTGATGATGGGATGATAGCACTTCGCGCCACAGAAGCTCTTTGTCGACTAGCAAGGCTGGATTCTCATCGTTCTTCACCGGTTGTTTCTGCGGCATTGACCTGAAAGGTCGCCAATGATGCCCGAACATGACATTCGAATATTAGGGAACTTCTGCAGGAATCCTGTATGAGCTGCCTTTTTTCTCGGTGAACATACCAGGACGATCCTGAAAACTCTGCTGTTTGGCCATTCTCGTCGTATCAGGAACATTCCGTGCAGGAGCTCGACGATGTCTACGACTACATCGTAGTGGGTCAGTCAATCGTATGTCACCTTGGTTTGGAGAGTTGTTGCAAACTAGTCTCATACGACAGCCATGGCTTCTGCATTCTTGGGCCATGCTGGACAACCTTCTGCGAAGGAGCTGGAAGCAAGTGAAGAAGTTGGACTCGATCAGTTGACGACGACAACTTTAGGACAGCATTCAAGAAGTGCATTGAGGGTCCTGATATTGGAAGTTCGAGCACTTATGCAGATTTCTTCGAGTCACTGGCCAGTCGAATAGTGCCTCCCTGAGAAAAGAATGCAGGACCGGACAGAGGAAGATATATCAAGTTAACCGTATCATTTGATGCATTTGTATTCCTTCAAAAGCATTGGTCTCGGCGGAAGACATTGATATGACGAACCATTTTGGTGAAACAGAAGTATCTGGAGTGCGTGAATGCAGACAATAAGCCATACGGAAAGACCTGAAACTTCAGGATCTGTGGGCTTGTCAGAATGGGAACATCAGAGGTGTGAACACGATCGGCGCTCGCTTTGGCACGACGCGATCATGTGATACGACAACTGCGACGCGATGCGTTGGTGGCTCAGCGCGACGTCAGACCTAAAGATTAGGTTCAGTGGGGAATAAACGACTATGCATCATCCGTCAAATTTTGAGTGACCAGAAATAAAGGCAGCTCAAACAGACAGAGAGCGAATAGTTTCTCTCCTCTAGCCTGATTCAGTGTTGGTTGAAACATCGGCCACTCGAAGCAACAGATGCATTGTCTCGAGATAATGAACATCTATCTTATATTCTTATGCCATGTTAGTATGCTTACAATTCAGAGCGCGATATGGAATCGATAGATGCCTCGATCTCATGCTTCCCACTCCAGAACGACCCGTGCAGGTTAGCCACAAGATGTAGTCTGCTCTGCAAGCATCACACTAGTGTTTTCTGGAAGTAAGTAACAGTGACTGAAAAAGTATGGATTCATCAGTCACTTTGCCTCTTTCTGAATCTAGATATATAGATCAAGAAATTGTCAACCTTGTTATTATAAACAAGGGCCACATGAAGCGATGGGGGAATTCAAGATGCACAATCAACACTTACTCTTTTTGGCAGATGAAAGGGGCAGATGAAAAGGGCAGGCAAAGGCTCGTTTATCCCATTCGGATACAGGCAGAGAAAACGGCGAATAAATCCAGACATAATTTCCTAACTTCAGGATTAAAATACGACCTTGGCCATTGGCCGCATCAGGAATAGGTGGATGCAAAGTGGTCCTGGTGGGAGGAGTTATGGGCTCCGCCACTGGGCTGCCACCGCTATCGGAGATGGTGCTAGACAACGACCACAAGGAGAATGTGTGGGAAAGTGCCGCCATGAAAGGATGATCATGGATTGCGAACGGCCACTTGAGGGTGGAAGGAGGAGCCTGCCTTTCGAACTGATCACGAGGCGTGCTGGAGAGACTATTGTCTACCACACCGTCTTGGCCTCATAGCGTAAGGCAATCACAAGATATGTACACAATTTCCCGATCTCTTTAGAACCCAAGACTTCGGATTTGATGCATCCGTAAGCGAGCGTGATGGCCGCCACAGACGCGTTCGCGCTCATCAACGTGTTCGAGTTGCATTGTTTGGCTCTCGTCCCACTTGCCCACTCACCACGAACATAAAAGCCATGCATTCGACCGCTGCTTGTTGACCATCTTTGCTGCCCTTCTGCGACACGCTAGACAATAGACCTGGGCGTGACATCTGTCTGTTGCTCATCATTGTTCAACTCGGCTGCCTTGCCACTCGTCATCTAATCAGTTAGGCCTTTGAGTTCGTCGTGGCCGCTCCTCCAATGGAGAACACATTGAGTACATTGTCAGTGGATTATGAAGGAGATGCACCCACGCCGTCCTTCAGCGAATGGATCAATTGGGACGATAATCCGGACCCGGGCGTGGACGATCAACAGATCTCCGACACACAATCCTTCATGAGTGTACAGAGTGAGACGACCACAGACGGCGTTCCCGTTCGTCAGGTCAGCAGTTTATGTTCGCATCATTCTGTGCACTCACCGTGAATCGAATCAGGACTTCAGTGGTTGGAAGCATCATGCCTGCCCTCCTTGGATTATGCCTGTCGACGACAAATCCTTGGAAGATGCGGAACAGTATTCGAAATGGGCCGAATCCATTGATGGGAATGAAAATCTCGTAGGATATTGGGCTGCCGTGAGTCTAGTGAGAATTCATGGATTGCTGCGATATTCATTTCGTTGTAGGCACCTGGCGAGGCAATCGCCAATGACGAACAAGGCGAAGTACAGCTGCATCCCATCTTGATGATGATGCCCCAGCCGAATCTTGCTCGACAGTCATATGATAGTATCCTACATGACAAGTGGGGATATCGGGATATGGATGGAAAAGTCGTGGTCCTGAGGCAAGAGGAAGCACAAGTCTTCATGAATAGAGCTGGTGTAAACTCCTTTCTGACGACCTCGCAACCGGAGACGATGCACCATGGAAAATGGTCGGAGCAAGGCCACATATGTCCCAGGCCTATGAAGAGGGTTCGCACCATCGTCAGTGATGTCGAACACTTGCAGGCTGCATCAAACGTCGCCCACAGCGCTGCGAGCTCTATTCGAGACTTACCCCGATATGCCGAGGACGGAGACAGTGACCGTCCAGGAAGGTGCCTCGATGTCTTCATCTAGCCTAGCATCCATCGTACGCCGCGACCACAATCCATCTGCCACGGACGTGTTCTGGTTCACGTGAAAGCAAACTCAGCCGCGCCGCATGGGTTTATCCATACTGCGATTGCTTACATCTCGTCGACGAGCAGCCAAGTCCGCCTTGAAGGATCGCACTGATCGAATCCGCGACATTGTCCTATTGGTGATAGCGCCACATTCCGAGGACAATCTCCGCTTCATCGCACATTGAAAAGTTAGAGACTGGAAGGAAATGTCGGAGACCATCTGATGTTCGCCAAAAACAAAGGTTCAAAATCTGTATTTAATTCGACGTTCCGATGTCATAACTCGAACTTACCATCATGCACAAGTACACGTTATTTGACAATGAGACCATATTGCGTGAAAATTGAGGCCCGTCCGCGAGTGGTTGCTACTCGATAGCCTAAGCCAGACAGGGTGACTTTGGTGCCGAACGACAACGTGTTGCCCTGGCCCTCTCGAGTCGCGTCCCCCTTCATCATAACTCCCACTCGGCACCTTCAAAGAACACATATTATTAGTTGATGTAAGCGTTGAATGCAGATACGCGAGATACTGACAACTACCTCTATTTATACATCTGCCTCTCATCGCTCAGCTGCGAATACGCACCACATTTTCAGCGGGATCTCGACCGTACAATGGCTACTCATTCAAATGACCCTGATCTAGACAATACCATCACCACCGAATGTAGGGAGCATCTTCTGCACAACAAGCAGCCAGTCGCTCCACCCCGTCTTCGGTTCACGACCGTATACGATTACAGCAAGGCCGCCTACGAAAACGCACAAAATAATACGACCCGCGATGGTCAACAAGTAAGTTCACCAGCCACAATGTATCCGTATTATCCTGTGTGCTTACCGTAGTTGTCAAGGCATTTGATGATGAAACCGGTCCTGGAGTGATCGACCGGCCATTGCAGAGGCGACAATCCCCCCGAGCTGCAAGTGGGTCTTCTGGATCTCTTGAAGGAGCGCGAAGAGCAATTTCATGCAGAGACTAAGGAGAGGCTTCGTAGCACCACGGTGCGTTAGATATCAACATATGAGAGCGCAAAATATATTCCGAGCAACAAGCGGCCATGATGGATGCAGGTGAATGGGAAGACGTGGTGTGCGACATAGCGAACAGAAGAAATGCAGTTGGAGGGCTGATGTTGGCAGTAAGAATCTGACTTGATCGTCTTTATATGCTGCACTGTCATATAATTTGACGCGTTGAACAACGCGAGGTCCGCTTCATCATCGATGAGACAGACTGCATGATCGACATGAGCGTAGTAAGTACACTCTTTCGTGAGCTCAGATTCCAGAGATTTGAGATGAGCAGACTGCAAGGAGAAGACTGGAAGGTGAGCAAGGTATCCCACTCATCATGGATGAACTGCAACAGGAGCAGTGACTCGAGCGTGCGAGGCTGAGTATTGAAATAGCTAATTATGGCAGTGCCCGATGTGGCCCCTCCAAGAACGCGATCATGTGATGCAGTGACGCTGTGCGACGCGTCGGTGGCTCTGCGCCACTCGATAGCGGGATCCGAGGTCAGCCGCAGTAGTCTCGCCTATCTATCCTCCTGTGTCGAACATTGAAATATGATATCTATGCATGCATCTAGAAGGCAGGGGGTTACGGAAGAAATGCGTTGATGATGACTGCTGACTTGACATGAGCTTGACCCAAGCCACATGATAGCCATGCACGATGCATTTCTCGAGCACTTTGAAGTAGATCTAGCAGTACAAACTATGGGTTAGATAGTAAAAACATGTATCACATGATTATGTGCTGCCTGTAGCTCCCTTCATAGTACAAAATGAACGACTTTAAACATTGCTAGAGAATCTTCAACGTTGGAGATGCATTCAACCAGCGGAAACCGTCAAGGCGATAGATCAGGATATATATCGAAATATTGAGTTTAGTGCTATGTCTTTCTCTTTCAGTAGATGTTCTGCAGAGGAGACAGTCCAGTGATAGCGGCCACCCGAAAAATGGAACTTGCCGGAACGCATCCACTTTTGGCCAAATCATAGTTCGCGTACTCTTCGTAATCAGCAGGCATTCTCCAATGTGAACCATCTCGAGTGCATGAAGAACGCAGACATAAGTCCAAACATAGATATATTTATCGGTGACAGATGCATGCAACGAATTGACAGTCTCTGTTAACGCTACAGCAGCATTCTGGTGGTCTGTAATCGACATTGAGCAGACGAAACAGAAGAAGTGCGCAGACACTGTTATGCTTACTTCTTTGCATGTACGTCAAATAAACGGACATTTCAGAGAGCAGAGAGGCGGGAGACGGAGCGCAGCCACGAGATAGCGCGTGGCTCGCACTGGCTTGGCCAGGCGCTTATGATAAGCGCCCATACAGATACTCGGCCGCCCGTGCCACTCCCCAAACAAGGCTTGTCCACCCACCACGACCAGTGCCCTATACCTGGTCGACGCATCGCGCGCTGACTATCGCATCTCACTGAGCTCAGCGGCGCATCGTTGCGACGTGGCCACTGCTTTATCTGTCTTTTACCTTTTGTCCTTTGTCTCTCATCGCGAACGCTCAACGATGGCCTTCGGTACCAAGTTCTTGAAAGGAGCGCGCAATGCGTTACTCAAAAAACTACCATACATTTTTCTCATCATACAGCCCCGTCCGGAGCTGTCAGAAGCTGCATGTGGTCATCGGGCTACTCCCTTCGCCTACAACACCTTTACTCTGAAGAATGCACAAATAAACACGGACGAGTGGAACGAAGAAATCCAATCAGTAAGTCAGCCAACTACTCTATCCGTGTTAATCTGTGCACTCACCATATGACATCCAACTATCCGACCTACGCCACAGGTAGCTTCCGATACTGAATCAGCAGAACCGCTGGGCGATGAAATGGAATGGAAATGCATCGTGCCTGTCAGGGATAATAGAGCATCCTTCTACAGCATGGTAGGCTGCCTTGTATCGAAGGTCATTCGTTTCGTGCACTTATACCATGGGTAGGTTGGTGGCGAACTTGTCCAGACGGCCCTTCCGCCAGTCGAGTTCATGCGTCTCTTGTTGAGAGGTGAGGAAATGGCGGTTGCATTCAACCTTGTAGAGATGTGCAGAAGACAGGTGGAAGTAGAAGCCCAGGATCTCGCGGCTGAGGTTATAACGGCATCGGTGAGCCGCACAGTGTGTGTGATGAGAGCAACGCCTGACCAATGCTCATAGAACTTGGAGACCGTCGACTCTTCCGGCAGGCCGTCTGCTGAATGGCAGCGTAACTATCGCGAGGGGGCGTATAGCTCCGGACGCTGGAACTCTCGAAGGGCTCCCAATCGCCGGTTCCCCTCCTCCTCGTCCTCCTCGTCCTCCTCTTGCGAGTTCCCAATCAGAGAGAGGACCAGTCAGCGACTCGATAATCGCGAGGAAGCTTACAACACCGGCGGTCCCAACAGGACTATTCCCTCCGGACTTTCCCCGTCGTCTATCCTCCAATGCCCTACGGTGCCTCGTATCATGCAGAACGGGATTGATCTTGATGCTTTGGAGCCGGCCAAGGAGTCTTTCGATCGGCAGCAGGGTATCGAGGGCAAGCGTACAGGTTGGCCGAAGAACGCACGTGCTGATGTGCTGGAATCGGAGGACAGCCAGTAAATGGCTTAGCACACCGCAAGTGTTCGCAATGCGCTGCGTATACGGAGGGTGAACGATCACGTGTTGAGCAGGTAGAGGATAGGAGGAAAATTGCCAGGAGATGTTGAAGAGCAATCTGACGTTCGCAAAAAATGTTTTCAAACTGTATTTATTTCAATGTTCTGCAGTCATAAATAGAACGTACTGGAGTTTTCAAGTCCACATTATCTGACAATGACAACATGTTGCGCGAAGGCTGAGGCCGATTTTTAAGTGGTTGCCACTCGATAGCCTAAGTCGGACAGGGCGGATTTGGCGCCCGACGCCAACGTGTCTTCCTCGCTCTCTTGCGTCGCGTCCCCCTTCATCATAACTTCCACTGGCCACTTTCAGAGAACACATAATGTCAGTTGATATATAATCTGGATGTGGATACGCGACATACTGATGAATACCTCTATTTGACACGCCTTTGTCTCGTCGTTCAGCTGCGACAACGCGCCACATTCTTAACTTGATCTCGACCATACAATGGATACTCCCTCAAAGGATCTCGATCTCGACAATACCACCGCCATCGAACATAACAAGTATCTCTCGCACGACAAGCAGCCGGTCGGTCCACCCCGTCTTCGGTTTACGACCGTATACGATTACAGCAAGACTGCCTATGAAAACGAACAGAGCAATACGACCCGTGATGGTCAACAAGTAAGTTCACCAGCCACGATGCATCCGTATTGTCCTGTGCGCTTACCGTAGTTGTCAAGACTCTTCACGACGAAGCCGATCCTGGAGTGATCGACCGGCCGCTGTTGAGGCGAGAATCGCCCGAGCTTCAAGTCGGCCTTCGCGACTTGTTGATGGAGAGGGAAAGGCATATCAATGCAAAAATCAGGAAGAGGCTTCTTCGAGGCAAGGTGAATTATAAGTCAACGTATGAGCTCGGACGACATATGGACGTGCGTACAGAAAAAGGTGGACAACGGACATCGCAGTGAGGCCGCAACTTCCTCAGGGCAAGAGACTGAACTATTGGCGAGTTCAGAGACACAAACCGTGCCCTGCGCTCGTGCCAATGGACAAGCGCTGGACGATGCCGCCGAGGTGGAGACGGTCCCAAGAGGCAGCCTTGACGGTTAATGATGTGAGTTCAGTTCAATTCTGATTCTCGCCTTGTCTGCTAACAAATGTCCAGCGCAAGGACACCAGTATGAGCGGCATGCGAGCGGACGTGCCAGGCATGCCCCGCGCTGGAGCAGCCACGAAGTCGCTTTCTTGAATCAAGAGTCAAAGTGCAATTCCCAATCTTCTCATCACAACCACACTTCCTCCCCCTCAACTTCTCCATCCATGCGGCATTATCTTCCGAGCGACAAGCGATCACAATGGATATAGGCGAATGGAAAGGCGTAGGGCGGGACATGAGGAACGCAAAAAAGGCAGTTGTGAGGAAAATCTGACTTGATCGTCTTTGTATACTGCGCTATAATTTGATGCATTGAACAACGCGAGGTCCGCTTCGTCGTTGATGAGACAGCCTGCATGACCAACTACGCGCCTGCACAGAACCGTCGTCATCGTGAGCGTAGTACTCTCCTTCGCGAACTCGACTTCCAGGGCCTTGAGACGAGTAGATCACAAGGAGAACACAGCAAGGCGAGCAAGATATCCCTGTCATCATGGACGAACTTCAACAGGAGCAGTGACTCGAGCGTTAACGTTGACGTTGCAAGGCTGAGCGTTACAATAGCCAATTAATTATGGTGCCTGTGGCTCCGATGTGGCCCTTTCGTAATTACATCACCGATGATTAAAGGTAGATTCAGTGATAAGTTTCATTTCAATATGACAAGCACTAAGACAACTAGAATTTACGGTATCTAAGTTGAGTTCGCCAGGATCCGGATAAAACCTTGCGTAGCATTTCTCATCGATAGTTTTCATTACGGGGCTGCCTAACGCTGCCATCCACATAGAACCTCCTGTTCGGGACCTGTTCGGGAATGAGTGGATGATGCCTCCAACGGTCCGTAACGAGTCGCGTAAGTGAGCGTCGTTGTTTGGTACGCCATCGCCATAAACGACCGACAAGATAAATCTCAGCCAGCGAGATACTGTAAACTGTCAAACTCTCCCAGAACGAAGCAGAAGGATCGCTACAAGATCGTGCATTGAAGTCTGTGCTCGCTGTGCGGCCATTTTCGTGTGGCGGGAACCGATAATGAGCACCATAGTGCCACCTTGGCTATCGACTGCACGAACTGGAAGGAGCACGTGCACGCGAAGTGGTCTTGTTGGGCAGACTTGTGGGCTCAGCCACTGAGTGGCCACCACTTTCGGAGATGATGCTGGACGACGACAACGAGGGGAGGAGAATGGGTGCCGCCAAGAAAAGATGATCACCGTTTGCGAGCGGCTGTTTGAGGGTAGAAGGAGGAGCGAGCCTTTCAATCTGTTCGCGACGCATCTGAACAGACTTTTGTCTAGTACATCGTGTCGGCCACATAGCTAAACGCACTCACAACATATATAAAATTTGCTAGTTTGTTTTCTCAGTCCAAGACTCCAAGTTTGATGTATCCCTAAGCGAGCATGATGGCCGCCACAGACGCGTTAGTGGCCATCAACGTGTCCGATCTGCCTCGTTCCACTTGCCCACTCACCACGAGCATAAAAGCCACACATTCGACCTCTGCTTGTCGACCACCTCGGCTGCCCTTCTGCGACACGCTAGACAGTAGGTCCAGGCGTGGCGTCTGTCTGTTGCTCACGTTGTTCACCTCAGTCGCGTTGAGCTCGCTATGGCCACTCCTCCAGTAGAGAGCACGTTGAGCACCTTGTCAGTGGATTATGAGGGAGACGCGCCTACGCCGTCCTTCAGTGAATGGATCAACTGGGGCGACGATCCAGATCCGGAGGTCGATGATCAACAGAGTCCCGACACACAAGTCTTTCTGAATACACCAAATGAGACGACCACAGACGGCATTCCCGTTGATCAGGTCAGCAGTCAATGTCCGTATCATTCTATGCACTCACCGCCATATTGATCAGGAATTCGCCAATTGGAAGCACCGCGCCTGCCCGGCTTGGATTATGCTTGCCGAAGGCAAGTCCTTGGAAGCCGGGGAACAACTCGTGCCGTGGCTGTCTGCACTTCTTTGGCAAGTCAGAGGTCGGAGCAGTGAGCTGCTCTATGCCTCGTCAAGGCAGTGCCGTGGTGGGGTAGGCCGGACGTGGAGTGTCCTGGGTCCGAACTCCGAGCGGAATCCGGGTGCCTGGGGTGTGCCAAGGGAGAGCGCGAGGAACGCCCGCTCGGCACGCACTGCGTGACGAAAACACAGAGCAAACGTGCGAAGCAAGATGCTGGGAGAGGGTGGGTGGGAAGAAGACGAAGTGTCGTGTCGCGGAGACGAGTTGGGAGATGGTGGTCGCAGGACAAGACGCGCTGGTGGCTGCGTCACGCGTTCGTCCTGCGACATGTCGTCACGAGTCTCAGAATTCGATGGGACGTTGTCACGATCGAATTCCCGCAGTATTGGAAATGGGCCGAATCAGTTGACGGGGATGGAGGATATTGGGCTGCCGTGAGTTTACTAAGAGATTGTGGATTACTGTGGTATTCATTTGCTTGTAGGCGCCTGGCGGGCAAACCGCCAGTGGTGAACATGGCGAAGTACGGCCGCATCCCATCTTGATGATGATGCCCCAGCCGAATCCTGCCCGACAGTCATATGATAGTATCCTACATGGCCAGTGGGGATACCGAGATATGGATGGGAAAGTCGTGGTCCTGAAGCAGGAGGACGCACAAGTCTTCAGGAATAGAGCTGGTGATGACTCCCTTTGGACGACCTCGCAACCGGAGACGATGCGCCATGGACAACGGTCGGAGCAAGGCCCGGTATGTCTCAGGCCCACGAAAAGGATTCGTACCAGGTTAGTGATATCGAATGCTTGAAGTTAGACAAAATGTCTCATTGCCTGCAGGATATCGAGGACAAGGTCTCCGGATCAGAGAGCAGCCGAGAGACGGCCTAGTACGCCGCAAAGATTCGAGAGGCGACGCATATACGGAAGGAGAACGATCGCATGATGACCAGTTATAGACGGGAAGGAAGACTGCAATGAAATGTCGGAGGACATGTGATGTTCGCAAAAAATGTTGCAAAACGTATTAGTCCGGCGTTCCGATGTCATAAGTAGAACATGCCATCGTATCCCAGTACATGTTATTTCATAATGAGACCATATTGCGCGAAAATTGAGGGCCCCTCCGTGAGTGGTTGCCACTCGATAGCCTAAGTCGGACAGGGCAGATTTGGCGCCCAACGCCAACGTGTCTTCCTCGCTCTCTTGCGTCGCGTCCTCCTTCATCATAACTTCCACTCAGCACCTGCAGAGGACAAATAATGTTAGTTGGTATACAAGCTGGATGTGAATACGTGACATACTGACAATACCTATTTGACACGCCTTCTGCTCATCGTGCAGCTTCGATAACGCGCCACATTCTCAGCTGTATCTCGACCATACAAATGGCTACTCCCTCAAAGGACTCCGGTCTCGACAATACTACCGCCATCGAACGTAAAGAGCATCTGTCGCACGACAAGCAACCGATCGCTCCACCCCGTCTTCGGTTCACGACTGTATACGATTACAGCAACACTGGCTATGCAAGCACACAAAGATATACGGCCCATGAGGGTAAACAAGTAAGTTCACCAGCCATGACACGTCCGTATTATCCTGTGTGCTTACCGTGGTCGTCAAGACATTTCACGATGAAGCCGGTCCTGAAGTGATCGATCGGCCACTGCAAAGGCGACAATCCCCCGAGCTGCAAGTAGGCCTTCTGGACTTATTGAGAGAGAGAGAACAGCACATCAATGCAGAATTTAGCAAAAGGCTTCTTAAAGACATGGTAAATTATTTATCAACACACATGGGCGTACAATATATTGACGTACGTGCAGAAGGATTTGCCCAGCAAACATGGCATTGAGAATGCGACTTCCTCAGGGCAAGAGACCAAGCTATTTGCGAGTTCGAAGCCGCAGACTATGGCTCATGTTCATGTCGATGGACAATCGCTGGGAGAAGCCACCGAATTAGAAAGTCGGTCTCAAGAGACAACCTCGACGGCTGCTAATGTGAGTTCGATTCACACCTCGTTGTCGCCTTGTCTGCTAATGGGCATTCAGTGCAAAGACATTGCTGTGGTCGGCGTGCGGGCAGACGTGCCAGGCGTGCCCCGCGCTGGAGCAATCGCGAAGCCGTTTTCCTGAATCAAAGATCCGAGTGTCTTTCCTCGCGTCTTCATCACAGCTTTACTCCCTGCCCCTCAATCTCTCCATCCATACAGCACTACCTTTCGAGTAACAAGCGACCGCGATTGAAACAGGCGAATGAGAGGGCGTAGAGCGCAACATGACGAATGGAAGAGAGGGGGGTTCGGAAAGATTTAATGGTGCCAGTAAGGACCTCGGACTCAATCATCTTTGTATGTTGCAATGCAATCCGATGCTTTGAATAATGCGAGATCCGCTTCGTTGTCAACTGCATGGTCAACCAGGTGCCTGCACCGAACCATCCTCATCGTGAGCTAGTACCCTCCGTCCCGAACTCGATTTTGCTGGGCTTGAGACGAGAAGACTGCAACGATAGCACAGCAAGGCGAGCAAGACATCTCAGTCGTCGTGGACGGACGTTGACAGGAGCAGTGATTCGAGCGCGCTGAGCTGAGCATTACGATAGCCAATTATGGTGCCTGTGGCACCGATGTGGCCCTTTAACCGTAAGTATTCCTGTTAGTTACGCTTGTGTAGATAAGTTCCATGTGTCAATATGATAAGTTCTACGACAGTTGCAATCTAGGATATTTAGGCTAAGTTTTGTTAATGTCCAGATTAACCTTGGGTAACGTTTCTCTTCGAGAGTTTTCATTCTGGGGCCGCCTAAAGCTGCCACCACGTAGACAACCTCCTGTTCTGATATAAGTGGACGATGCGTCCAACGGTCCACAATGAGTCGCGTAAGTGAACGTCTCGTTGTTTGGTACGCCTTCGCCACGAATGGACGCCGGCACGGAAACGATTGCATGATCTCAAGACTGTGGTTTTACGTTTCAGTGGGTATTGAGCATGACTTGTAAAGGACATAGACTCACAAATGACCAAAACACGACGTCGCTGTTCCACCAGGGATCACACAGCATGAACGGGTTCTAGCAGACCCTGCTGACATGTTCTTCCTTTATCATATCAGCGCACTTCTCGGCGACCGCGACAGTAGCTGCAGCAAGATGAGTGCTCAAGATATGTGGAAACACGCTAGAGTCAGCAATCCGCAGTCCCCGCACGTCATGCACTTGCAGCCTGTCATCGACCACCCCGCCTGCATGAACTCCGCCGTCTTCCGGCGCCATCCTACACGTAGACGAATAATGATACGACGTCTGCGCATAGCGGCGAATGAATTCGTTGACGTCGGAGTCGAATTCGCTCGGCGGCACGAGATAGTCACGGATTGGGTAGCCTCTAGCAGCAATTTGCTCCTTGAGGCGCATTGTGAAACGGATACCCTGGCGCATGATCGTCCAGTCGTAGTCGGTGGCAAGATAGTTCAAATCAACAACGGGATCATCGCGAGGGTCGCTCGAAGCCAATCGAATCGTTCCTTTCGAGGTTGGTCTCAGCGGTATCACGAGGAATCCGACGCCGCCATCGCCTTTGACTTTTGATGCCGCTATGTCGCTCCAAGCGATCTGCAAATTATGTATCTAGCCAGCGGAAAGAGTTTGATTAAAAGCCTCACGTACGGGCATGACTTCAATATCGGGTATATTCATGGGCAACGAGGCATCCTCGTCTGCCTTGGAAGGTGTGATCGTACGAAAGTCTGCATCGAAGAGCCGCGACTGGAGGAAAATGGATAGCTCCAGCACCGGAGCGAGCAGGATTCCAAGCCCAAAGAAAAGGTATAAGAAGAGTTCCTTGATGATTAGCCAAGGTCGAACTTGCAGTTGCACCACAGAGTCGCGTAATGGCACCCGATACTGCACAGGGACGCCCAGATGGTCTTGCTAGAAACAATGCACAGAATCAATGCAACCGATAAGTATAATCGGAGCACCTGAGGAATTCACCAGGTGAGATCCTACCCCAGCCAGATGCTTCATGACCGGAATGCCATGCTTCTCTAAATGTTCTTGCGGGCCAATCCCACTGAAGGCGTCCTCGAGAATATCAGAGACAGTAGCTTCTATTGGAATGGAGCCATTACCTGAGCATCAGGATCTGAGGGGATACTACAGGACCGGCCGACAAGATGACTTCCCTTCGCGCCCCAATGAACCTTGATGACGAGCGCCCATCAAGAGCCTGGATATGGACACCCTTTGCCTTTGGAATATCCTTCTCGCCCTTCTGCACGTCAATGCGAAGCACGGAGGTGCGTGTGCAGATGTGCAAGCGCTGCGCACGCTGTGATGCAACCGACTGGGGCAGGAATGCCGTGAGGGTGGAACTGCGGTAGCCACGCTGGTCAATATTGAAGTGCATCTTCGCGCAGCCGTGTGAGGGATGGAGAGGGGAGTTGAGATCGTCTACGTATGGAACTCCTAATGCCTTCGCGCCTTCGATGATTCTGAGACACAATCAACGCTCAATTGGGGTCGCCAGGTCGATATGTTAGCACTCACGGAGTAGTATGACCCCAAACATTTTGCTTGTACGATCTGTTTTGCCACGGGCCTGTATGAGTATACAAGCCTTCAGTTCCTGTAAAAGCAATGTATAACGGACGAAACCAGACTAACCAGATACGCCATGAAACGCGTCGGCACTTTCTGGGTTCTGATCGAGATCCGTCTCAGACTTGACGAAGTACGGCTGAATCTCATCGTAGCTCCACCCTTTATGCCCCGCCTGGCTCCACGAATTGTACTCCGCGGGAAGGCCGCGCGTGTACAGCATGGCGTTGATCTTGGATGAGCCACCCAACGAGTTACCTCCAGCCAACTCGAACGCGCGCCCGTTGACGCGTTCCTGCGGAATGGACTTCCAAACACGAGAGCGCGAGCCATCTGATGCGAAATGAGAGGAAAGCAATGGTACCCGTGCGATCCAAGAGTTCTGCACGCCTCCGCGCTCCACCAGCAGCACTGTCGCAGATTCGTCTTCGCTGAGCCTGCTAGCGAGCACGCATCCAGCAGTGCCGCCTCCTACTGTCCAGTAAACAACTCTCCAACTCGATCTGGCACACGGGTTGACTGACCAACTATGACATAGTCGTAGACGTCCTCGAGCTCTTGCATGGAGCGTTCCGGGTACGACGAGAATGGCCACATCGGCAAGCAGCAGAGCTTCTAGGGTCGCCCTGGCATCATCACTGGGAAAGAAGGCAGCCTTATATAGGATTCCTGCGGGAATTTCTCACATCCGAATGTCATCTTTGGGCGGTAGCCGCAACCTTGTCGAATTTTGATGCGTTTCAGATCAATCACCGCAGAAACAACGGATAAAGAACGATGAGAATCCAGCCTTGCCTAGTCTTGCTAGTCGACAAGGACCTTCCGTGGCCCGGTGAGGCATTCGCACTACCGCAGCAAGCAAAGCTGGTATACAGGAGCTGAAGTAATTGGAACGACTGGCCCGGGATGGGCAAGACAAGCGGGAACAAGCGCCGGACTCACTCAAGCTTAGGCGACCAGGCGGCACCCTGATGCTTTCTTCTCAGAGAAGGCTCGCTCATTTGATTTCATCAACAATCTAACGACACAAATAAATAACGAGACATTGTACAGGCACGAAAGTCAACTAAAGAACTTCCTAGTACTTAGTACTTGGAAACAAGTATCGATCGCTACCAACACAAGCCGCATGGCAATGACTCGCGGCTGTATTTAGGCGTGCAGGGAAAGGAATATGGTGACACTTTCGCAACGATGGTCGCGGGGGTATGGACAGGCGTAGCGCAAGGTGAACGTGAGGTGCTAGACAGCCTGTTTGGCGGAAAGTCTAGGGGATGTATTGCCTGGTTGTACCGTACGCGCGAGCATCCGAGTCAGGCCCGGCAACCTTCGCCTACATGCCTTGTCAGCGGATGGATCATCAGTAGTTCGAGGCCACATGCTCACGGATGCGAAGTGCATTTCCTCCGATTGATCGTCGATCGAGGAGTCGCCAGACCTAGCAGTCGGTAACGTTGGCCTGCCCACTTTGAACTCGACAGGAGCCATATTGGGAGCTGAAAATCCTTCGCTAGAGTTCGTTGCATATCCTTTCACGGACTGTCGGCTGTTCAACCTGAGTACCAAAGTTTTAGCAAACAGCATATACGATCTCTTCAGGCAGCACTCACGTCGCAAGAAGAGTATTTGTGTAGGCTACGAGGACGAGCTATGAGGTTCACGCTCTTCGGAAACATGAAAAACGCACCTTTTGATACAATGATGTTGAAGACCTCGAATGCGAGCGTATCAGGGGCGACCAGGTACTATCAAAGTTGCACGTCAAACGGGCGTATATGACTAATGTTTGCGACGCTGCTCACGGCAATGAGTCCTCCAATGCTGACGATGCTGGGAAGACGTACAGTCAATCCAACATGTCGGTGCGAATATATGCTGTACTCACGTAGGGAGCAGGCCAGTGTTGATCGTATACACGGTCAGCCTCTGGATGATCTTATCGGTCCTGCAAGAACAGCATTCAGAATCCCTGCTTCACGCTCCTGTATATGATGCGCTTACTGAATGAAACCAGTACGACTCTTGTACAGTTGCCAGCAAATCGTGCAGGCGATTATAAGATCAAGGGCTGCTGTTGTGGTGTCCGCGGTGGTCGCAACCCACTTCAGAGAAGCTTGTATAAGCTGTTACTCGAGAATGCGCCCTTGCGTCACGTACCCGTAGGCCAGTTATACTTGTCCACAGGCGCTCTCCTCCGATAACTCTATGACCGGTATAAGTCAACTATGGCATGTCAATTTTTCATACAGTTAACTCACGATTTTAGGGATGCAACTGAATTCCGGACAATCAGCAACAGAGCAGGATATTCCAGAGGTCTCACCCACCGAAAGCCAGCGCTGAAGGAAGTTTTCATTCAGCCTTGTCGCAGGCCATACACCAATTTAAAATACTCACCGAGAGGTAACAGCGAGAACACAGCCTAGCAAGGCCATCAGCGTCAAGGAACAAACGCATCTACTTCTTCAACACTTACAAGGAAGACTACGTAGATCACCAAACGTCTGTTCACTGTAATGCAGTGAGTCCATGCCCACAGTCGAGAGGCACTATAGCTTACGCATCCATATGCGGTAGATTAGGAATCTGCTCAGAAATCTCAACACTACGGCGTGCTCAATCTGATGAGCAACTCACTCGTGGACAATGAAGGCTATGATACCCTGCGAAAATGTGAGTAGTGGTCACTCGTAACGTGCTTCGAGTAGACATACAGAGACGATTGGCTCGGTCTTGAGTTGACATCAGCAATCGTCGGCTGCCAACGCAAAGAAGACGTACAGCAAGGCCCCTGTTATCCAGTTCATGAGACGGGACGATTAGATTAAGCGATGCCGCACACACTCACCAATCCATGTACATAAGCGCAAGTGGATCCAGGAAGTCCGTGATCAAGTATTTGTATAGGCCGTACGCAATCATCGCTAACGAGAGCGAGTCGAGAAGCCTGTACCGAAAGGTCATGATTCGTCGGGTTATCGGCCGTGATACTTGAAAACATACCATAGCAAGGCCACCTGCGAGGATTGGGAACCAGTTAGATCCGAAGATATCACAGTAGACTCGACGTACTAGGAGTTTCAGGACAATCTTGTCATTTGGATAGGTCGTATACTTCACGTCATGGAATGACTACATCAGCACCCCAAAGTCTTAAGCCGCACGTAGTCAAAGACCATACATAGAAGATCGACTGCAACGTCGTTATTCCATGAAACCTAGCATGTCGACATGTCAATGAGTCTCTGGGTAGTTTTTCTGGAAAAAGAAAGGCTTACACCGCGCCCAACAGGAGACCAACAAACGTAGCGCCCATCGTGGGATTGAGGTCAATGAGAGCCATGGCAGCGAGCGACCGAAGCGAGAAAGATCAAGGACAGAACCACACGCGTCAGCACCGTCTCCGCTCATATACTCATCTGAGCAATTCAGTCTCTCCGATGGCATACCCGACACGCGCTTCGCAGTTGATCATCACAGCATCGGTGGCTCTGCAGCCGCACGCCCAAGCTCGCATCAGAACAACGTAGCCAGAAAACGAGCGAACAGCCCGGCAGTATCACCGAAGACCAATGCACGAGTTGATCTTTAGGCACGAGCGTCCGTGGCTCAAACGCGTACCACTACGCCAAGACCTCGCTTGATCATCAACTGTTGATCCGGCGATGCAGAATTTGCTTCCGCGCCGATGACTTGAAGATTTTCCATTATGAGACATGGTCTAATTTCTAAGCGAGATACAGGCAGGGTTTAGCCTGCATCAGCGAGAATTTGGGGAGCAGGACGCACAATTGACTTACTGCACCATATGCTCAGGGACCCGACCCAAGGGAGATGTTCTGATGGACATTGCAGCCGCGCGCTACCATTATCATCATACATCAGAATGTCGGCGCACGGTCTTCCGCTTCATCAAAGTCTAGAAGTCTCAGACTGGTGTTATGGAGCACGAACGAATCTATTGAAACGTAGGGAAGGGGCTTTCGCGCGCTACGTATGCACCGTTCGGCCCCGCTTCTCAGTCTTCTCGCATCGCCATTGGCTTCCGCAGAATCCACTTGTGAGAACCGCAGAGCGGATCAAAGTCTCAAACTTGATGTCCATGTATTGGATAAAGCGTAGATGGCTGTTGTTACATTGCAATCTGCATCGCATCACGGGTACGCACCTCCTACGGAAGATCTATCCCAAGGTCCCGCAGTATACCCTCCGTCGTCTCCCACAGCTCCTTTGCCAACTCGGGGCTCTCAGCCAACCGGCTTGGTTTGCCCACGATTCCCGGAGGAACAATGTACGCACCGCGATAGGTCCTCGATTCGGCACGTACCGCCGGCGCTGCAGCAGCGAAGGCCGGGGCATAGCCGCCTACTTCCGGACGCTCAAAGAAGGTACTGGCTATGAGACTGTAGATGGGGGAGAGGATGGGTCCGACCGAGTGAGCGTACTTCTGCACTCCTTCTGAGGACGGTTGTAAGGCCCGAATGCGGGTGCGAGAATGCGACTAGGAAAGGAGAAGAAGACATACTCACCGGTATTGACGACGCCTGGGTGGACGGCCATCACGATGATTGGAACGCCCTCTGCATCGAGTCTTCTCTGCAACTCCTTTACGAACAGGATTCCCATCAGTTTACTCAACGCTACAGCATTTTGGTCAGTACAGGCACCTAAATTCGTGCACCTCTCAACGCACAGTATCGCTGGTACTGAGGAAGCGAGTAATCACTGTATTCAACGTTGAAGTCCTCGACGTTGCGGAAGCGCACGTCACTCGGTGCGTTGAAGTGCTCCTTGGAGGTAAGCTGCAGATCATGTTAGCGATCATTTAGCAGCGTGTTCATGCCACCTACATGAACAATGCGAACATCACTGTTCGGCTCTTCCGCCGTCCGCTTGAGTATCGGAAGCAGGGTTCGTATGAAGACAAAAGGGCTCAAATAACTGCGACGCATCGTAAGATCCGTTGGCCGTTCGCCAGCGCCCACATGTGACGCTCACTTAACCATCACGACATCTTGTATCCCTGTTACACCACCATCAGGTAAGGATTGAATTGCGCCACGTACTAGCAAAACCTACCATCGGACGTCTTCGCATGGGGTACAAGCAATCTGTCACGAGTATAGAATTAAGCGAGATGTGTCTCCAGTGTCTAAATATGCTCACAAGGCAGCACAATTCACTGACGGATTATCGTTTTAACGGGTTAGCGAAGAACACGGTACTGCAAATAGAATGCCTGTACCCACGGCGTCGAGTCTCTCCTCTTTCTCCTTGAGCGACTCCGCTGCTTTCTTCGCGAGTTGGGGATTGCTGAAGTCGGTATATAGCCATACTACTTGCCCGGATCCGGTCCCGGAAGCACGCAGCCTCTCAAGGGCACGATCCGCGCGTTCCTTGTTGCGTGCCGCCATGTAAATCTTCGCTCCTCGTCTAACAAGATGTTGTATGGTCGCGAAGCCTATTCCTGCGCTGTCGTAACAATCAGTAGCTGTGAAAGACGATACATCTGGACAACGACTTGCTTTCCTCCAGTGACAACGATAACCTTGCCGGTCAGATCGGGGAGGTCATCCGGAGTGAAGCCTTTGGAAAAGAGCGATCCCATGGTGGCAGTGAAGAAGAAGAGACGGGAACGTTTGACACCGTGGCAAATAGCATCTATATATTAGCTATACGGACGCGACGTTCGGCGGCGTGTAGGGCCTGCTTGGGGCCCCATGCGAAGTCGAGACCCCATCAGAAAGCGTACGAACGCGGATTAGTGCCCTTTAAGCTCCGGCATTCACACGGTTCATCCCGTGAACGAGTTGCGAGGGAATACAAGAAGAAATTGGTCCCTTCGTTGTGAAGGGCAGGAAACAAGACGGTGGTGAGAGTCAAATGTTGATCAGCTGCCAGGATCGTCGGCGGAAGCAAATCCGCAGATCAATTGATGGCTTCCAGATTAGACAGAATGATCGACAGACGCTTTGTCTCTTCCTCCATGATCTCTGCAATGGTGATTCACAATCCATGCACCATCGATTCACAGATGTTGTCTAGTGCGAGAAATCGGTGTATACTTTTCATCGACATCGTAGGAAAGGCTCGTAAAGTTAATGCAAAGGATTCTCCCGGTCTTTAGCCACGTGCAAGACCGCAGCTTCATAACGTGAACATCGTATCTTTACCTTCATTACAAACTGTTGAACATGCCATGTAGCAAGGTATTTTGGAAGTTGAATACGTTGAAGACCTTGCGACAAATCTAGTCAGTACTACCCACACGCTCACATGACTCCCTTCCCAGACGCGACGCGCTTGCGGCTGAGCGCTACCGGTCTCCACTTAGGACAAAGTCAAATCTTTGCCAACTTATCAGCAATGTGAGGTGATACACAGTTGTCTGTTGATGAGTTATAACTTCATAACCGAGATCCCGTGTATTCATAAAGGAAATTTGCGGTAGGGTGGTATGGAAACAATATCTGATAAACATACTGCTGAAGCCGCAACACGGATTTAGAGACACTTCAGCCTACTTTCACATCAGTAGCAAAATTATGATCAAGTTTTCCAAAACCTGGCGACCCTGGTTGTGATCGAGTGCGTCAACGAGAACTGTGACACAGAAGTATTACAGGAATGGACGGATGCTGAAGCACCAAACCGAGATCAGGCCGACGATAGTGTCGCATAGAGGTCAGTTACGGACAATAGCAGCAAGCAAGCTCGATTACTGAACCACAGTTTACATATGTGAAACTTTAGCGATCGTGTTGGAACGCGAGACTCTAGCCACAAGATCCCCAGACTCTGTGCCGCAATCCACTATGCAGAGGTTGTGGTCACTAGCGATGTCCCTCGAACAAGTGGAATAAGAAAATGAGAACCAAACTAGTTAAGGAGATGGACAGTTGAAATCAGTAGGAGAACAATCCGCTCGAAACTTACAAAAGGAATGTTCAAGGCGCGGCCTGATCTTGCCGATGCCTCATCGACCCAGTGGACGTATCGGTTCGCATCAGGCAGAGTACGATAGATAGACAAAGGATTCCCTCCAGGAGATACCACTGATAAAAAAAGGAGTTCAAATCGGATGAGGGACAGCCGAACGAAATGAGATCCGTCATTGAAAGAAATTGCTCACACACGCTGCTGTGGCACAACTAGCTGGGAAAGAGGGAAGAGTGGCTCACCTCTCGCACCTTGCTTGCACATGAGTTCGAGTGGCTCACCCGCCACGCGCACCCTAGCCAATCCCGGCACAGTGGAATAGGCGCTGGAATTGGAACCGCATCTCGCGTTCGAGCCTTTCTCGTCCCCTCCCTTCTTCCTCCACTCCATACACCCTTATTGCTCTGTCACAATATCATGCAGTTCGGTTACATGTCAAACACGAGAAGTCCAGATACAGAAGTATATCCACATGCTCACCGAGGACAAAGAAGCAGTGGCGTATTCATGACTTTGTCTCCGCCCTCGAGTGTGGCGCTCAGTGTTGCTCCACATATTCGACCAGCCAGCATCCCCATGAGGCTCGTGCCCAATATCCAAGCTACGGCAAAGGGAATTGACATGCCTCGGCGTTTTCACGTTAACACTGGTTCCAACGGACATCCGACCAGGCCCCCACGTGTGGCGTCCAATGCGCCTCCCCGCCTGCGCTCTACACACGATCTCACAATATCTCATTCTTGGGCAGCTCTCAATCCTAACAAAGCCGAAGATACCAGAAAAGTGTCAGATCTAACGCGCTACATGCAAAGCCATGATCGCCCTTCGGACATCGGTGACCGGGAGGTTTCACCTGAGATAATCTATGTAAGCACAGAACAGAATGTAACGGCCAAGGTTGGTCAGTTGGTAAGTCAGCAAACCAGCACTTGATCGCAACATTCCCTGTGCTCACCGCATACCGAGAAGGCTCCCAACCCGAGAGTCATCACTGGCACGCAAGGTGGACTGAGACCAAGGGTACAGTCGCTACACCTGTCCAGCGCAAACCTCAGCCTCCTTTCCGGAGATGGGCCATCGAAATCGTCGAGTACGATTGATGGAATCGCTCACAATGAACGCATGGTGTGTAAACTCGCAGCACTGTGAAGATTATTTGGACTGATTCTCAAGCAGATACAAACAGCTACTCATGAACGCCCGAGGGCTTGGATTACATCGAGCCCCACGCACCGCTCGCCATTGACCACAGAACCAGGCGTACCGCCACATTCCATCACTGAAAATTTGTTCGGCGTGAAAGGCACAATCTTGAAGGAGGGCTTCTAGCATAGTGCTGTAGTCAGTATAAATGTGAGTACAACGTTGGAGGACATCTCCCAGATCTGCCGCTTACCATAACTGGCGCCATTAATGCAACTAGACGGTGTATTCTCTGTCTGACCCAATCGTGAGACCAAAGGCACCCGAGCCGCTGGAGTGCGATACGCAAGAAGTGAGGCCTGCGGAGGATGATGAGCTCGTTGACACCGCTTATCATACAATTGCGTGGTTAATCCAGTCAGCGGAAGACATCGATTGGTCGGAGTTGGCTCGCAACCATGCAAACACCAGTCGAGCCAGACAGACCACCGTCCAAAAAATTGTAAAGAAAATAAAGAGCTCTGGGGATACTCACGCGACTCCTCCTATTCCAACAGGAAGATACAAGCCGTCCTCTATGTTGGCTTATCTGCACTCGGATCTCCACCTACAACGGCGAACGCAAGCTACACGAATTCGCGAATGGAGAGAGATGTCGGATAAGGCTCGTCATGATGCAACCATGCGAGCGTTCTGTGACACGTTCGAAAAGGGCGCAGTACAGACGATGATCGCGAAGCGGCCGATCCTGGAAGCGGCGTCCGATGGCGAGGTGAGGCGAGTAGCATCGTTGTGCAATGCACATCAAGAGGAACGCTCAGAAGCTAAGAGAGCATGGAAACAGTGCAGAAGGACTAGGAATAGGCATATCAACTTTGGCTTTGTCAACAAAAGTATCAACTCGGACAATCGTGTGCCAACGTCGACAGTCTTCTCCGTTTGACCTAGTTGCCTGTGGGTCGATATTTACAGCAGTTGTAGCATAGTGCGTGCCATAGCTGAGCATCGAGATATCATAAATCAAACGAAAAACACAGCGAGGAGCGACGTGATACTGTGAAAGCGCTGAAGGAACGCGCCGGTCAGTGGCGCCAGCGTCGCTCACTGCAAGGTGGCCGGTGGCGGTCGATCAGCTGGCCACATTCCACCTTGTGGCCGATTCTGGGTCTCTCCACGCGGTATCGTTTCTCCCAAAGCTTCTCATCATATCAACACATGGAGAGGAGGTGTACCGTATCGATTTGTCTTTCAAGAACATGACAACTCATTGTAGAGCAGGGGAACACCCAGCTGCAGAAAAAATGATAGATAAGAACCATAAGATTGGACTCGATCAAGGTCACATTTCTACGACACGTTTAGGCCATAGAAGATGATGAAACTGATTTTTTGAGAACACGAGTTCGAGTGGCACTGGACACGCGCACGCTAACCAATCCCGGGATGTAAGCCACGGGGAATTAGACGCCAAAAGTCTGAACCATTACTTCGCGTTCGCGCTCGCGCTCTCCTGATCCCCTCCCTTCAACTCTCGCTTCACATACGGTTATCCTACTACCAGGATATTGTGCAATACATGTCGAACCTTCAATGCCCACACAAAAACGTTCCGCCGGCTCACCGAGGACAGAGGAGCAGTGGCATATCCATGCCTTTGTCTCGACGCTCCGTCGTGGTGGTCGGTGAGGCCGCGCATAATCGACCAGCCAATACTCCCAAGAGGCCCGTGCCCGGCATGAAAAATGCGGCGAAGAAGGCCGACAGGCCCCAACATCCTCGCGTTGACACTGATTCCATTACGCCATTGTCCACACTCAAACCTGGAGCGCACAATACACCTCCACGGCTGCGCTCTATACCCGGTCCTACGACACCTCACCTGTTGGCAACTCTCAGTCCCAACATAGTCGAAGGAATCAGCGAAATGCCAGGTCTGACGCGAGGTATACAGAATGACGGCCGCTCTTCTAATGTCTTGCCAGAAAGAACCTATGCAAGCGTAGTAACCAGTACAGACAAGATTGGTAGCCAAGTCAGCAAACCAAGTCTCAGTTGTACTGTTTCCTGTGCTCACCATGTGTCACCAAGGTTCCTCAGTTGGGAGCCGCCAGAGGCATACGGAATGCAGCGCCATCTCGGGCCGCCACTCACTATCGCGGTGGCACAAACAAGGGTCTCCTTTCCGGAGACAAACTGCCAAGGTGGAATAGAACGGTTGGACGGAATGCTCTGGATGGAAATGGACGCACGGTAAGTCAGTGTACAGAGTTCATAGTCCATGTCAAACTGACCGCAGGCAGATGCAGCGAAACATTCGCGGTGGTCATAAGGCTCGGCCTGTACAAAATTCCGCGCCAAATGCAACGTCGTCTAGACGTAAGCGGATGCCACCTCGTTCCATGACTGACATTCTGCCCGACCCGAGACTTACCAACTGGAGGACGTCTTCTGGACAGAGAGTTTCAGCCTCCACGATTGTGAGCACACAGTGAACGATCAGCTCCCATAAGATCTACTCACCGTTATGGGCATCATGTAGATGGTGTATTCCAAATCTGATTGGATACAGCGACCGAACACACCTGGACTGCTCGTTCGAGATAGAACGAAGCAGGCATCTGCGGATGGCGATGAACTGGCCAACACTGCTAGCCGTACAGCCATATGGTTGCTTCAATCGGCCACAGACGTAGACTGGGCCGAGTTCTCTCAGGTCCGTGCAAACGCCAATGGAGCGAGACAGATTGCCAGCAGGAAGACTGGAGACCAAACGAAAGGCTTCCAGACTGTCATCCCAGCGTGCAAATACAAGCCGTCCCGCATGTTGACGTACCTTCACTCGGATCTCCATCTGCACCAACAGGCGGGACAAAGATGGAAGACAATGTCGGAAGATGAGCGTCACGAAGCGACCATGAAGGCATTCAGCAATGGATCTGTTGAAGCAACAAATCAGGCCATAAGCACGGAGCAGCTATCGGCCCACGAGACGAGAATTTGATGGAGGAGTGAGGCGGGCAGCATAAATGTGTAGTAAATGACAAGAGGGATTCAGGAAGCTCGAAGATGGTAGAGTCGGGTTTCGGGCAAAGCATGTACAGTTTGGTTTCCTGAGATATGATATTGGATAATTGCACGAACATATTGAAGGCCCCTTTCATCGTCTGCTTTGGCGATACAAGACTTCCGGTGGAGGGAGGAGCATCACATCCTGATCTTGAGACACAGCGGCTGGATACGAATGACTGTCATAAAATGCAATTGGAGCGTCAACGAATGTCTCTTGTCAAGGAGGTCGTTGCGAAGAATAAAGATGCGGTCAGTCTAGCGAATTGCGGTGCTACCTCGAGACAGGAAGGCGCAAAGGAGCGCGTGCACTGAGCTCACCAGTGCAGTTGACCGTGAAAACGCCATCGTAGTGGAGAAAAATGTGACAGCCGTCATCTTGCCACACTACACTCCGCGAGCGTAAAGACTGTAGCCTAAGCTCGCATCAGTGCATGAGATTAGCGTGTGCAGAAAAATAGACTAATCACCTTTCCATTCTGCGACAAATATATCGTGCTTGCATGGACACACGTAGCACGGTATACGATGCAATCAGCAACCAGGCGAAGTAGTCGCCAAATAACGGCTAGTGACATCCTACGTCTTCCGGACGAGTCTCACATCGTTGCTTTGAATTCGAATTCTTATACGCTAAACAAGCCCCTACAGTTCAAAACACTTTCTCTTTGGACTGGCGGAACAGTACTAAGACACCTATATTGCGATGAATAAGTCGCATTCCACCAATTGAAAAATCAATACTAACGTTCCCTTTGTTAACCATGCTTTCCAACAACGTGGCGCTGGCCGAAGGTACACGAGGATGCCGCGAGTACAACTCCGCGAGAGGGCTTGGACCGGAAACATGCGAGCGTCTATGGAGGCGCCCGTATTAAAACCAACCGCGTCGCTTTGGCCACTCGCCCCACGCTTGCTCCCCTACCACGACCAGTATCCCAGCACTTCAAGACCACTCGCTCAACGCATATAGCATTACTTACTGCGCGTTGCCACGCTCCTACGCGTTCTTGACACTGATCATCTCTTTGTGATTCCTTTGTGTTCGTATTCTCCTTGTCGCGACTTCTCGCCGACGCGTCAACAATGGTGTTCGGGATTTTCAAGAGGATCGTAAAGGCAGTTACGAAGAAACTGCCTTATATCTTGGTTATAGTACAGCCACATCCGGAGCTGTCGGAGGCAATCTGCGGCCATCGAGCCACTCCTTTCCATTACGACATCGTCACTCTTGAGAGCGCACAGATCAATACGGACGAATCGGACGAGGACGTGCAATCGGTGAGTAAGCTAGCCGCCAGGTCCGTATCGATCTGTGTACTCACCGTGAATTGCCTCGGTAGTCCATTTTGCCGCCGCCACATCGGATTGTCTGCACATGCTCGCAACGCCGACAGCATGAAGTGGACCACACTGGGAACATGGGTCGCGACCGTAGTGGACCTAGCTTCTACTGCATGGTGAGCTCGATGACGTCTGAAGATCGTGTTTCGAATTACTGACATGGCTACCAGATCGATGGTGAGGACGTCAAGATCCATCCGCCGCCTTTCGAAATCCTGCGCCAGCTAAGGAAAGAGCAAACGATGGCGGATGCGCTTGATCTTGAGTACAAGCTCAAGACCGGCGTGATTCAATGGGAGGAGGTCGCTGAGATAAGCATGGCAGAATCTGGGATCATGTCAGAATCGGTGAGTGGCGTTGTCGTGCGAGCCAGACAGTGATGGCTCACCTACACTTGTAGGAGTGGGGTACTGTCGAAACTGACACGCCATCCGCCGAATGGGAGCACGGCTATGGCGGACGTCTCTGTGACTCCGGCTGGCCAAATTCTCAGTGGGCGTGCACCTCTCAAGTCGCCTCGTCGAGTTCGTCGGAGTTTCCAATGAGGGCGAGGAACAGGTGGAACAGTGAACAGCACAACTATCGCGAGGATGCATTCGAGGGCGGCCACCGTAATTTGGCCATTGCATCCCAGTTCTCCTCGTCCTCGCCGGTCCAGGTCCCCACCATGCCGCCCCGCAACAATGAACCGGACAGAGTAGACTTCGAGCTGCTGGAGCTGGCAATGGAGTCGCTGGTGAGATTGCAAGAAATTTTGGACGAGACATCGGAGGGAGAGGCGCAGGATATCTATGCAGACGTCCTCGAAGCGGAGGGCAGTGGGGCGGCCAACTAGTGCACGGAGGTCAGCAAAACACGTTGGATAGCCGACAATAGGTTGGGTGTCATAAAGCCGAGATGAGCAGGAGACAAGGGGATGGGTGCAAGGAGATACAGAATGATGTACAGATAGTGAGCCTGTCTGGGAGAAAGCATTCAGTTACACGTCTCGCTCGAAAATGTGAAGCATACCGTTTTATTTATCCCAGGTTTTCAAACAATAAGTAAATATAGTGCGATGGCCGGCTCCGTAAGCAAAAAGCACAAGGCGGCCAAAGAGGGGCATTGACACAAGCACCCGGATCTCGATGTGTCACTCTGGCTCCGTCAAACTACGTCCCCTTTCCAACCTGCCTGCTCAACCCACTCTGTGCCATGCGATCTAAAATACCGAATTCCGTGAGTAGGCCGCTTATGGCTGTGTGAGACAGCGCTGACTTATTGCGATGCGATCTGGCCTGCCACGTCCAGTAGCTCCTGAAGCACGGCAATACGCCATTTTGAGCAGCGATGGCCAACAATCGGTCGAACGAAGATTTCGCAATAGCTGCAGGCATGATGTGATCCTCACAAGAGAGCGGACTGAAGGCCGTCGCACTCGAACAGCAGGTGAGTGTGTCGTTGTGAACACACCGGTCGACTTCTTCATGCTCAATAGACAATGAAACCCGCCCATCATGGGAAAGGCAGTAGCGAAGGATGGTCTTACCCCCGCGACTAATACGCGAAGTCAAATTGAGAATCCCTACGGAGACGCGTCAATGACAACGAGCAGGACTGACGTGGGGAAGAATGATCATACGCACGGGCGGATGGCGAGTTGTGCACACACAACGAGCCAGTAATGACCGATAACGTTGACAGAAATGCATCCGACATAGGTATTGTCGGCTCTGGACGTGACGACAGCTTAACATGCAGTTACGTTGGCAACCATGCAAGCCAGACGTGTAGTCACGGATCGATCGCCTTGTACAATCCGCTGCTGTGTGATGCCGTCCAGGTGAGAACGATATGAACCGGAGCTTAAGAAAATGCTAACTCACCACGTCTGCAGGAGGTTGGCGCCAACTCGAGCGACGCTTTCGTGCGACGTGAAGAGTTGGCTAACGCAGGTTCATATGCTATGCCATGAGTTTCTGAGCACGCGTGTCATGACGAGCATCAAAGGCGAGTTAATAGATCTACGAACCACAGAACTGAGCTGACTCTTTGCTTCCTAATGCAGGCGCCTCATACCTCCACCTCTACCAGTGCCCGGATGCGCCAATATTGAGCAATGACGGAAGCTATACATGCCGTGATGTGGTTGCGTGCTCGTACAATGCATACGGCTTGCTATACTGCATCGAAAGAATGGAAGATGAGGACTCCTGGACCGCGATTGCTCTCGATCAGACGATCCGTCCAGCGGGTTTGAGCAGTCGCTGGCACGAGCAAGAAGGGACGAGAGACAAGTAAGTCAACGCGATGAACTAACGCAAGCCGGAAGATGCGGAGATGGTGTTCTCGCATGTCAGACTTCAACAACAGCTTGCACATAGACGAGAACTTACCTTTGATACCGCGATAGGATGTCCGCACCGGCGTTGCAGATGGAGCACTGCTGTGACAACGTCCTGATGTCCAGTTCATCGAACTCTTCATCTTGAAGGCCAGAACGATATATGTTCATCGAGGCAGCCAGCAACGAGAGCTATCGAGCAAAGCGAGAGTCAAGATTGCGAACATCGCGTGAGCGCCAATCTCGTAACAGCGCAAGGCAGCGCGGTGCGCATTGTGGCGGCCAATCAGATGGTGAGATTCCAATTATGGTTTTGGTTAGTTCATCAGCTAATGACTAGTGACTTACTGTATCATGAACGTCGCAGCGAAAATGTACAAAAAAAAACTGAAAGGTTGCGCTCGATGAATCATTATCTCTATCGGTCTTATATAACAAAGATTTACATTTCCCCAGTGATTGCGCGAAGACACTGCGGTATCGTCCTCACGAATGCGCTATTCCTCGTCTCCGCTGCTCGGCGCTGACCATCAATATTCAATCATCGCATATAATCCTCCAATGAATGCATATTGGGGCATAAAGTCATGTTATAACCCGATATACGTAACTCACTACCGCCATTCGGCTGACCTTTTCACTTCACTGATGTATGATGGTGGGGTGGAGAGGTCGATATCCTCGGCATCAAGATCATGTCGAACGGAAACAAGGTGAGATTGGATGCCGAATGAGCACAAGCTAAGTCAACAACGATTATGAAACTACGGGACAACCGCAAGCAGGAAGCATAGGGCGAAAGATGATATTCCATCGAAAGGTGGATATGAGACCTCAATTACTCTCAATAGATGATGAGCTCGATGGATGAAAATGGCATAAGAGTGATACTTATCAGGGAGCACTCTGAATGTCAGAATTAGCATCAATTCTTAGAAAATTGGAGGATCTATGGGACGTCATAGTGATTGAACTGTCACCTCTGATGATTTCTGCCTGGCACCAGTAATGGGGCTTTGTCTAGGTCTTCTAGATGACTTTCACGTAGAAACATTGGAAATCTATTTCAACGCAGCTGTTACTGCTTCCTCATCGCGATTGACAGAATAATTTACCCATCTGGAGGCACGAGTCGCTAGGAAGAGCAATCTGTACACTCCCTCAGCCCATATGACTCATGTAGATGAGGCGTGAGTAGACCATGGCAAGAGATGTGCCCCTCACGAGTGGCTCCCAGTCGCGGAGACCGAATTCGTAGCCACCCACAGCAGCTTAGCGCCCAATTACAGAGTGGCTGAACATGCTGCCACTCCGTGCTCTTTCAGCGTGGCATCTGTAAAGAGTTCACCTGCATCAGAAAACATGTTTTGATCCCTGCTGTGGCGTAAATGGTGACAGCGACCGAAAGGAAAAACGATAGAAGAGCTTGGAGACCAAGATCACATCCCTATGGCACGTTCAGGTATAGAAAAGGGTGGGATGACTTATCTTCTCGCCTTTGTTTGAACACGAGTTCCAATGTCTCACTCGCCACGCGCACGCTAGCCAATCCGGGCTACGCAAGCCACGGGCAAATAAGCGCTCACATTCGAACCGCGCTCCACGTTCGCCCTCTCTTCATCCCCTCCCTTCAACTCTCCCTTCTCCCTTCATACACTGTAATTCTGCTATCAAGACACGGTGCAATACATGTCAAACATTCAACGTCCATATACGAAAGCTCCACTTGCTCACCGACAACAGAGTAGCAGTGGCATATTCATGCCTTTGTCCACACCCTCGATCGTGGCGCTCGGTATCACCCCGCAATCTCGCCCTGCCAATGCTCTCGTGAGGCCTCTCCACGATTGCCAAGCTGCGAGGAAAGGGACGAACACGCCCCAATATTTTCGAACTGACACTGATTCCATAAGACTTTTGCCTAAACTCCAACATGTGGCGTACAACGGGCCTCCGCGTCTTCGCTCTACATATAATCGCACAACATCTGACCCTTGGGCAGCTCTCAGTCTTAATAAGGCCGAATGGATCGGAGAAGTGTCAGACCGGATGCGCAGTATGCAAAGCGATGGCCACCCTTCGAATGCCGCCACTCGAGAGGTGTTGTCCGAGAGAATCTATGAGAATACAGGAAACAATACAGCCAAGATTGGTTATCAGGTAAGTCAGCTACCCAGGTCTCAGTTGTAATGTTCCCTGTGCTCACCATGTGTCACCAAGGCTCCGCGGTTGGGAGCCGTTACAGGCAGAAGGGATGCACCGTCATCTAGGACCGCAGCTCACCACTTCCCCGCCGCCAAAGAGAGCCTTGTTCACGGAGGCCAATTGCCAAGGTCGATCGAGAAGATGAGAGGGGACAGCCCGAGTGGGAATGAACGGGTGGTAAGTTAACATGCAGAGTTTATAGTGTACGTTGGACTGACCACAGGCAGATGCAACAAAATGCTGGCGGTGATCATGAGGTTCGACCTGTGCAATATTCTGCGCAGAATGCATCGTCATCTAGACGTATGCGGATGCCACCTCGTTCTGTGACAGACATTCTGGCCGACCCAACATCTAACAACTTGAAGACGTCTTTTGGACACAGAGGCTCAGCCTCTATGAATGTGAGCACACGGTGCAAGATCAGCTTCGAGGTGACTCGCTCACCACAATGGGCATCATTTATGCAATCTATAGATGGTATATTCCGCGTCTGAACAGACAGAGCGATCGAACGCACCTAGAGCGCTCGCTCGAGACGGAAATAAGGCGACGTGTACAGATAAAAACGAGCTCACGGACGTTGCTTATCAAACAGCTGTATGGTTGCTCCAATCGGCTGCAGACGTCGACTGGTCCGAGTTCTCTCGGGTCCGTGCAAATGCCAGTTACGCTAGACAGATCGCCGGCAGGAAGAACGAGGAGCAAAGGAAAGGCTTGAAGACTACTCACGCGAGCGTCTTCCCAACCTGCAAGTACAAGCCGTCCCCCATACTGGCGTATCTTCACTCGGATCTCCACCTACACCGACGTGCAATGCAAAAATGGAAGAGACTGTCAGAAGATGAACGTCATGAAGCCGCTGTGAGGGCGTTTGTTGGACAAGACCAGGCGATAAGCGCGGAGAAGCCATCGACCCACAATGAGAGAGTTTGACGGAGCAATGTTACGGATAGCATCGCTGTGCAGCGAAATACGAAGCACAGTTGTCGGAAGTTCCAAGAGGATAGAACTGGACTTAAAGGATCCGGACAGAGCTCATACTCCTTGGTTTCCAGAGGTATCATAATGAACGATTGCATGTATATGCCGAAAGCCTCCTCCACTAGATTTGTTCTTAAGTCAGGACGGGCAGTATTTAGGGCGCGAATATGTCCCAAGACGTACCGCAGCGATCATTGCTACCAATGCTCCCATTCCGTTAAAGTTGTAAGCCTTTTGAAGATCATTTTTTTCATGGATTTATCATCTGGTTCGGCGAAACAAAATGTAAGATGCAGTAATGAGCAACGCAAGCCCGAAATCCCACACTTTGAGGCATGAACCACTTTATGGATAGCTGATACAGCACGCAGTGGAATATACAAGTGTTATTCGTTATTTATGAGGCCATCGTAAGGAATAGAGCACTTTTCAGTCTGAACAAGCGAAATGAGCCATCTCAAGACAACATCATGCAAGGAAATGCGTGCGTGGACCCACCGGTCTCATAGGTAGCTGAATACGACGAGGAGTTACCAGAGACCAGTTCCTGATCGGCAAAGGCACATGAGTCGTCATCTTTTCACACTCCTCGCCCATGGATGTAATGACTGTAGCTCAAGCTCGCGTCAGCACATCAGAATAAATGAGCCACGGTTGCGGATATCGAGATCCGCCACTCACCTTTCCGTTCCGCAAGAACCAGACCGCGCTTGTCATGTAGAGATGCAGCGCGTTCACGAAGCAACAGACGAAGCGGATACTACAATGCTACTGGTCACTGCTGGAACAACGTTTCGGGCAGTTCAGTATCATTCCTCCATGCCAAATGCGTACAAGCGGAGCATGCCTTGAGAATCAAGAATATTTCTCTTCGCATCTAATAAAACAGTGCTTCAACAGCTAAATTGTGAATCAATCACTGTCCACCAATTAAGAATATCAATACTAGCGTCTCATTTGCTAGCTCTGCTTTACGCCACTGTGGCGGTGGCCAAAGATACACGAGGATACCGCGAGGCACAATTCCGCGAGAGGGCTTGGACCGGAAACATGCGAGCGTCTACATAGGCGCCCGCATTAATATCAACCGCGTCGCTTTGGCCACTCGCCACACGCTTGTTCCCCTACCACGACCAGGGTCCCAGTATCCCCAAACGCCTCGATAAACGCACAGAGCATTACTTACTGCGCGTTGCCACGTCTGTCTACGTGTTCTTAACACCGTGATCGTCTCATTGTGACTCCTTCGTGTTCATTTCTCTGCTTGTCGCGACTCCCCATCGACGCGTCGACAATGGCGTTCGCATTCTTCAAAAGGATCAGAAAGGCATTTAAGAAGAGACTACCTTATATCTTGGTTATAATACAGCCACATCCAGAGCTGTCGGAGGCGTTATGCGGCCACCAAGCGACACCTTTGTCATACGACATTGTCACTCTTGAGAGTACGCAAATCCATACGGACGAACCGGACGAGAGTGTCCGTTCGGTGAGTGACCAATCGCCAGGTCCGTATCGATCTGTGTGCTCACCGTATATTGCCTCGATTGTCACCTTGTCGCCGCCACAGCGGGAGTTCTGCACTTGCTCGCAAAACAGACAGCACGAGATAGGTTGCACTATGGGCATTAGGCGCGAAGGTAACGGCCCTACTTTCTACTGCATGGTGAGCTCGACCGCATCTGAATATCAACCTTGGAGCTACTAACATCACCACCAGGTCGAAGGCGAGGACGTCAAGATCCATCCGCCGCCTTTCGAGATCTTGCGCCAGCTAAAGAAAGAGCAAACGATGGCAGATGCGCTTGATCTTGAGTACAAGCTCAAGACCGGCGTGATTCAATGGCAGGAGGTCGCTGAGATGAGCATGGCGGAATCTGGGATCATGTCAGAATCGGTGAGTGGCGTTGTCGTGCGAGCCAGACAACGATGGCTCACCTACACTTGTAGGAATGGGGTACTGTCGAAACTGACACGCCATCCGCCGAATGGGAGCACGGCTATGGCGGGCGTCTCTGTGACTCCGGCTGGCCCAATTCTCAGTGGGTGTCCACCTCTCAAGTCGCCTCGTCTGAGTTCGCCGGAGTTTCTGACGAGGGCGCGGAACAGGCGGAGCAGCGAGCAGCACAACTATCACGAGGATGCATTCGAGGGAGGCCACCGCAACTTGGCCATTCCCTCCCAGCTTTCTTCCTCCTCACTGGTCCAATCGCCCTCCATGCTGCCTCGCAACAATCATCTGGACGGGATAGACTTCGACCTATTGGATCTGGCAATGGATTCACTGGATCGACTGCAGGAGGTTCTGGATGAGGCTTTGGAGGAAGGAGAGGCGAAGGATGGCTACGCGGACGTCGTCGAAGCTGAGGGCAGCGGGTGGCCAACTGTTGCACGGAAGAGGATACAAGACGTGGAATAGATAAGAATCATTTTCGTGTGGTACAATTGCGATCGGCAGGAGATTAGGGGAAGGGGCACACGCAGAGGAGGACATGATGTAGTAGGTAGCGAGCCTATTTGAGAGAAAGTATTCAGCTTCAAGTCTCGCTCAGAAATGTACAGCGTACCATTTTTATTTATTATAGGTTTTCGAACAATCAGACCACGATGGCCGGGTTCCATAAGCAAAGAGCACAGGGCGGCCAAAGCGCAGCGTTGACACAAGCGCCCGAACCGCGACGTGTCATTCTGGTTCACCCGAGCTGCGCCCCCTTTCCAACTGTCCAGCTCAACCCACTCTGTGTCGTGCAACCGGAAACACTGAGTCCAGTAAGTGGGCTATCCATGACCGTGTAAAAGAGCGCTGACTTGTTTCCATGCGGTCTTCTCTTCCGCGTCCAACAGCTCCAAAAGACCGCCGCCATAGCCGATCTAAGCTCTGACTCTGCAACTACCACACAACCGACGAAGCCAAGACCCGGGAGTATCCTCAGGCACAATGTGATCGACACAAGATGGTGGACTCCAGGTGGTCGAAATCGAATGGCAGGTGATGTGCCGTCATGAACACAGCGGCGGTATTCCCCATGCTTAGTTGATGTCGAATGGGATAGCAGCGTACATGGATGGCACCAGCCCTGTGACTATCATTCGAGGTCAAACTGAGAAGCTCTACGAAAATGGGTCAGAGACAACGAGGCGGACATAGATGGGGAAGGATGATCATACGTACGGTCGGATGACGAGTCCTGCACAAACATTGAGTCGCTAATGCCCGATGACATTGTCAGGGCTACAACCAGCGAATGAACTATCCGCTCTGGGCACAGCGATGGCGTAACGTGCAGTTATCTTGAACACTGTGCAATTCAGACAGAAAATCGGCCGGATCGCCCTGTAGAATCCGCTGCCGTACGATGCCATCCAGGTGAGGACGATATATACTGGGAACTGACAAACTGCCCACTCACCACATTTGTAGGAAGGTGAAGCCGACTCAAGCGATGCTTTCTTATGGCGCGAACAATTGGGTCTACAGGCCACGTCATGAAGTCTGTAAGCACGCATCTCACGCTGTTTCTTAGGGCGAATGCATCAAGATACGAACCGCAGAACCCAGAAGCTCCCAACTTCCCAATCAAAGCATGCCCCACCTCCACCTCTACCAGCACCCGCACGCCCCAATGTCGAACCGTGCGCAATGCTCCACATGCCTTGACCTGAATGCATGGTCGTGCGATACATGCGTCTTGCTGGTCCACCGCAGAGAAGGATCAAAAATGAAGCGTTCTGAGCTGCGATTGCTCTTGATCAGACGATTTGTCCACCAGGGCCGAGCGGTTGCTGGCGAGAGCAAGGAGAGACGATCGGCAAGTAGATCTACGCGATGAATATGTGCGAGACGCAAGGTGCAGGAAAAATGTTGTCTTATGTTCAACTTCGAAGACAACTTGCATCCAAGCAAGAACTCGACTTTGGTACCAAGAGAGGATGTCCATATCGGCGTTGCAGCTGGAGCACTGTTTCGACGGTATTCTTATATCGGTGGTTTCTTGGACTTCGTCATCTCAAAATAACGGAACGGCGGATGTCCATTGAGACAGCAACAGCAGAGCAAGCGGCGAGCAAGCGAGAGACTCAGGTCTACGACGATGATAGCGTGAGCGTCAATCTGGTTCTGCGTGCAGAGTTGCGAATTGTGGCGGCCAATCAGGTAGTGATGTTCCAATTGTGGCTTTGTCTAGTTCATCTGTCGAAGATGTTTCAGTGCAATATCCGTTCTGAACGTGGCGAGGGCCAGAAAGCGAACATGAAGATGAGATTGGTGAGTAATTATATCTGTGACAAGTACTACTGTCCCTCTCTTACGGCACGACTCACAGTTTCTTCAACAGAGTACTTCACTCGAAGTAACCGGGATGTGAGATTCCTCGTCTTCGCCGCCAAACCTTGATCATTACTGTTCACAGGCTCTCTTACGTATACATGGTCAAAAATCACAAAGTAAGTGTTTATAAGTCAAATGTATATAAATCACTACTGCAGTTTGTCTGTCGCTGTACTTGACAGACATGCGATAACGATATAGCCTCGGTATCAAGACCATGTCGAAGGTTAGAAGGTAAAATTCAAATGTCAAATAAGCATGAGCTCAGCTAGCAATCGTTATGGAACTGGGGGCCAATTTGCAAGTGATATACCCAGGGTTAAAATGATTGTAGTTCATCAAATATATTGATATGAGTCTCCACTACTTTCATTAGACGACAAGCTCGACGAACAGCACTTACGAGATAATTGTGAATCCGATAATCATTGTCAACTTTGAGGGAAAGCGGAGGATGCATCGAGCGCCATATTGACTAAACTATTGATTCTTTTCGGTTTTCTGCCTGAGCGCAGCGACGGGACTGTCGCCGGTGCATTTCGACGACCTTGATGTAGAATATTTTTTTCCAAATGCAGCCATTGCCGCTTCCTTGTTGCAATTCATAAAGTACAACATCAATTTCTGGCGCGAGCGGCTAGGTAGAGCGATTCTTAGGTTCCCTCAGCCCGTAGGACTAGTGAGATGAGGTGGAAGTGTACCACCAAGAGCGACATATCTACCTGGAGTGACGATACCCTCGAAGCCGCGGAGACCGAATTCATAGCTGCCCAGAGAGGCTTAGCTCCCTAGTACCGAGTGGCTGCACGCGTTGCCACTCCTCGTTCTTCCACCTTGGCATCCACGAGTTCGGCGCACCAGAGGACACGTGTTCGTCTCCATCGTGGCGTATATAAGTATCACTTCGCCCTTCCTGGTCCGCACACACCGACTGATCTTGTTCTCCCCCGTGGATCTTCTTCATCCCTACTGTCTCTCGCAATCTCACCATGCTGCCCAAAGTGTTCAGAGTTGCGTCCACCGTTGTCCACCGTGCTTTCCGTTGTACGACTCGTCCGGTAGCGACAGATGGAGGGGATCAACACGTTGCCGCTGACCATGCCAATCATATCGACTTCATGAACACACACCCAGAGACGATCACGGGCGATCAGCCAGTAAGTCAGCTAGCTGATCGTGCAAACGTTCGCCACTGAATGTGTACTCACGACGTACAGGCCGGAGAAGATTTCCAGTCCTCTGGATCTGACACGCGCCACGATTGCGAAGTGAGTCGGGCGACGGAGACAGGCAGTGATGAAACTGGAGACCATCTCTATTTCGCGGTGAGCATGGATAATAACACAGATATTCACACCATCGACTTACACTGTCCTCAGAGAGTAGGAGATCTCGTTGAGGGCACCATGCCACAGATCGATGAACTGCGTGACCTCGAGAACGGGAGACCACTTCCGCCACCGAGGCCGCTGCCGGCTAATACTCCGGGGGCGTGGGAGTGGCAACAAATAGGTAACAGAGTAATCGTAGGCTTCAGAATTGCCGTGTCCATCGTGAGTTTCGTGCAACATCCCAGTCGTTCGATTGGCAGCCTAACGCTTTTGCACCCAGCCGATGAGCAGTGTCCGTCTTACCTCCAGCAATAATCCTCGGAATCCCAACTCACCGCCACAAACACTCCAAGAAACGTTCCGACGTGGTCAGGAAGCCCTGGCTGCTCGCCAAGACAGCTTCCAGCTGAGGCCTGGGGTAATCCGGGGAGCTTCCACCGACAATCAGCGAATGCACGGGCGTGCTGGGAGAGAGGGTGGGATGCAGGTAGCGCAGCTGTCTCTGGATATGGCACTCGATCCAAGTCGGATGGAGTACCTGCGCACGTTCAGCAGGTGATGCTGTCCAGAAGGATTGGCGAAATAGTTCGTTGCAAGGATTGTCGCACCAACATTTGTAATTCTCCTTGGCTTGAGTTCTGTTTGAGATGCTATATACCGACGAGCGATTTCGTCGTTCCATCCGCAAAAATGCACATGCGACGGTATTGAACCTGTCATTGCCGTCATTGATGGTAGCTCGTTGTCGCGCAAGTAACCTCTTGATTGCCGCGATATCCTTACCATTTCTCTTGTGCGACATACGCCCCATCGCTCCACCTCTGTAATTGCACAATTATGCAAGGCGAAGCTTGAACGCATCCTCTCCGTACTCCGGATTATTTCTTGTGGCGTTCGACTTTTCTCCCACACTCGTGCAGAGCGCCAAATTAGCAACTAGGAGCACAACTTCCGGGGACATCCGATTCTCTAACACATGATATATCGTCTGCGAAATGCGCCTGTTCCATACTGTCGCTCGTCAGTATGCAATGCGGAGTATTTTTCTGAGAAGAGACACCTCACATTTGGTTCAGCACCTGCTTGCAGAAGACTTGCTTTAGTGATAACACGTCCAAAAAGCGTCTTGATGTGATGCGAATGCAGTGGAGGTATGCGAATCCGGCAATGTTGTCGAGGCATGTCAACACACTGCTGCTATGATGGAACTGACTAGATGTCAGAGACGCAAGCAGCCTCATAACAACGTTTGTAACATACATACCTCAGGACCACACACATAATCCTACCTCACTCGCATTGTTCTGAGCATACTCCCGCACATTTTGTCTGACGAGTTACGCAGTTTACAGTGGATGTACGATGTCGTGACATGATGAAGCAGTGGAGGTGGGCTGGTGCCGCGGAGGCTAAATTCGGAGCCTGCCACAGTGTTTAGGCGCCCGAAGAGGAAAATGGCTCGAACGCGTGTTCAACCGCGCCTTCTTGAGACGCGCATCTCCCTTTCCCTTGAGCTGCACCATATACGTCCTTTCCATTGGCACTGAACAACATCAGTGAGCAACCACTGTAGTCTAACTCCAGCTTTACACACCGAGGTTTTCGTCACACTAGTATCCTTCACGACACCATGACTCTCGAGGAGATCATAGCCGCCATCAAGCGGCTGATTTACGCGCAGACTGACATCACAGCATCTACTTATGGCAGCCGGGAGACTGAAAATAATCATAACGAATCTGCTCGCTCTATGAGTGCATACAAACAGACGATCAGTATCGATAATGCAGTAAGCCAGCTAATCGGCGCGCTCGTCAAATTGTATGCACTCACCATGTCTCGAATAGGCCGATGAGAGCAGTGTAGGACAGAATGGAGTTCAATCTGAACAAAGGTCTCGATTGGCGGCATTAAGAGGTACTCGTGGTGATGACTTCGGAGAAGGAAGTCTCGGCCACAGCGAACCCCGGAGCTACTTTGCGGTGCGCATTGACATGGGTGTTGCTATAACGTATACTCACATGAGCTGAAGATCGAAGGTGAATTACTTCAGGAGCGCCTACCGTCAGTGGACAGGATGCGAAGGCTTCGAAATGGGCGCCCGCTTCCACCACCAGCGCCCTTACCAGAGGACACACCAGGAAATTGGGAGTGGCAGGAGACCGAGGATGGAATAGGGACTGGATTTAGGGTCGCCGTATCAGTCGTATGTATCTTGCGGAGCCGAATTTGCAGAGCGTGACGGAAGCTGATGCTTTTCTATACAGCCAATGAGCGCGATCCGCTGGCCATCTCGCGAGTTGTATCACATTCTTCCTGCGTCTGCCGAGGCAGTTCCAACTTCCAATCATGGAGGCCTCGTGCTAAGGACTCCAGGACCGCGTGGAGATAACCCCATCCATCGTGAAGTGCATGAACATGTTGAGGGACGAGTCATGGCTTATGCGGTACCATCGCCAGTGGTAGTGCTAGTCGATCCCGCGCGGATGGATTTCTTGCATACATCTGGGATGTAATTCCACCTCGATACGGAGAGGGCCATTAAATTCGACTGAGGGAGAAAGAGTGGATGCGGTTGAATCGTGAAAGAATAGATCCGTATATGATAACGCATTCATCTGCATTGTTGCATGTTCCTATATCTGTTACAACTTGAATGAGGCATCACAAGTCAATCACCCTTTGTGCAGTGGAGTTAGCGATGGAGGTCCTCAAGAACAAGCTTCATAACACAACGTACGAGCGCGCTGCCTACGAGGTGTCTGTTTGTGCTCATAACGTCGCACTTTACGCTAACAGCGTATGTGGCATGAAGGTCTGCAACTCCGAGTTATCATTCCATCCGCAGAAGGTACGCCAGCAAGGCATTTGCGTATTTGTTGAATGGAGATCACATGGTGGCGAAAGACCCGGGTTACTTATTGTATTGAGATCGTCCACTTTTGTAAGACGAGGATGGGAAAGAATGCATTAGCTTCTTTCTCGATCGATGGGCCTAATGTCGTCCTTCAGTGTTCATGAACTTCCATCAACAAGTTTTCACTCACATTGCATCGGTAGCTACGCTACATTCCTTATCTCCCTGAGAAAATGTACTAATTGCCCGTGACCCACTAATCTCACCGGACATGAGGCATAACTCAGTAAACGCCCACCAGGCTTCTCGCTCGTGCAGCTTGCTTCTCGACCACGACCAAAACACGCCTCCGTCTGCCAGCAACACAGCCATTCCTCCAGTCCCGTATAAATGCTGCTGCGCGAGTATTGCTTGGGGGCACAGTCGATCAAATCTAGCACCTCGCTGTGAAATTTTGCTCCATGGCATTTGGAATCTTCACGAAGTCTCGTGGCTCACTCAAAGACAAGGGAGTCCAGAAATCCCCCGTCAAACGACTGGGGCGACAAGTCGTGGATAGCTCTTACAAGCAGCAGAAGCAAGCCAAAGTAGGCAAAGCTTCTGTGAGAGCACAAAAAATGACGGGAAGGCAGGACAAGCCGGTGAGTTGACCATATATCTATTCTTCCGTCATAATCTGTGCACTCACCAATGTATGATCGTAATATCTTCATCGATCTGTTCCATCGCTTGTGACTGCCATATTCATCAGCTCCCGTCGCTGCCCTCAGAGGCGATCCCCGAGGTTGTGATCGAGGTGGAAGGTGATAATACAGTATTCGACAATGGAGAGAGTACATACTGGGTAGTAAGCAAATCTCTGTTGAACTTGCATCTGCTGTTCCTTATCGCTTGCTTGAAGACCGGAGGTCCTCTTCTCGGGGCATTCCAATCGTCGGTAAATGGCACACCGACAGCGTCCACGGCAGGTTCAACCACATCGCTCTTGCTTGAACAGCACAAGACTGTTCTCGCATACGAATGGACAAGTGCGCTGACTCCGGGACTGCTCGACAAGCGGATGCGAACAGTGTCATTAGTCTCCCATATGGTGAGGATCCAGTTTTCCTGCCCAAGACAGCCGATGCTGACACCGTTGAGGAACTCTCAGTCATCTTCCGTGCACAACCTGGGCCTTGTTGTTTCAGCGGATGACCGCAGTGCAACCGAGGGCGACGGCACGGAATCCTCGGTATTCCTTTCCGAGATGAATATCCACTGCAACGTTGAGACCGTCAGCGACGCCAAGGATGGCTCCGAGGCGCCCACATGTGAACCGCTCGAGATAGTGTGCTGCGCGCAGGAAGACAAGCGACGCTGTCTCTCCTATTCGTATCGACGGAAGGGCGGCTTTGGCACGCCATTCGGATACCATATGTTGGCCGGCGCTACTATAGATGTGCAGGCGGCTGTTGACGCATGAGATCAGATTTGTGGGACAGACAGACGAGAGCGCTTGAGCTGCGGAATGAGTTGCTGGTTATATCGTAAGGTGAAAGTAATGCAGAGGAACGTAAGATAGAAGCAATCAGGTGGTGGATTTTGGAGCTACGAAAGACTCTTAAACTATGGTCTTCATTGACGAGCAAGATGTACTTACGATTCAAGCAATCTCCATGCAGAGGATCATCAGCGGGCCAACAGGGATTATGCACAACAGCATAGCTAGTCAACAATGGGTGACCACTGAGCGGTGCTGTTTATCACACGAGTGCTTGCCTCCGCAAGCAGCGGCTCGCTCCTTCTCTCTTTCGCTCCCGTTTTCACAAGTACCAAGGTCAGCTGCGACCCCCTCACCTCGATAGTGTCGTCACTGCAACGATACGCGCAAATCAGGAAAAAGCGTGAACGCTTCCTAACCGCGCAGGTCATAGGAATAGGAACGAGGTTGGTGCAGTCCCTCCGAACCGCGGGAGGACATCGAGACCAACCGGCGTCAAGCGCAGCAGACCATCACCGCTTCGGACCGAGAGGCATGAATAATGTTGAGAAGGTCTGTAACAGTTGCTCGGGCTCAGCTTATAACGTTAATAATCTCATCTGAATTCTACTCACGGTATGTGCGAGCTGATAAGCTGAGCGTGTCGCCGCATTGGGGAGAGCTTTCGCTCTTGGCTACGGCGTTTGGCATCCTCACGAAGGGGAAAACGGTGCGCAGTGCCAGAGGCGAAGAGATCGCAGGATGTTGAGCTGAATGCGAAGCTCAAATACAGAGTTATTCAGCAATAGGAGATGCTATCCTGGATTATCATGGACCAAAGCTCTGTGCATGCAGAAATTAAGACGACTATAAAAGACCACTCAGTCGTGAATCAGTATACCAGTGCACGTCCTTCATAATTCCTGCGCTCACCAGCGTCAATTGTCTGCCGATGCATGTACAGCAATTGCCTCCTGTGTCAAGCTCCGGCTTCTTGGTTGATAAAATGTCCCAGCGCGGAGCCTACTTAGGTGGAGGGGAATTGGAGAAGTCAAGCTCGGTATTGAGTCTCTCAACATCAACACTGATCTATCCATACTTCACCTGCCAACGACAGTAAACCGAATTTTCGTGATCTGATCATGCTAGCTGCTAGGCTTTGAATAATATTTCGGAATGCATTTTTTGAAGCCGGAAACAGTCAAGACAGGGGTTGAGAACCAAATTTGGTTTCGGGCATAATACCTTGTAGAATTAATCCAATAAATCCTAACGAACGTATTCGCAGAGTGCTCTGTACTCACAATGTAGCAAAATATGTACTCTCAAGCCAACGCCCGAGAGGACACATCCATTGGCCGCCACTCGCCACCCTCAGCGACCAATCCAATAAGCGCTCGCTATCGATGGTCGCTTGCCACTCGCGCGATTTGCCTCTTGAGCACGACGGCCGCGTCCCCGCCTTCGCCGACTACTACATCTCTTCCATCTTCTTAATCGCATAGAGGTAAAGGAGGCTTCTCCTTAGCAAGCCACATCGGAACGCTCATCGCTTTCGTCGCTGCAGAATTTTCTATGGCTCTTGGATTCTTCAAAAAGCCTCGCGCGTCGAATAGAAATAAGGTCATGCAGATGTTGCCAGCCCATCAAGTCGACCACAATCCTTCAGAATGGGCCCGAACATACATGGAGGCCGTCGCAGCCAAGGCGACCTTGAATGTCGCAGACAAGGTCATGGTCACTGCAAGTAAAGAAATTTTGACGAGCGGAAGGAACAAACCGGTGAGTCAGCTGCCTGCCATAGCGCCCGTCAAAATCTGTTCACTCACCACTATATAATCGCAATCTCTCCATAAATCCACCGTCATTGATCGTGGCACACAAATCAGCTCCCGCCACTGCCCTGGGAGATGGTGTCGGAGGACCAGTTTGAGCGGAAGGACAGCAGTGGAGAATGTGAGAATGAGGTGAATGAGGATTGGATGGTAAGCAAACTCGACGACCTTCTTCCTACTCCGCCGTTGCTCATTCCTCATTCGCAGACCGGAGGCCCCCTCCTCCGCGCGTTCCAAACGTCGGAACTAGGTACGCCGACAGCTTCCGCAACAGGATCGACGGCGTCGCTCTTGCAAGAAGCAGATGATGGGGTCCTCGAACGCGAGTGGATAAAGGCCTTGACCTCAGATCTGCTCGGAAACGAATTGAGGGCGACACCTGCGGTCTCCCAAATGGTGAACACACCGATCTCTTGTATCAGATGGCTATAATTGACGCATTTGACAAATATCCAGTCAGCCGTAGGATCGGGCACTGGTCTTGCGGACTCTGTAGGAGACCTTCACAGGGGAAGCACAGACTCTAGCGGGAGTTCTTCACTGCCCTCGTCCGAGGTTAGCCTCGCTGGCGAGGTCGAGTTCCGCAATGACGCCGCCGATGACGGCAAGGCGCCCCAAGACGACTTCGTGGAGATAGCATGTTGCTCGGAGGAAGACATGCAACGCTGCCTTTCGTACTCGTACCGGAAGAAGCACGGATCAAGCACACCCTTCGCCTTCTGCGTGCTCGCTGGCGGCGCTACGGACGAGTAGACCACCGTTGATGCGCCGTCGCGGACTCCCAAGCGGACGAGGGAGCGTTTGAGGATGGATCAGGTGAAGGTGTAGGGGATGTAGTGGAATATATATGCTTGAGCAAACCGATGCGATGAGGTGTAAGATACGTGGCGATGAGACGATGACCTGTGGAACTACGAATATCATATTCAACTACATCCTTTGTCGAGAGGCCGTAAACACTCACTGATCACACTTTATTCTGTATCATCTTGTGCAAAAGATAGCTTCGAGTTAGCAGGGATCCTGCGCAATAGCGCAGCCAATCAACGACTGGAGCACTGAGTGGCACTTCCGCCACAGACGTGTAGACGCCTGTGCGCGTGAGCGTCCACTCGTGTCTTCCTCCTTCCCTCCTCCAACTCGTGTTCCATGACCACCAGCATACAAGCACAAACCAACTCGATCTTGTTGTATGGAGGAGGGCTCGGCATAGGTAAGTCGTGAAAAGTCGCAATTGACGCGATTTTTGACAATCTTTTCATAGAGTGGTCTTGTTCGGCGCGCCACACCTTGCGATATCCACGATAGTGGCCAGCCCACTATGCCTTGTTGCGACAATAGAACGCATAGGATGCCGATGCAGCAAGGCCACTGGCGTCAAGCTTGTCCTTCAGCCCTCTGGATATGATGCTTCCGTTGGTGGCCGACAGGTGTGCTTGAGATGCCTCCGCGAGCAGAAAGCCTGTCACAGCAAGTGTATGCTGGTTTCGTGAGTGATTTGCCGAAGATCAGATCCGTGGATGTCTGTTGTTCTTACCATATGCGAAACATGGTGTCGCTAGAGGCCATCTCCTGCTATAGTAATAATCTACAGGGATGACAACGTAATCCAGCGCCCGGAAGAAATCGCGAAATGCGATTTCAAGTAAAGAACGAGATGAATGGAAGGAAAGGTAGTGATGACGATACAGTGAGTTCAGCCATTATCGACGATGTCTAGGTTGCGATTACTTACGTTGCTCAATGTAGGTATGCACCCCCATGCCTCATCCATACCATTCTGTCCCCTTCCATCAAGCTTTGATTCTTCCCGAAACGCTGCCGCACGGCAACGTAGATCTCATTCTGCACCGGCGGTCTATCATGGCCATATGGCATCGACATCCACAGCCTGATATCGCGATGGGCATCCCAATAAGCTGGAGCTGCCAAGAGAAAGGCTCTGCATAGCACACGGGGAAAAGAATATAGCTCCGCTGGATACAGTCTCTATAGAGGGGAAGCAACCGATAATACGCTGTGGGAAGCGTTTGGGACAGAATATTGTGAGTTACTGTTTATATGAAGCTATTGGCAAATTCGGAGACTAACACGATGTTTTTAAGGAACATAGGAATGATACTGGTCAAGTTTTCGACAGGCAGGAGAAGATGTAGCGCTTCGTCAGGCTTCGTCATCGCCACGTCTTCGAGCACAAAACGGTCTTCGTCGGTATCGACATCAACCCAAGTCATTTCTCGTTCCTCACAAGCAAGAATATAGCAGCCAGGATGATGGCGATCCGAACGGGCCACCGAACGCCAGAACATGTTCAGGAAATGAGTGAGGAAATTACTTCGTCGTGGCGAGCGCCGGTGAGTGGCACGTCACCATGTGGCCATGTGGCGGCCAATCGTGAGGCTAGATCACGGTCACCGAGGCTGAATATGCGACCGCTTTCGAAATCGTCGGAATGCGACTCTCGGCATACTTGGTATGATATCAATGACTTATATATTATGGCTAACGCTCGCTCGGATGTGGTTATCGCAGCGGGATTTAACATAAAACTTCCAAACAGATGGTCTGAGATAACGTCCTTCTATCAAGCACATAACGCGCCACTCATGCAAGTGTAGCCATGGACGGCCGCATTTGCATTTGAACAACCGGTCGACTTATGCATATCTCCAACGGATCCCCGCTCAGCTCTGAAGTGTTCGTTCGGTCTGCGTAGATTTCAGGGCAGCAGAAATGCTCAGTTCTCAGCGACAACGTTCAGAAACATGGGAATGCGGCATAACCGCAAAGCTAAGGTAAGCTTCCGTCTTCCGTCCGTTAGTCGCGACTTCACCGTCGAGCGTGAGCTACCCCCATCTATAGACACACAAGTCATTGTATGGCCGCGGGCTCGTGGGAGGAAGGACGGGACATTCGACGGCGCAATTGGGGTGAAACCGTAGAAGAAATTACTGAGATAAAGGGCGCGGCAGGATGTAAGCTATATGGAGATGGGAGCTTCAGCCTGTGAAGCTATAAATATTTCATTCAGCGGTGTCTTCTATCGATACATCGCATATACTTACTGGCTGTATTGTGCTTTGGAACATATTTGCGCAGATCATAATTTCACGAACAGCAGACGTTCCGCGCGATCACATAGCCACAGGATAACCGGTGCCTATTGAGTAGAGCCGTATTTGACTTCGGGCACCATATCCTGCAGAGCCAATTCCATAAATTACAATGTACGAATTCTCAGAGTACACTGTACTCACAATGCAGTGAAATCCATGTTGCCATTCCAATGACCCAGTGGGGACATTCATTGGTCGCCACTTGCCACCCTCAGCGATCAATCCAATAGGCGCCCGCTATCGATGGTGACTTGCCACTCGCGCAATTTGCCTCTTGACCACGACGACTTGCACCCTCCGCCGATACCTACTACATTTCTTCCATCTTCTAAGTCGCATCGAGGTAAAGGAGACTTCTCCTTAGCAAGCCACATCGGAACGCTCATCGCCTTCGTCGCTGCAGAATTTCCTATGGCTCTCGGATTCTTCAAAAAGCCTCGCGCCTCGAATAGAAGTAAGGTCATGCAGATGTTGCCAGCCCATCAAGTCGACCACAATCCTTCAGAATGGGCCCGAACATATATGGAGGCCGTCGCAGCCAAGGCGACCTTGAATGTCGCAGACAAGGTCACGGTCACTGCAAGTCAACAAGTTTTAACGAGCGGAAGGGACAAACCGGTGAGTCAATTGCCTGCCATCGCGCCCGTCAAAACCTGTTCACTCACCACTATATAATCGCAATCTCTCCATAAATCCACCGTCATTGATCATGGCATATGAACCAGCTCCCGCCACTGCCCTGGGAGATGGTGTCGAAGGACCGGTTTGAGGGGAAGGACAGCAGCGGAGAATGTGAGAATGAGGTGAATGAGGATTGGATGGTAAGCAACGTTGACGACCCTCTTCCTACTCTGACATTTCATCTCTCTTTCGCAGACTGGAGGCACCCTCCTCCGCGCATTCCAATCGTCGGAGCAAGGCACACCGACCGCCTCCGCCGCAGAGTCGACAGTATCATTCTTGCAAGAAGAGAACGACAGCGTTCTCGAACACCAGTGGGGAAGGGGCTTGGCTCTGGACATGTTTAAGAAATGGCCGATGGACGCATCTTTGGCCTCGCAAACGGTGAGCACACCGATTTGCCGCGTTATAGGGTTAGAGTTGATGCATTGAGAAATCGCAAGTCGTCCGCAGGATCGAGCACCCCTCTTGCGACCTCTGTGGGAGACCACAGGGGAAGCACAGGCTCTGGTGCGAGTTCTTCACCGCCCTCGTCCGACGTGAGCCTTGGTGGCAAGGGTGGACTCCCAACGACGCCGCTGATGATGGCAAGACGCCCCAAAACGACTGGGTCGAGATAGCATGCTGCTCGGAGGAAGACATGCAACGTTGTCTCTCCTGTTCGTATCGGAAGAAGCATGGGTCAAGCACACCCTTCGCTTTCTGCGTGCTCGCTGGTGGCGCTACGGACGAGTAGACCATCGTTGACGCACAGGGGCGGACTCCCGAGGCGGAAGATAGAGCGTTCAACGGATGGATTAGGTGAAGGAGGTAGCGGTAATATATGCTGGGCAACCCAATATGAAGGATAACTGGTGCCTATTGAGTAGAGCCGTATTTGACTTCGGGCACCATATCCTGCAGAGTCAATTCCATAAATTACAATGTACGAATTCTCAGAGTACACTGTACTCACAATGCAGTGAAATCGATATTGCCATCCCAATGGCCCAGTGGGGACATTCATTGGCCGCCACTCGCCACCCTCAGCGATCAATCCAATAAGCGCTCGCTATCGATGGTGACTTGCCACTCGCGCGATTTGCCTCTTGACCACGACGCTCGCTCCCCGCCTTCGCCGACTACCACTTTCTCTTCCATCTTTTGAGTCGCATAGAGGTAAAGAAGGCTTCTCCTTAGCAAGCCGCATCGGAACACTCATCGCCTTCGTCGCTGCAGAATTTCCTATGGCTCTTGGATTCTTCAAAAAGCCTCGCGCCTCGAATAGAAATAAGGTCATGCAGATGTTGCCAGCCCATCAAGTCGACCACAATCCTTCAGAATGAGCCCGAATATACATGGAGACCGTCGCAGCCAAGGCGACCACGAGTGTCGCAAATAAGCTTACTGTAAGCAAACAGACGTTGACGAGCGGGAGGGACAAACCGGTGAGTCAGTTGCCTGCCATCGCGCCCGTCAAAACCTGTTCACTCACCATCGTATCCATAAATCTCCCTAAATTCACCGTCATTGATCATGGCACACGAATCAGCTCCCGCCACTGCCCCGGGAGGCAGTCCTGGAGGAAGCATTTGAAGTGAGGGGCGACAGTGGAGAGAATGAGAATGGGGGGGATAAGGATTGGATGGTAAGCAACGTTGACGACTCTCTTCCTACTCTGCAGTTCTTCACTCCTCGTTGACAGACTGGAGGCCCCCTCCTCCGCGCGTTCCAATCTTCGGAGCAAGGCACACCGACCGCCTCCGCCGCAGGGTCGACAGCATCGCTCTTGCAAGAAGAGAACGACAGCGTTCTCGAATACCAGTGGGCAAGGGGCTCGGCTCTGGACATGTTTAAGAAACGGCTGATGGACGCATCTTTGGCCTCGCAACTGGTGAGCAGACCGGTTTGCCGCTGATAGGGTTGAAGTTGATGCATTGAGATATCGTCAGTCGTCCGCAGGACCGAGCGCCGGCCTTGCGGACTCTGTGGGTGACTACAGGGGAAGCACAGGCTCTAATGCGAGCTCTTCAGGGCCCTCGTCTGACGTGAGCCTTGGTGGCGAGGTCGAACTCCACAACAACGCAGCTGATGATGGCCAGCCGACCCAACACGACTTGATGGAGATAGCATGTTGCTCTGAGGAAGACGTGCAACGCTGCCTCTCCTATTCATATAGGAAGAAGCACGGATCGAGCACCCCCTTCGGGTTCTGCGTGCTCGCTGGCGGCGCCACGGAAGAGTAGACCATCGTCGACGCACAGGCGCGGACTCCCGAGGCGGAAGAGAGGGCGTTGAATGGATGGATTACGTGAAGGTGTGAGGAATGCTGTGGTATATATATACTTGGGCAAACGGATGTGATAGGGTGTAAGATATAATTCGATGAGACGATGACCTGTGAAGCTACAAATATTATATTTCACTACATCCTTTGTCCATAGGCTATACACACTCACTGATCGCACTTTGTTGTACATCTTCTCCGCGCAAAGAATGATCTTCAGACCAGGAGACAATCCGCACAGTAGCGCAGCCAATCAACGACTGGAGCACTGAGTGGCACTTCCGCCACAGACGTGTAGACGCCTGTGCGCGTGAGCGTCCTCTCATGTCTTGTCCTTCCCCTCCCACTCGCCTTCTACGACCACCCGAATGCAAGCGCAAACCAGCTCGATTTTGCTGTAGGGAGAACTGCTTGTCATAGGAAAGTCGTGAACAATTGCAAATGACGCGTTTTTGACGATTTATTCTAGTAAAGGTCTTGTTCTGCGCGCCACACGTCGCGCAATTCATGATTGTGGCCAGCCTGCTATGCCTTGCTGCGACAAGAGAATGCCAAGGATAACGAACTAATAAGGCTACTGACGGTAAGGTCGCCTTCCAGCCTCTGAGTGTATTAAACGGAAATGACGCGTTTTTGACAAAATGTTCTTCTATAGTCTTGTTCGGCGCGCCACACCTTGCGAGATTCACGATAGTGGCCAGCCCGCTATGCTTTCTACGATAATAGGATGCACAGGATGTCGTTTCAAAAGGCCGCTGGCATCAAGGTCGTTCGTCAGCACTCTGGACATGACGCTTCCGTTGGTGGCCGACAAATGTGCTTGAGCTGCTTCCGCGATTGGAGAACCTGTAACAGCAGTTGCACGTCAGTTCGTGAGTAGTTTGGCCCATAGCATGTCTGCGGACGTCTGTTATTCTAACCATTTGTGATATAGAGTGTCGCCGAAGGCCGTCTCCCGTTATAGCAATGATCTATAGGAGTAACAACATGGACGAACGCCGGGGGAGATGCACGAAACGCAATTTCCAAATGGATAGGGAGACGAATGAAAGGGACGGTAGTGATGATGATTCAGTGAGTTCAGTGAAGTTAATGATGATATCGTTGTGTCGATTACTTACTTTGCTCCATGGATGTATGCGTACCCTTCCCTCATCCATAACGTTTCGTCCCTTCGCCATCAAGCTTGAAATGCTGTCGGACGCCAATGTGGATCTCATTCTGCACTGTCGGTCTGCCATGGTCATAGGGCACCGGCCTCCTCAGCCTGATATCACGACGGCCATTCCAAGATGCTGAAACCGTCAAGCGAAAGATTCTGCATAGCGCAGTGAGAAAAGAATATAGCTCCGGCTGGATGCAGTCTCTGTAGACGGGAAGCAACCGATAACACGCAAGATGACGAGTCTGGGAAGCGTGACTTGACAACGCTTGCGAACACGTTTTCTTGACTTCATGAGGGGACCAAACACTGGCAGAGTTCGGCGCACTAGCTTTCGATATGACGGGCTGTGCGGCCTCCTGAGCTAATATCTTGAGTCCAAGCGCACGCGATAACAATCAAAGTGGAAACGTAAAGCTTTGCAATGTCGAGCGGATTGCTATCATGAACTGAAGGCGAAAAGAGACTTTCCCTCAGTGACCGGGCGCTCGAGCTGCTGGCAGTGGCGCGCGATCCATGTGGCAAGATGTGGCTTCAACGGCTAATTGCCACTCTATAGCTTCGAAAGTTGGTCGCGAGGGCTTGCTCCCACTAAAAGCAAGGATGCCTCGAGTAACCCGCCGGAAATATCTTAGAAAGATTACAACTATTAACTCCAAGTGCTTTCAAGCTTGCGTTCATGCCCTCGAGTCTCGGACCAAGCAAAGCTCTCCCATTGTAAACTGAACAACGACAGGTTCGATGATCAACAATCATTAATCAATGTTCAGTGCATGGAACATTCAATGACGCTCGGCCTGCATGACGCTGCAAAGACATCGTCCGAGTTTCTACAAACTGTTTTAAGTATCACAAACCGCGCACATTCCCTGGCAATCTGGGAGGAGCACCACGAACATCATTGCACCCATACGCATCGACGTCGTTCAGTATGTCATTGGGGACAAGCTCGGTCTCAAGCGAGTCTGACCGTGTTCATGAGCGCAATCTATCGAATCCTAAAAGATGAGCCAAGGAAGCTAATCTGAAACAACGGCCGCTGTGCTGTGGCCAATGTAGTATTAGCGCCCAGCTAGACAATTAGGTAGTCCATGAGCTGAGCCACTGGCTCCGCGTCTTAAAACTGCCTGTCTCGCTTTTTGTCGGCACTACACTATCACCCGATTCTCTCGCTAGAAAAGCATCTTCTGCTCACAACCGGCGTGCTCAACTTTTGCTACTGAGACCTACTCACTGCAATCCGCCATATCAACTTGATCGCTCACCGCGATGATCGTCGGATTCTTGACCAGAACTTGGATCACCATTCAACGTATCGCGCAATATCGACCCGGCGTCTATCAGAAGAACCCTCAGTCTGCTACAGCATCCGACTCTCTAGATTCTATGAGCACACAAGCCGAAACGGATGAAGACGGACGATCAGTGAGTCAATCGACAAACCCGTTAAAGCCTGTATGCTCACCGTTTGTTAGAAGATCACTAAAGCGGACCAGAGTGGTGGTAGTGGCCGTGTCGAGGTCCTTTCCCGATCGGCACCCCAGCTCCATATGAAAAACACAGCAATACCTCCGAAGCACATTCCAGTCCGCATTAACTTTCGGCATAGGGTAGGAACGAGTGGCCTAACTCTACGGGTACATCGAGCAGCATGCAAAGTGCTTGTCTTCAGGTTGACTTACTGATGGCACAGTCGCTGGGACCAATCGCCGGATTGTCACCTCCCATCGAGGACCTTCAAGCAATGATCGCAGCGATGTCATCAGTACCGCTCCCAGAGCCACTCCTGCGCAACATTCTCGAGGAAGACGAGCAGTGGTCAAGGGCGCCGGGCCTGCACGAGGGAGGAACAACGACTACAGCGACCTCAGCATCAGTAAGCAAATCATCCACTACACACGCATCCACACAACTCACCTTTCACTAAAGGACGCTGACGTACCCACAAACTTCACAAAGCACAGCGCACCTCGGAGGGCAGCCACATGCTCCGCTCCCTCCAGGACACGTGCCACAGGACTCTCCAAGAAGACCTCCATAGACTCCCTCGGAGACCTCGGCAAGGTGCTCTACGTCGAGTCGGCGTGCTGCCCGCAGAACATCTTCTTCACCGGCCTCCAACCTCTGCAGCCCATGATGACCAGCCGTCGTCGTCGTTGCTGCAGTATCTGTTGCGAGGAGAGCGCGCATCACCTTCAGTCCCGGAGATCCCATATGCGACCACATGAGCACGGACAGCTAGTCCATCCAGACAGTCCACGGAGCAGGCGAGCGCAGTCCCGACCCTCACCAACATGTAATATCCCCACCAACACTGCCTTGGACGGAGTCATCATTTACGAAACGAGTTGCGATCCACAGACTAGAGGTCCGACGCTGCCACAGGTGACACGCGCCCGACGGTGAAGATTGCGGGATGGACTATCGTGCGACGCATAGGTTCCTCTGTCATTGTCCGTTTTGTATTATATCTTGATTTTCTGTATGTAAAAGTGTTTTAATTAGTCAACAAATCGAAGCCTAAACGCGAAGAAGCGACTGACTATGTATCACTTCGCAAGCGGACCGGTATATCAGCCAGAGCGATGGAATTCACGTGGTATGCAGGTATGCATGCTTACCTATATATCTCAGCCCATGCACTACCGTGCTCATCTGGAATGAACGGAGAACATCGCAGCGGAGTGGAAGAAGACCTTGTACGTGGGAGATCAATGCTGGGGGTAGCGACAGGAGGATAAAGACGAAGATTACTCGTGGGATGATACGAATCGAGGAGCTGTATCGTCACGTATGAAGTTCAGAGTGGTCTGACTTTGCATTCGACCTAAACGACGACCGGGGTTGGCTACCCGTTCGCCGAATCGAAGATGTCCGTGTGGCGCGTCCTTTTGAGCATGAGACCCATAGACTGGATGACAGGCATGAGGAAAACAAGTCCACCGACGATGCATTTGCAGCACTCCGTCTGTTCTCCGCAGCCATAAAAGCATATTTCGAAGCCTCAACGCCATAATCCCTGGTAGATCAGGACGAATCGTTTGAAGATGCGTTGGCGAGGCACAAAATCGAAAATGGACACTTGATGCACGATATATACGGTCTTTTGGGTCAAAATTCCTGTAGAAACCTTTTGACTAGTCGACTGAATCAACCATGGACGTAAACGCAGTGTGTGATTGAAATAGGTTCCTAAATATTCCCAGATTTTCCAATGATTGGCTCTGTGGCCCGAAATCTCGCTTGTAGATGCCCTTGCTGCCTTGAAGAAGGATCTCAGAAGGTATAGAAACTGGTGCTATGCAAGGAAGTTAGATTCTTTCATATATTGGTCATTGGGTCTTGACGTTTGAATTTGAATGTCTAACCGATGCATTCTACGAAAGCAGCTTGCTATGTGTTCTCGGAGTCTCGAATCTCGTAGGGCCAAAGCAAATAATTGCGCGCCCATCAGATGAGGCCTTTGTTATTGGAAAAAGCAGTGCTGTTGACAGTGTGCGATAATGAGATGAAGAATACCAGCAGCTATATCGTAGTTCTGGAGGAATTTGATGTCGCGAAGCTAAAGAGGAGACCGTACGACAGTTGAAGAGAATCGCAGCGGCAGGCCATGCAACGCGCAAAGCTTCGGCGCTTCTTTAGGGCAGCGTTATTCGCGGTCATGTGATTATTGTGGACTCAACGCGACACGGTTGTGGCGCGCGCCACACAAATCTCTATTCCAAACTCTCAGACCTTAGACTCCTTATACATACAAATATGTATGCTTCCGTATTCGTATAGTATAAACAAGGCTTGAGAACGTTTCAAGGTGGCCTCTGTTTCGCCAGAAACTGTGTGCTCTCGTATAGCGCCTGGGCAAAAAAGGAAGGTCTGCGGCGATTGTTGTTTTACATATGAGGTCTTACGGTGTGTTCAAATGTTGATGAGCCTTGCACTGAAGGATGGAACTCGGAAACGTAGGCCGCGTCATATTGTTGTCCCGCCTCACTTCAACCCGTACAACCTTCCAATTCCGCGAGGGATTGAGCGACTGAGAGGCGTTCTCCTCGAACTTCATATCTGTTGATGGAGAAGACGGGAAAGGGCTCATAGCCACTCACCAAAAATGCACAGGTGATAAGAACTTATGGTCAAGTCTCGACTGCGGCGATGTCTGTGGCGCACGCCACTGCGGCACGCCATCGAGACGAGCCATGAGTCGCAGAGGGGGAATCAAGGTTGCACGACAACAGGTGGTTCTAACGACGTATGACAGAGAGAGATTATGATAGGCGTGAACATTCATTGGATGGGGTCAAGCGTACTCTACAAAATTGTAATCAGATATCATGGCTGAAAAAGAGGAGCAATGACACACTACCGTAGCTTAAAGAGCGATGCTAGCGACATCACGGGAGAAACCCTTCAGCATAGGCCCACGCAAGCGGGCCATTCCGAGGGCACTGTGGGCACACAAGCCGCGGTGAACTAGGCGCCCATGTTCAAGTCGCGCTCTCCCTCTCACCTCGCCACTCTTCATCTGCCACATCTCGCACTCCGCTCAATGGCCCACCTATCTGGAGCTCACTACGCGTATCATCAACCGCTAGGCGATGGACGAAAAGCGGCAAGACGCGTACCTATGCAGCCTTTGTCTCGCCGTCGTCCCGAAAACTCGACAGCAGGTAGCACCCCATATATTCGCGGCAACGCTAACTTGCCACCCGAACCTCCGTCCGCACCAATAAATCTGCGCAACGTTAAAGGTGACGGGACTGCCACACGACTACCGCGAAATACGTGGTTGGATGGTTTACCAAGTATCGACAATACACTCATGAACGCTGCTCCCCACGCAACCACACATAAGAGACGGCCAAGAACGGTCAAACTGTTAGTCAGCCTGACTAGCTACGTCCGTGACATTCTGTGTGCTTCCCTTGTATTATGCAGACTCATGGACGAGGCGACAAGCAAGTCGCTTTCCCGCCTGAGCTACTCTCCCCAATCCTAGGGGAGATGAAACTAAGTCAACTTGATGGAGCTGGGACCATACGTGGAGATGGAATCATGACCACTATGGCGGAGGACAACAAGGTGCTATCAGTAAGCCATGTCTAAGAATCGCAATGAATATGCTGACCTCCATTTAGTTGCCACCAGTCAACCTAGAGGATGAAGACGAGGAGTTGGCTGCGCCATTTAGGCCAGAATCTGATTCAATCCTGCTTTCGCCTTTGGGGCCAAACAACGTGGTCTCTATGGCCACGCACAGTGGATCGGAACCTGAGATGAACATATATATTAATAATGGGCGGCTGCATACTGAAGCGGTGAGGTCATCCCATTTCTTCGAGCTGTCTACTTACAACCGATGGTTTTGCATGCTCAACGGTAGACGAGCCGCACCTCGTTTCGACGAGCCCCATGGCTGAGCGCCACCACACAATTGCGTGGCTTGGATAAGAGAAGCGACGGATCGCACCAGCATCAGGCCGGTCAAACAGTGCCGAAAGCTGCTCAGCTGGCTCCAAAAGCAGCAGCTGCACTCAACTGGCTCGGCTTGATGAGGGAAGCGATAACAAGGCGACCAAGCCACGCACCAACCGCAGCGGACTCTGTCCACAAGAAGAGCACGGGCCACATACAAGCGACACCGACACCAATATGCAGGGGTAGTCGCTATCCCTTGCAGCTACCATCAGCCCCCCCCCCCTTCGTTTATCTTCTCGCACCCGATCGCAGGATGACGAAAACCGGGACACTGGTCCCACAAGCATATGTCATGAATTAATGGCGAGGAACTCAAGCAGCATATCCGATACTGCTGCAGAACAGGAGGATAGGGATGTGGGCCTGTCAGGAACTACCCGAGCGTTCGATAGCTTCGAGGCCGCAGCGGGGAAAATATTGAGCGAAAAAGATGAAGCAGAAAGGGACGCCTTGGACCAACTTCTGGTCGCGGTGGGCGATACATATCAATATCAGATGTGAAAGAATGATCCTTGGCCTATCGCGCAGTGAGAGAAGGACCGGGGCGAGAATGAGGTGTGTGGGAAAGATCTCAGAAGTTATTGCAACTTGTGCTATGCAAAGAAGTTGGTCAAATTATTATTTTCACACTTTGTCATGTAGTGAATCGTGAATCCTCACCTTTTAAACATGGACATTCAATTCGCCGTGTGTTCTCGGAAGGCGCATCTCGAGTCTCGTAGTACCTTCAGATGGGGACCTTTGTAATTGGTGAAAGCAGTGCTGCCAACGATGTGCAAGAGCGGGATCCGAAATGATAGCAGCTATATTGCTACCTCGGGAGGAACTTAATGTCGCGAAGAAAGAGGGAGCCGTGCGACGCTCGAGGGAATCGCAGCGCTGTCAGCGGCAGGGCGGAGACTTCGGCGGAGACTTCGGCGCTTGAGCAGCGCTATTCGCGGTCATGTGATAATCCAAGACTCAACGCGACCCGGTTGTGGCGCGCGCCACAGGCATCTCTACTCCAAATTCTCAGACCTTAGTCTTTCTGTAGTGCACACAAATGAGAAGATTTGCATATTCATACAATAATTCAAGACCGAAAAATGTTTCAGGTCGCCTCTGTTCCGCCTAAAACTATTTTTCTCGTGGGGTTACTTGGCAAGCTTGCGGCGATCATTGTCCTCTCGCCTGTTGAAGCAATCATCGCTCGCGTCGACGTACTCCAATGGTACGGCCAGATGCTCAAGCGGCCTTGCAATAGAACATAAAACTAGAGAACGCCACCTACACCGTAACATAATTCGTGACCTGCAGAAGGTGACGGAACATGTTGTCCTTCAATCTCGCAGAATACAGGAGAAAGCTAGTATCATACAGCTAAGGAGTATCTCATAGAGGATACTAGTGGACATGGCATCTTGATTGCCGCGGTGGAGTCTGGCACAAATAAGTGAGTCAGTGGAAGAGGAGGAATAATTTTGCATGCACGAACTCACGAGTCTCGCGCAAAGCGCACTGACCGTCTACGGACATCCCAGTGTTCACTCAGTATTTTGATAAGAGTCATAGGGAAACTAGTGGGAGGCCACCGGTGCCCACCAATGATAAGGGAGCGAACAGTAGATCAATGCGGACCACTTGAACATCCTTAAATCATGTATTAACGGAAGCAGGTTCTTCTCCACCGTTGCAGTCTCAAGCACCTGCCAAGCGGGCTGGGACGCACGGCATGACTGCCTAATGCAGAGAAGAGTCAACAATCAGGCCGCCGCTGAGTTTACGTAATGCGTCGCCACTCCCAAAACACAGACAATCAGCGCGCCTGCACACTGCTCTCGCCTTTGTCCTCAACCACTACGAGCGACGTCCTAAATCCCCTTTCAGAGCCTAATATTGACCCACCAACATTTTCGTCGCGTAGTGTGCGTGGCAGCGTGCAGCTTGACTTATGTCTCATATGCTTATCTTGTTGTTCTTTTCCATTTCCAGTATGTCCCTCTTCAGATCTACTGTGACCGCCATGAAGCGCGCCATACGTCGACTTCGTCGCCGTCCACGCGTCGCTCGAGTGAATCTCCAGGAATCATCCACAATCACGCAGGTTTTCAAGCCTATGAGTACACAAACGAACACGATCGAGAACGATCACCTCGGAAGTCAGGTAAACGTCAACCAGTCCGTAGCCGCCTGTGTGCTCACCATGCACATTCCCAAGCTCGGTCAAGCTGGACACCACTTCAGTGCGTACGGCAACGCTGTTGTTGACAATAACTCTGCGGTGTCCGTAAGGAACGGTTCGAAACGGGGCAGCAGAGAGGGAACACCCATGGAGGACGAGGGCGAGGACCCGATGGTGAGCCTTCAGTGCTGAATGAATCCAACAATATGCACATACCGATGTGGAATCCAGAGTGATCAAATATCATTGACCATAGCGTCGTCATCGGGAAGCAGCTCCAGCACTAGCGTTGCCAGTCGTCAGTTAGAGCACGTACAACTGGCTTATGACTTCATGGCCGCATATTCGATCGTGGAACAGAGGCGGGTTGCAATCGAGCATGCTAGGCAGGAGAGGGCTCGGGGTATCATTGGCAGCTTCTTCTCCAGGAACTGAACTCAACGACGAACCGAAAACGGAGGTGAGTTCTATGCGATCTTGGCCATCGCATGACGTTAACATCTTCCGTCCAGAGCTGTGTTATTTTTCGTTTCAATGATTTTGCGATTCCTGATCGAGTGACTCCGCGACATGTGGTGATCAGCGATAACTTGTATAGAGAGAGTATTCAACTACATAGTCTCATATTCGCTAAGAGACAGGATCTTACAAATCAAGCCGACAGGCTGGGTCTTATGAGATGGAAGACCTATAGAGTGACGGCGGCAGCACGACCTCCCAGTGTCGAGACCATTATCAAAGTATGCACTAAAATCCATGCAACGGTCAAACTCTCGGCCTACGAGATAGAACAGAGAGACTCACAGTGTAACCTACTATACACACAACCTTATTGGCTAGTGCGTAACCGTGACCAGCTTCTCACTGCCACTTGTGAGCCTCGCATGCCAAAGTCTACTTCTGAGGGGGGTACCTTTTGACAACCGCCACCTTAGAGTGTTCAGGCACTCTTGGAAACAACGACAATTGTATGAGGGGTAGAACACGAGGCAGCGGCAACGTTGATGTGATATGTGAAAGAAATGAATGAGGGCTTGGTCCGAGTGGCAGCGAGCGCCTGCATAAGCGCGCGATATGGGTACCAACCGCGCCGCTCGCTGCTACTTACCCTGCACACTTGTTCCCAACCAGACAAGTATCAGACACCCATCCTCCCTCGTTCTATTCATCGCACACTACTCACCAAACATCAATACATCTCAGTACGCGTCTTCTGTGCAAGTTTTGTCTCTGTTCTTCACCTTCGTCTTGTCTACCTCTCGTCGCGACTCTCCTCTAATTGAAGACGGCCATGTTCGGATTACTCAAGAAGCTTAAAAAAGCAGTCAAGACAAGGATACCTTATATCTTGCTTATTATACAGCCCCATCCGGAACTCTCAGAAGCGGTTTGCGGTCATCAAGCCATTCCCTACAGCCACAAATTCACCACTGTTGTAAGATCACAAGAAATTACGGACGCGTCAGACGAGGAGGGTCAAACTGTGAGTCAGCCGAAAATCACGTCCGTAATTACTTGTGTGCTCACCACGGAATCCTCGGCGATCTGGTACCGCTGCCACAGGGAACTTTCGGCACCATGGAGGACGATGAGGTGGACTGGAGCCGACTGGTTGACTTCAACAGGAGCGGGTCCAACTTCTACGGAATGGTAAACTTGATGATTAATGAACATCATGATCTACACAACTCATATCGTCACTAGTTCAACGGTCATCCGGTGCAAATTTATCCCCCACCGATCGAATTGATGCGTCGATTGCCTCGCGGTCGCGAGATGGTAGATGCATTCTTTCTCGAAAAGGACAGCGACGAAGGGGCGAGTTGGGATGGGGAAGGCGCAACCAGTGGAGTAGAACCTGGGCATATGTCGGAGGCGGTGAGTGGCATGAATCATACAACGAAGGAATGACAGCTCACTAAGTCTTCCTCATAGGAGCGGGTAACTGTGTACTCTGACACGTCATCCACTGCTGACTGGGAGCGTGAATACCGTGAGGGAGTGCACAACTCGGGCCGGCGCACCTCGCGGTGGGCCACCCTATCGCAACAATCCCCATCGCCTACATCCGGTCTGCTGTTCGAGACGGACAACCCAGGACAATCCGACCGCCACGAGCAAGCGGATGAGACCGGCCGCTGCAGCTTGTCCATGATTTCTAAGCTTTCATTGCAATCTCTGGTCCAGCTTCCCATGATACCTCGCGGCGTGGACCTGAATGCGGTGGATCCCGATATCCTCGGATTAGCCATGGAAGTTCTGAGCAGGGTGCAGGACTTTCAGGAGGAGATCTCGGAGGATGGCAGAAAGGATGTCCAGATGCCTTCGCAGCCAAAGGTTGCGATGTAAGCACCTGGCACGGCGTAGACGGACGGAATTGACATGTATATAGGTGAGGATAGTCTCGTGGAGATGGAGAGCAGGGAGGGTGCAAAGACACCTCGGATGGACTCGTAGTAGCTAGACAAATGTGCAAGGGACTGTATTCAACTACACGTCCATTAACAATGTTGTAACGCACCGGCATAGTTCAGGCTAAGGCTTCTGACGATAAGACCATATCGCGGGATGTTTTTAGGCTCCGTCGGCCGTGGCCACTCGGCGGCCAAAGTGACATGTGAGAATAAGCGCTTGAACACGACGCGTCCCTCTTGCTCCCTCCATCACTCCCCTTCCCCACATCCCACTCCAGCTAATTCTGTAGCGTGTAACGTTCGATACCTGTCGACTTCAGTAGGCAGGCTCTCAGATTCAACGGACTGCTGACCTATTCTGACGGGCCATTAAGCTTTACCACGTCTAACAGTCGCAACGATGAGTAACTCCAGCCACGTTGGTGGTTATTCCATAGTGTACATGCGACATTTGCTCGAGGAAAATGGACGTCGCTATGGTAATACGGATCATCTCCACCGGCGGTTCATGGAGGTCGTCGGTAGTCCCAGGAGACCGCCCCCTCGTATAGTGTTACCGAAAAGGAAGGACAAAAGGTTGCTGGTCCAGTCCGAACGGTCGGTGAGTGCGCTGTCATGGACGTCCATCGTGTCTTCCGTGCTTATGAGTGCCAACTCACCATGTATTAGAAAGATAGCAATGCGATGAAGTCGAACCATGGCGTGCGGCCGTCACTTGCTGTCGAGACGGAGCCTGAAGGAGGCATGCCAAAACCCAGGAGTGAAGAAGATGTTATGGATGGTAAACGCAGGCACAGTCACATGGTAAGTCACTCAGGTACATGAAAGCTCAATGACGTACTATCTTACATTATGCGACCAATGTAGGAGCAGAACACCGCGTATCCAGGGCCTGCAAAGTCCGGTACAGCTGCTGACCCCGAGGTCGGCTTGGATGCCATCGCGAATGGCACATGGACTGATGAAATGGGCGCCTTGCGCGAGCGCCGTCAAGAGGGACGGTTGACTGACATAGAGGTAAGTGGAAACGCGGAGTACAACATCGAAAGTTGCTCGCTCACCCATGAAATCCGCAGGATGATGAATCAAACTCGAGCGATGCCGAAACTGACTTGTCAGACACGCTGTCGGAGTCACCCATTGAAGAGGGACTTGAAAGCTCGTCCAAGAGAGAGTTTGCTGATGCATTCGCCGAGGACATTGACATGAATGGTCTAGATGATAATGTGCCAAGGAAGAAAATGAGGGCCGAAGCAGCATTTGGTGGTCATGACGAACAATCGGCCCTTCCGAACTTCGAAGCCAGCAGATTTTCTGGGTGCGTCTGCTGCGTTCTTATCGAGCGAGCGATATGCCTGACCTTTGATATTAGCCACGTTCCTGTTGCCCGACGCGAGCACGTCATAGGATCTACCTCTACTTCATCGCCGGTGCGATCTGACCTTGAGCTGCCATCGCGAGATGCAAGCCGTACATTGTAGACGAATTAGATGCGAGATGAACTCATTTCTTCAACTCCCCGAAACAGATGGTGTGCTGTGGGAGGATTATCACTGGCTCGGACTCAAGAAAATGACGTGTTGAGCGAAACGGACAGTTGCCTGAGTGAGGAGGCGCAGTTTTGAAGGTCAGGAAGTTGACGGATAGCTGGTGACGTTTTGAAAGGCTGGTTGAATAGGAACAAGTTGCTCTTCGTGGTTTGTCTTTGAATATTGACTATAGACTGATGCTCACCTTCGAAGTCGACACGGATATGCTCGTTCAGGTATAGCTGCCAAGACCTTGTCTTCACAATCTGGTAACACAGGTCTATAGAAAGGATCCCATTACGGAGAATAGCATCAACCGTCATTGAGCACGCAAGATCATCCAGTTGGCAAAGTCTGTGCCTCCGTGAGCGTCAATACCTGCAGCGAAGTTGTGAGTCACATATTGTGGCGACCAATCAGATGGCTAGATTCCAGTTGCGGCGTTGACGTGGTTCATCACTCAGCGGCTGTCGTGAATCGCAGGCCGCACGACTTCCGCTCAAGCAAGCAAAAGGTGCTCTGATGAGCTTGTGAAATCATATTTTCATAAAGAAAACAAATTCATAGCAGAACCCGCTTGAGGCCACCGGGGCCATCATCTTAGCCGTATACTACTACACCGCCTTCGACAGACGGATCTATTCCAAAATCTACGACTGCTCGCGCGTGGCTAGTACCAAGTCCCGACGCAAAGTCAGAATTTTATACTCAAAGATAGAATGAGTGAAAGTACCGTCTTAGGCAAGACAATAGCCGTTGCCCTCTGAGCGGTCAGAAAGACAAGTTCAGAGAACTATCATCCATAGCCTATAGGAAATATATAAGAGACAATAAAGACCTCCCAGAAGGGACCATCAGGCGCATTTCATTTTGCTCCAACACACTGTAAATCAACGGAAGACATCACAGACCATCCGACACATTTGCAGCCGAGGACACCCAACGAGGCTAATCAGGCAGCAGCACATAGCTTAGTAGTCTATCTTTCGCAGTGTCCAACACGCAGTAGTAGGGCCGTAACGTTTCTGGGTTACTGAGTTTCGAATCGGTTATTTCTGAGCTACAGATAACAAGTCTTTCGTAAATGTGCCTTTTATGCCCATAAGCCGTCATTGCAGATGAAGGAATAGTCTATATTGTCGTTGGTATACATTCTCACAGGTTGAAAATAGATCCCGCATTATGCCTTCCAACCATCTGCTAAGCATGCTTGCAGAAGTATGACTGTCATTTTTTCTGATGAACAACAACTACTTGTCTGAAAAATATACGAACGCCTTGGGATCACCATTATGAAGATGGACAGTAATGCCCGAAATACCTCATGTGTAGGAACGGATAGAGGCTGCAACGGTCGTTGTTCTATTCATAATTTCTCAACGATCATTCAGGATAACCCACGGTCGCATCGACTTGCAGAAGGTGAATACAGGGTATTGCAATATTCTACGGCGTCACATAATACTTAGCATGAACCTTGATTATGAAGGGTAATAGACGACGTACGACATGCAACGTTGACTGTCTCTATCTGACATAAACAGGGGAAATGTCTAACAGAAAATCCACAGCTACCACCGCATTATAGATCATCGCTGATGTATCTCAGAAAATCAATGGCTGCCGTTCAAAGCGCATCGATCAACTATGTCTAGGCAATCACTTGGAAAGTTGCACGCGGTTTCCGAGTTGGGAATGACTGAGAAAGAGGTCAGCCGATTGAACTTCTTATTGACGTGATGATTTGAAGACTTACGCAACGGAGCACAATACGTACGCATGAAACCAGAAGAAGGCTGTTCAATAACAACGTCTACACGCCTTCTGCTCTTGGAGTCCCACATACGCCATGGTGCGGCAACGAGGGCCTGGTGGACGACCGAGCTATCGCAGTGATCGAGCACCGATCCACAGCCTACGTGCGCTCGACGATGCTGCTAACGGTCACATTCTACCAATGCGACCACCGTACCGGAAGTAGAAACCATTGATTCCAACGCAATCAACTGAACGTTGCAAGCGGTGTCCAAATTGAGAATAAATGACAAAGAGGTCAGTTAATTGAAGTTCTCGTTGACGTGTATTGTGCGAAGACTTACGCCAATGTATGCGCCCGAAACCACAGAATCTATCCAATAGCCATGTCTACGTGCCTTCTGTCTTTGGAGTCTCACATACGCCGTGGGACGGCAACGAGGGCCTCATAGTCGACCGAGCCATTGCAGCGACCGAGCACCAAGATCCCCAGCCTGATATCAAGAGACGCACTAGAACGTGTCGTGCTTGTCGATTGGATGGATTATGCAGCATCCGAGCAAGCGGATAGCTCTGTCTTGATGAAGACCCTTTGAACATAGAGGCTACAGATAGCGTTCAAGACAACGAGTCACACGGAAGCATCTGGGTGAGACATCGTGGCCCATTCGTTTCCAACATGTCTTTGACGACGATGTAGACCATATTGATGCTACGAGGGAACGCATAGGACGAATAGGACGAGCGGGTAATATCCAGTCAGGGGATAACGCTTCAGATATGTTTTCGACGTTGCAGCCGTCATCGCGGACACAGATGGTCTCCTTCCGCGTCGAATGCGAGTGCGAAATTTCTGTTTTCCGTCCCAGAACGCATCGCATGCAAGATAATGGCGATCCGCGCAGGCTACAAAACTCCAGAAAATGCTGAGAAAATGAGTGGGGGAAATTACTTCGTCGTGGGGACGCGGGAGTGGCACGATTGTGTGGCGGCCAATCGCAAGCCTGGACCGCTGTGGCACGCGAAGCAAGTGGCCACAACCAACTTATTCGAATTCACCTACTAAAGACCAAATTGTTCAGCAAGTCCTTTGATCAATCATCCGGTCATCTTTGCTATGGTCGTCTCAATCGCATCTCAAAGCTGGCGTACAACTCAGGTCTGCCCGAACATGATAGAGACGATGAGAACGCCGTGCATTCAACGCGCCAAGCTCGACGAAGCCCTTCGAAACGTCCCTCCTTGCCAGTTCATCACAAAATCTATCTAATATATCTTGTGGCTCTTTTATAGGCCTTTCTGGCAATCAACCGGGGATCCCTGGGACTCACAATCTCCAGTAGCTATCCCTGCGAATGCAAGAGCCCTGTATTATCGCAAAGCCAGAAGTTTCTCCAAAACAGTCTTCTGGACACGACCTCGCACGTAAAATCTCTGATGCAATGTGAGATAGCCATATGTAGACAGCAACAGTGAGTAGGGATTCAAATTTACGCTTTTTACAGCACTTATTTTCAAAAACAATTGCGAGCAAAAAAAATCCAGCTGTGCAGAATCCCTGAATGCCAAAGGAGGGTGACCATCAATCCGTCGGCCATCCATCATGCATCCGTGTATCCATGATGGCCGGTACCAGGTAAGTTTGACGAGGGCAAGTGGCGGGACTCGCGAGGTCACGTGGTCGCGTCTGGGTACGTGCGCTTAAGGTGGCCAGTCTTGACCTACTATGTTGTGGAAAAAAAACCCCGCACCAAGGGATTCACAGTGCGTTGAGAGCGGTGACAGTAATCCCAAAACGATGGCCGTGGATGCGGACTGGGACCCCGTAGTTCCTCGCAGTATAATAGTAGATGATGATCGCGGTGCCCCGTCGGGTCAAGGGAACGACGATCATTGGTAGAATTACCAATAGAGGTGTGTCGCCAGGCGATCTGTACATAACGGAAATGAGAAGGGCCAGCCCCGCCGCACCAGAGACAAGAAAAGGAGCAAGGTATATAGATAACCGCAATTATACGCATATATTACACCCACGTCTCAACTAAAGTCCAACGTAGATTTCAGCACTCCAGTATATGCTGCGCGCGCGTGCCAGCCGCACGACCTTGCGCCGCGCCCTACACCCAGCCCAGCAAGCAAGCGCTGCGCAAGTCTAGGACGTCGACGCCGCTGCGGTTCTCTCGGTTCTCGGTCATGTCTGTTTCTGCTTCTGTGCGTTCTGCGGAGCAACGAATGGGTGATGAAGGGATGAGGGGATGAGATGAGCTGCGACGCTCATCGGATGCGGCCTGGTACCTCGCGTGTGACGTAGTGCCAGATGTAGTGCGTCCAGCCTTCGAGCACGCCGGCGCCGGTCATGATATGCAGACAATCGCCTGCGGAATGCTAACAACGAATAACACGGTGAGTAATAGCAGAGTAAAGGAAAAGGCAGGACTCACCGCGTCGGGACGGAGAAGTGCCGGTCGGTCTATCGGCAGATAGTGAATATCAGGGAAAGCAGGCGAGGACAGGGTCTCCTGAATTGCGACGGCCAGTCAACGACAGTTCCTGTACAGATGATGCCCGCACTCACCTCGAATATTCGGTTAAAATCCTTGATACTTCCCCAATTATACCAGTTCCACCGGAACGACTTCCACTCGGTCCACGGCCTCCTCTCATCATGACAATCCTCATGCCCCGGCAAATACGCCCTAATCACCACCTGCCGCTCAACCCCACCCCTCCTCCCCAACCCAAACCACCGACCGGACCTCCTCTCCTCCTCCTCCCGATACCCATCCATCATCCCCTGCACCTCCTCCGCCCACCTCTGCATACTCACCCCAAAGAACCCCAACACACCCGCAATCCCGTCCCCAGGCTGCGCCGGATCCGCAAACCCAGACATGAGCGTCGTCGTCCAATGGCCCGCCGTGCTGATCACGAGTGTGGAGTATCGCAGGGGCGCGGGCTGCAAAAATATCTCGCGTACGTACTCGCGCGGGGACATGCTCCAAAACTGCTCGTCGCTGAACAGCGGCTTTGAAGGGAGCCTGAGCGCCTCGCCGTCCGCCTCTGCGCCCGAAGGATAGAGCTCTGCGTAGAGCGCCTCGAGCTCGGGCCGGTCGAGGAGCAGGTCGACGCGGCGGAAGGTCACGAGCGGCGTCTTTTCGATGTCGAAGCCCGGGGGGAGCGCGAGATGCCGGAGGAGTGGCGACGTGGGCGAGAGGTAGAGGTTTTGTGGCCATGCGCGGTCGAAGTAGGGGTTCTCGGTGTAGTTGGGCGTCGCGCGGACGTGCGGGAAGAGAACGCATGAGAGCGAGAAGAAGTGGTTCTCGGTTACCGAGTCTGGGGAGATATCAATTCAGTAACAGTGTTTGGGAGGTAGAAGTGCCTGAAATTGGGTGACAGCGCCTCAACCCGCCCTATCAGCCTGCGGCTATCTACATGCGCTTAGCAGTGGAATAGCTGAGCCTGACGTTATAGGTATGGCGAAGTAGACCAGTGCTGACGCGCGCTGCGCCTGCCATCACTGCTGCGCGGTCAATAGACACGCCAAATGACGCATTGCGCTATCTGTGAGGCACCCACTAGAGCTGCAGATATGTCTGACCGATGCATCGCTGCAGCTCACACCACCACATCGCGCTCTGTTGGCGGGAGGGCGATGGTGATGAGGTCGATAGCCTCAAACACACATCAAAAATAAAGTCAAAGATATGGCCAAGTAGACCATGGCTGATGCGCGCCGCGCTTGCCATCACTGCTGCGCGGTCAATAGACACGCCACATGATACGTTGCACTATCTGTGAGGCACCCCCCAGAGCCGCAGACAGGTTTAACCAGTGCATCGCTGCAGCTCAGTTGGCGGGAGGGCGATGGCGACGAGGTCGACGGCCACAAACACATCGAAAATGATTGTTTGAACGTTAAGGGTATGGCCAAGTAGACCATGGCTGATGTCGCGCCTCAGCCTGCGGCTATCTGCATGCGCTTAGCAGTGGAATAGCCCAGTCTGACGTTATAGGTATGGCCAAGTAGGCCATGGGTAACGCGCGCTAGGCTTGCCATCGCTGCTGCGGGGTCAATAGACACGCCAAATGACGCGTCGCGCTATCTGTGAGGCAACGCTGGAGCTGCAGATAGGTCCGACCGATGCATTGCTGCAGCTCAGACCACCACGTCGCGCTCTGTTGGCGGGAGGGCGATGGTGATGAGGTCGACCACCTCAAACACATCGAAAATGATTATTTGAACAATAGAGGTATGGCGAAGTAGACCAGTGCTGACGCGCGCTGCGCCTGCCATCACTGCTGCGCGGTCAATAGACACGCCAAATGACGCATTGCGCTATTTGTGAGGCACCCCTTAGAGCTGCAGACAGGTCTGAACGATGCATTGCTGCAATTCAGAACATGCCGCGCTCTGTTGGCAGGAGGGCGATGGTGATGAGATCGCCCCCATCAAACACATCGAAAATGATTACTTGGATGCATTACTCACCGCCAATCAACAGCCAGCCACCCTTCTCGACCATATCCTTGACAAGCGCCTCGCCGTCGAACGGACGGACCTCGCATTCGTCGGGCGGAGTCCACTGCCAGCTATGTGCGCCGGGGAAGCGACCCCACTGAGCCTCGTTGTCAGCCGCGAGGTGCCACCAGAACTCGCGGTCGCTCGCGCAGCCCTCGAATCCAGCAAAGTCGAGGATGTCCTCCTTGCGATGCATGGTCATGTCGGGGTGGTCCGGCAGCGAGAGGTTCTTGGGCGTCCATGCGCCATCGGCGTATGCTTGTGGGGGGCAGGTGCTGCGGTAGCGCGGCTCGGAGACGTGGATGAGGGAGTCGAGGGCGTGGGAGAGGGGGGAGAGGTAGAGGAAGTAGAGGAGGCCGCCAGCGAGGGCTGCGAGGAGGAGGGTGCGCGGGACGTGCGTACGGGAGGGCAACCCGCGGAAGATTCCCTTGCTCATCGTAGTGGCTGGTGCGCGGAAATGGCACGGATCCAGGAAAGAGAGTGGAGTTCTTCAGACAGAAGAACAGAGAAAGGCTCTGGGGGTATGTGAGAGGAAGGAGAGCTACGGAGGAAGGGAAAGGCCCGGCTGCAGATGGTTTTTGCAGGACGTCTTGGCACATCGGTGTGAATGCGAGCCGGCGGCTGGTGGCTCTGCGCAGTTACGGGGCTCTTCTTCCATACGAGCTGATCGTGCTTCCGCTGTGGCTGACGTCGAGGGGCGATCCACCTTGGGCGTTCCATCTTTGGGCTCGTCCGCAGCAGGCAGGGCGCTCCCTCTTCATTCTTTCCATCTCGGCAAGCGCCGGCCGCCACCGGATGTTACTACGCAGGCGCCAAAGGATTCAAACTGTATGCTAGCTCTGACATGTACCTGAATTATCGTTAGGGTGTGGATATGCCATCAGTAGAACAGACGCGAATAGTCGACTTGAAACGGACGAGGATGGACGGCAACGTCGGAGAATGGTTAGGTAAGGTGGGATCTAGATAGAGGCAAACTCGGATCAGCCACAATTCTCTCCCCAGAAAGACTATCGAGCCGACTCGCAATATACCTGTTGCAACGACCAGGACCTGTGGCTTAGAGCTTAGCGTCTCAGACCATGTCATGCGAGTACATGCGATGTCTGCGCAAGCGATATCATATACTCTGTTCGTCCTACGCAGAGCTCAAACAGGGTACTTACTCCTCGGCTCGGTTGCCATGCTACCTCTCGTCCATCCGAGAACCATCCAGGAAGCATGTAACTCATCGAGATGCACTCCGATGGCGACGAAGGCGAAGAAGACAAGCGCTTGCGGCTCGGAGATCGGACTAATTCGAGGAATCGTCGGTTAAGGCCGAGCAGCTGGTTGACACCCGACAGAGGCTTGCTATCACAACCGCCAACTGCAACTGGTCACTTCGAGATGTCCGACTTCCATCGTGGCGATTGCACCTTTTAAGGCTGCTCCGACGTTGTCACCCATCGCATTTGCGTGGTGAGTCGCTTCCTCTTGGCGAAGTTCGAAGAATGCGGGAAGCAGGGAGGAGGCAGCTTCAAGGAGAGCAACTTAATGATTTCGTAAGTGAAGTGATCATGTCTTGCTCGAAAATGCTCGTACTGAGAGCTTGGAAGACGAAAACGTTTGCCGTAGTTTGTAGTTCAAGCACTATTGCAGATGAGGCTCTAGACGAAAATGCTCTCTCAAAGAGGACACATGTCATCATATCCTAGATATATGCAGGCGCAATGACAATTGGGGGCTACAGCGCGCAGCGACTAGCTAACGGAAAACGCATGAACGCCGAGAGTTTCGCCACTTCGCATCCAGTTGAACCTGTGCTTGCACTCGCACGGCTACTTCGCGTCGGATCTTCCATATGCTACTGCGGTCATATGTTTAGCGTTCGTCATTGATTCATCTGTCTCCATGTGGTACGGCACATATTCATCTGTCTCCGTGCGGTGCAGCACGCGCTAACCAGGATACAACCCTCGTTGATGCTCCACAGTCATCCGTTTCATCGCGAGATATCACCGAGTCGCCATCACTCCTCACGACCAGTCTCACTCGCTAGTCCTTGGAGGAATCAGTACTTGCGCACTCGATGAGGCTGCGATGGAACAGCTGGGACTTGGCTAGTATCTTTGCTTTGCGACAGGACCGCATTGCCGATGGGAACCGAGCTTTCCGAGTCTGCCACTGTGACGTCAATGGAGACCCGAGTGAATGCTTCGGAGCTGGGCGCGGATCCATGGGAAATGGGTAAAGGTCGGGGGTTTACTGAATGCCGCCGTTCACGACTGTACCTGCATGAATGGCGCGTTATGTGCTGGATAAAAAGACATGTCTCCGTCCATCTGTTTGGAAGTCTTCTGTTACATCTCGCTGCGTGGCCGCATCCGAGCGAGCGTTAGTCATAATACATAAATCATTGGTAGTACCATACCAAATACGAGAGTCGCATTCCAACAACTTCTAGAAATGCGTCGTGTATTCAGCTCGGTGGCCCTGATCTAGCCTCACGATTGGCCGCCACATGCCACATGGTGACGTTGCCACTCACCCGGCGCTCGCTACGACGATGTAATTTCCTCCCTCATTTTCTGAGCATTTTATGGCGTTCTGTGGTCTACTTGGATCGCCATCCTCTTAGCTGCCATCGTTCTGCTTGTGGTGAACGAGAAATATTTGGCTTGATGTCGATACCGACGAAAAGTGCTTTGTACTCGAAGACGTGGCGATGACGAACCGCTTCATCATCTTCTGCCTGTCGCAAACTCATTCCTGTGTTCATTCGTAACGTCTATGTTAGTCTATACGCTCGTCAAGGGTTTCATATTAAACAATAACTCACGATATTCGCTCCCAAACGCTTCCCAGACTTGCCAACTTGCGCATTAACGATAGCCTTCGGTCTATAGAGGCTGCATCCAGACGGAGCTATCTTCAATCCCTCGAGTGCTGTGTAGAGCCTTCCTCTTCACGGCTTCAGCATCTTGGAATGGCCGTGGTGATGTCAGGCTGAGGAGGTCGGTGTCCATGGCCGTGATAGATCGCCAGAATAGAACGAGGTCCACAATGGCGTCCGATAGCGTTTGTGGTGGGAGTCAAAGCGTGATGGAAAGGGACGGGGTGTTATGGATGAGGGATGGGTGCGTAAGTGATCAATATTACGATATCATGAAAAAGATGGCTGAACTCACTGCATCGTCATCACTACCTTTACTTTGATTCGTGTCTTTCTTCACCTGAAAGCGCGTTTCATATGTGCTTCCCACTCACGTTGTCGTCCCTGTGGATCGTCGCTATAGCAGGAGGTGACCTTCGATGACACTATGCTTCACATATGGTAAGAAGAGCACACGTCCGCAGATACAAGCTGGGTCAGATTACTCACGAAATAACGTACAACTGCTGTGACAGGTCATCCACTCGGGGAGGCAGCTCAAGCACACCTGTCGGCCACCAACGGAAGCGTCATGTCCAGAGTGCTGAAGAACGATGCCAGCGGCCTTTCGAAATGGCATCCCATGCGTTCTATTGTCGCAACTAAGCATAGCGGGCTGGCCACTGTCGTGAATCTCGCAACCTGTGGCGCGCCGAACAAGACCACTTCAAGAATATATTGTCGAAAACGCCCCATTTGCGATTATCATGTCCAGACCCTGAAGGACGACCACGACCTCAGCGTCAGCGGCGTTCTTGATGCGTCACCCTGGACGTTCTGTTGTCGCAATGAAGTATAGCGGGCTGGCGTTTACTGTGAAACGCGCGACGTGTGGCGCGCCGAACAAGACCTTTACTAGAATAAATCGTCAAAAACACGTCGTTTGCAATTGTTCACGACTTTCCTATAACAAGCTCTTCTCCCCACAGCAAAATCCAGCTGCTTTGTGCTTGCATCCTGGTGATCGTGGAAGGCGAGTTGGAGGGAAAGGACAACGACGAGACACGAGTGGATGCTCACGCGCACAGGCGTCTACACGTCTGTGGCGGAAGTGCCACTCGGTGCTCCAGTCGCTGATTGGCTGCGCAATAGCGCAGAATCTCTCCTGGTCCTAAGGCTATTCTTTGCGCAGAGAGGATACAAGATAAAATATGATGGGTGAGTGTCTATAGCCTATTGGCACAGGACGTAGTACATAATGATATTCGTAGTTTCGCAGGTCATCGTCTCATCACCGTATATCTTATACACCGTCACGTCGGTTTGCCCAAGCATATATATACCACAAACATTCCTCCCACGTTCACGCAATCCATCCGTTCAACGCCCTCTCTTCCGCCTTGGGAGTCCGCGACGCCGCATCAACGATGGTCTACTCTTCCGTCGCGCTGCCAGAGAGCACGCAGAACCCGAACGGGGTGCTCGATCCGCGCTTCTTCCTATACGAATAGGAGAGGCAGCGTTGCATGTCTTCCTCCGAGCAGCATGCTATCTCGACCCAGTCGTTTCGGGGCATCTTGCCATCGTCGGCGGCGTCGTTGTGGAGCTCGGCCTTATCACCGAGGCTTATGTCCGACGAGGGCCCTGAAGAGCTCGCTCCTGAGCCTGAGCCTCCCCTGTAGTCATCCTCAGAGTTCGCAAGGCCGGCGCTCGGTCCTGCGGACGACTTGCAATTTCTCAATGCATCAACTCTAACCCTGTAACGCGGCAAATCGATATGCTCACCAGTCGCGAGGCCAAAGATGCGTCCATCCGCCACTTCTTAAACATCTCCAGAGCCAAGCCCCTTGCCCACTCGTGTTCGAGAACGCTGTCGTTCTCTTCTTGCAAGAGCGATACTGTCGACTCTGCGGCGGAGGCCGTTGGCGTGCCTTGCTCCGAGGATTGGAATGCGCGGAGGAGGGGGCCTCCAGTCTGTCAACGACAGATGAGGGACAGCAGAATAGGAAGAAGGTCGTCAACTTTGCTTACCATCCAATCCTCGTTCACCTCATTCCCATTCTCTCCACTGTCGCCCCTCACTTCAAATGCTTCCTCCAGGACTGTCTCCTGGGGCAGTGGCGGGAGCTGATTCGTGTGTCATGATCAACGACGGTGGATTTATGGAGACATTAATGTTATATAGTGGTGAGTGAACAGGTTTTGACGGGCGCGATGGGAAGCAATTGACTCACCGGTTTGTCCCTTCCGCTCGTCAAACTTTGTTCACTTGCAGTGACCGTGACCTTGTCTGCGACACTCAAGGTCGCCTTGGCTGCGACGGCCTCCATGTACGTTCAGGCCCATTCTGAAGGATTGTGGTCGACTTGATGGGCTGGCAACATCTGCATGACCTTACTTCTATTCGACACGCGAGGCTTTTTGAAGAATCCAAGAGCCATGGGAAATTCTGCAGCGACGAAGGGGATGAGTGTTCCGATGCGCCTTGCTAAGGAGAAGCCTCCTTTACCTCTATGCGACTAAGAAGATGGAAGAAATGTAGCAGGTATCGGCGGAAGGGGCGCAAGTTGTCGTGGTCAAGAGGCAAATCGCGCGAGTGGCAAGCCACCATCGATAGCGAGCGCTTATTGGATTGATCGCTGAGGGTGGCGAGTGGCGAGTGGCGACCAATGAATGTGTCCTCTTGAGCATTGGGATGGTAATATGGGTTTCGCTGCACTGTGAGTACAATATATTCTTCGAATGCATTTATCAGGATTTATGTAATTGGATCTACAAGAGACGTTATCCGAAACCAAATCTGGTTGCCGTCAATGGGCACCAGTTATCGTGTGGATGTGCCATAGCGCAGAGCATCCGCTGATCATGAAATGAAGATATGTGGAAATATATCCCAAAGCGCAATACAATCGGTAAGAACATGCAACGTATCGACAGAAGATATGGCTGATTGAAAACCACATAGCTCCCCACACCAACGTTGCATCTCCATATAGCTTACATCCTGCCGCGCCGCTTTATCCTCGTAATTTCTTCTACGGTTTCACCCCAATTCCGCCGTCGAACGTCCCGTCCTTCCTCCCACGAGCCCGCGGACATACAATGACTTGTAAGTCCATAAATGGGGTAGTTCACGCTCGGAGTGAACGCTTCAGGGCTGAGCGCAGATCTATGGGAAGTGGGTAAAGGTCCGGCGTTCACTGAATGCCGCCATCCACGACTATACTTGCATGAGTGGCGCGTTATGTGCTGCATACAAAGACATGTCTCGCTCCATCTGTTCGGAAATCTTCTGTTACATATCACTGCGGTGGCCTCACCCGAGCGAGCGTTAGTCGTAATACATAGATCATGCGTATCATACCAAGTACGAAAGCCGCATCCCAACAACTTTGAGAGATCGGTCATATATTCAGCTCGGTCTAGCCTCACAATTGGCCGCCACATGCCACATGGTGACGTGCCACTCGCCCGGCGCTCGCCACGACAAAGTAATTTCCTCACTCATTTTCTAAGCACTTTCTGGTGTTCTGTGGCCCGCTCGGCTCGCCGTCATCCTGGCTTTTATTTATCTGCTGGTGTGAAACGAGAATTGTTTGGCTTGATGTCGATACCAATGAAGACCGTTATGCGCTCGAACGCGTGGCGATGACGAAGCGCTACATCTTCCCCTGCATGTCGCAAACTCGACCAGTATCATTGCTATGTCCCTGAATGGCATCGGTGTCAGTCTACAAACTCGTCAACGGCTTCATATAAAAACGATCACTCGCCGTGTCCTGTCCCAAATGCTTCCCGGGCTTGTCACCTTTCGCATTATCGATTTCCTCCCGTCTATAGAGACTGCATCCAGGCCGAGCTGTCTTCTTTTCCTTGGGTGCTGTGGAGAGCCTTCCTCTTGAAGGCTCCAGCATATTGGAATATCCGTCGTGGTGTCGGGTCGAGGACGTCGGTGCCATATGGCCATGATAGACCGCCGGAATAGAACGAGGTCCACATTGGCGTTCGATAGCGTTTCTGGTGGGAGTCAAAGCTTGGTGGAAAGGGACGGTGGATTATGGATGAGGGACGGTGCGTAAGTGATCAATACTACGATATCATTTATAAAGATGACTGAACTCACTGCAGCGTCATCACTGCCTTTCCTTTCATTCGTTTCTTTCTTCACCTGAAAGCGCCTTTCATATGTTCTTCCCGCTCACGTTGTCGTCCCTGTGGATCGTCGCTACAGCAGGACGTGACCTTCGATGACACTCTGCTTCAGATATGGCAAGATGAGCACACGTTCGCAGATACGAGCTGGGCCAGATTACTCACGAAATAACCTGCAGCCTTCTGTGACAGGTTCTTCACTCGCGGAGGCAGTTCAAAGAACCTCTCGGCCACCAACGAAAGCATCGTATCCAGAGTGCTGAAAGACGACCTTGACGCGAGTGGCCTATCTTGATTCGACATTTTGTGTGTTCTATTGTCGCATAAAGCATAGCGGGCTGGCCACTATCGTGAATCTCGCAAGATGCGGCGTGCCGGACAAGACCACTACACGAAGGTATTGTCAAAAACACGTCATTTGCGATTGTCATATCCAGACACTGAAGGACGACCTTAACGTCAGTGGCCTTCTCGGTCCGTCATCCTTGGCGTTTCCGTGTCGCAGCAAGGCACGGCGTATTGGCCGTTACTGTGAATTGCGCAACGTGTGGCGCGCAGAACAAGACCTTTACTGGAATAAATTGTCAGAAACGCGTCATTTGCGATTGTTCACGACTTTCCTATAACAAGCGCTTCTCCATGCAACAAGATCGAGCTGGTCTGTGCTTGTATGCTGGTGGTCGTGGAAGGAGAGTTGGAGGGAAAGGACAAGACACGAGTGGACGCTCACACGCACAGGCGTCTACACGTCTGTGGCGGAAGTGCCACTCAATGCTTCAGTTGTTGATTGGCTGCGCTGTTGTGCGGATCCTCTCTTGGTCTCAAGGCTCTTCTTTGCGCAAAGATGGAGAATAGAGTACGATCAGTGAGTGCGTACAAGCTATCGACACAGGACGTAGTTGAATATGATGCTTATAGCTCCACCGGTCATCGCCTCATCACCATATATCTTACACCTCATCACGCCGGTTTGCCCAAGCATATACATAGCACAAACATTCCTCACACCTTCACGTAATCCATCCGTTCAATGCCCTCTCTTCCGCCTTGGGAGTCCGCGACGCCGCATTACTAACGGTCTACTCTTCCACGGCGCCGCCAGCGAGCACGCAGAAGCCGAAGGGTGTGCTTGACCCATGCTTCTTCCGATACGAGGAGGAGAGACAACGTTGCATGTCTTCCTCCGAGCAGCATGCTATCTCGACCCAGTCGTTTTGGGGCGTCTTGCCATCATCAGCGGCGTCGTTGGGAGTCCACCCTTGCCACCAAGGCTCACGTCGGACGAGGGCGGTGAAGAACTCGCACCAGAGCCTGTACTTCCCATGTGGTCTCCCACAGAGGTCGCAAGAGGGGTGCTCGATCCTGCGGACGACTTGCGATTTCTCAATGCATCAACTCTAATCCTATAACGCGGCAAATCGGTGTGCTCACCATTTGCGAGGCCAAAGATGCGTCCATCGGCCATTTCTTAAACATGTCCAGAGCCAAGCCCCTTCCCCACTCGCATTCGAGAACGCTGTCGTTCTCTTCTTGCAAGAATGATACTGTCGACTCTGCGGCGGAGGCGGTCGGTGTGCCTTGCTCCGACGATTGGAATGCGCGGAGGAGGGCCCCCACACTCCGAAAAAGAGAGAAAAAATCACAGAAGAAAAAGAGGCGCCAAAACGGCGCACAACACAAAACCCACACACACCACACTCACACACTCCCCGCCGCTCCCCCCCCCCAAAAACCGCCCCCGACACAACATCCCACAGCACAGGCGCGAGAGCGGGCACATACCACAAGAAAAAACACGGGAGATATAGAGAGAGAGCGAGAATATAGAGGGGAGAGAAAACAGGTTGACACGCGCAAGAGCACACAAAAGACACACACCGGTGTCCCCCCCCCGCGCGAAAAAACGTTGACATGCACAGACACCGACACGGTCTCCGACATCCAAGGGCCCCCGACCGCCGACAGCCACCATAAAGCCCAGGCCCAAGGATGAAGGACGACGGGAGACGCGAGCAACAGCCAAAAGATACAACACCTAACCGAGACGCGAGGCGCGAGGAAGAATCAAAAAGCCAAGAGAAATACGAAAGCCACCAACGACAAAAGCGATCAGAGGTCCCATGCGGAGGACAAAGCAGAACCCCCATGTAACCAAAAACAACGAAGAAAAAGGAAAAAAGGCAAAAGCGAGCAGCGGACGGCGCAAGCAAGAGGGAAAAAGAGCCAAAGGCAACGAACCACAAATAACCAGCGATAACGGGAGCCAACGCGATGGATCGCGAAGGGCGACAAATGAAGACCAACGAACGGCCAAACAGAGGCAAAGAAAGAGCAACATGCACTGCAAGGAAAGGAGAGCACACGAAACCATGAAAAAGCATACATGGAAATGAATCGAAAAGACACAGCAGCAGAAACCAAACCAAGTCAAACACAACGCGAACCAATAAGCACCGGGAAGCCCCAGACCACAGAACAGCCCCGAACCACGAAAGGAAGAGAAATGAAAATATACCCAAAAACGCAACAAAACACAAAACAACAAGCAACGAAACGACAGAAAACAAGACAAAACAAAAACCAAAGAAATACCCAAAGCAACACAGCATCAACATACAACCTACACACAGCCGACACCCTGCAGCGCACTGAATCCCACTAAGGTCTCACACCAGTCCACCCCAAGAACGCCCCCGAACGCCCCCCACGACCCCCCACCAACACAAGGACATACAAGGACATAGATGACGATACATCACGCTAGACCAAACTCGACACTAAAAGCCCGAAGAACGAACGGAACACGAAAGCTGACCTTAGCCCGCAGCCCAAGCCGCATGAACATGGTCCCGAACAACAGAGCAGAGAACCCACCATGAAGGCAACCCAGAAAGAAACAAAAACCCAAAGAACACCGCAGAGCCAAGCGAAAAACCGATAGAGACAAGCAAAAGCCCAAAGGCAAGTCAAACCCAAAAGCGCCACACCAGCACGACACGCGCATGAGGGGCGCGATAAAAGCACGATAGAACAACCCAACCGCAGAACAGCTGTCTGGAACAACTAGGTGAAATCCCCCCACCAAAACAACATCAGACCGAACGCAAGAAATAATAAAAAAGACAATAACAACAGACCAAAGAGGCCGAGAGCAACAACCCGAAGAGTTCGAAAGCAGACGCAGACTCAGCCGCCCTGACCGAGACCCACCATCACCAGCCACAGCCACACGGCCAAATCACCACCGCCCACCAACACGAACTAACCACCACCAACAAATTCCCACAATCATCTCCCGAACAGGGGCCCGCGTGCAGCGCCACCATCCGAGCGCCAACATCCTGGCTGCTACAGAACGACAAATGACGAACCAGAAATGACGGGGCCGAAGAACAACACCGACGAAGACAAGACGGGGCGAGAACAAAGCCCGACGAAGAACCACAACGAAGCCCGACATCTCCAAAACACGACCAAAAACATGACCAGGATCATTAAAAACATCATGAAAAACACCGAATTAGCCGACGAATTCGCAAAAACACTAACACAAAAAACAACGCACAAAAGCCTCCCACAAACGCCACCCACAGCATAATAGCGGGCGCCCCCCCTATAGAGACACCATACACACCGAACCAAAATCCTTTTCCCCCTGTGCTATGCAGAGCCTTTCTATTGGCAGCCCCAGCTTATTGGAATGCCTATCGCGATACCAGGCTGTGGAGGTCGGTGCCATATGGCCATGATAGACCGCCGGTGCAGAATGAGATCTACGTTGCCGTGCGGCAGCGTTTCGGGAAGAATCAAAGCTTGATGGAAGGGGACAGAATGGTATGGATGAGGGATGGGGGTGCATACCTACATTGAGCAACGTAAGTAATTGAAACTAGACATCGTCGATAATTTGACTGAACCGACATGTATCGTCATCACTACCTTTCCTTCCATTCATCTCGTTCTTTACTTGAAAGTTCATTTCGCGAATTCTTCCGGGCGCTGGCTTACGTTGTCATCCCTGTAGATTATTACTATAGCAGGAGATGGCCTCTAGCGACACCATGTTTCGCATATGGTAAGAACAACAGACATCCACGGATCTGATTTTCGGCAAATCACTCACGAACCAGCATTCACTTGCTGTGACAGGCTTTCTGCTCGCGGAGGCATCTCAAGCACACCTGTCGGCCCACAACGGAAGCATCATATCCAGAGGGCTGAAGGACAACCTTGACGCCAGTGGCCTTGCTGCATCGGCATCCTATGCGTTCTATTGTCGCAACAAGGCATAGTGGGCTGGCCACTATTGTGGATCTCGCAAGGTGTGGCGCGCCGAACAAGACCACTCCACGAAAAGATTGTCAAAAATCGCGTCAATCGCGACTTTTCACGACTTACCTATGCCGAGCCCTCCTCCATACAACAAGATCGAGTTGGTTTGTGCTTGTATGCTGGTGGTCATGGAAAGCGAGTTGGAGGAGGGAAGGAGGAAGACACGAGTGGACGCTCACGCGCACAGGCGTCTACACGTCTGTGGCGGAAGTGCCACTCAGTGCTGCAGTCGTTGATTGGCTGCGCTATTGCGCAGGATCTTTGCTAATCTCAAAGCTATCTTTTGCACAAGATGATACAGAATAAAGTGTGATCAGTGAGTGTTTACGGCCTCTCGACAAAGGATGTAGTAGAATATGATATTCGTAGTTCCACAGGTCATCGGTCTCATCGCCACGTATCTTACACCTCATCGCATCGGTTTGTTCAAGCATATATATTCCACTACATTCCCTACACCTTCACCTGATCCATCCGTTAAACGCTCCCTCGTCCGCCTTGGGAGTCCGCGACGGCGCATCAACGGTGGTCTACTCGTCCGTAGCGCCGCCAGCGAGCACGCAGAAAGCGACGGGTATGCTTGATCCGTGCTTCTTCCGGTACGAGTACGAAAGGCAGCGTTGCATGTCTTCCTCCGAACAACATGCTATCTCCACCAAGTCGTGTTGGGGCGCCTTGCCGTCATCGGTGGTGTCGTTGCGGAACTCGGCTTCGCCAGCGAGGCTTATGTCGGACGCGGGCACGGAAGAACTCCCGCTAGAGTCTGTGTTTCTTGTGTGGTCTTCTGTAGAGTCAGCAAGACCGGCACTCGATCCTGCGGCTGACTGTAGATTTGTCAGATGCGTCAACTACAACCATCTGATACAAGGGATCGGCATGTTCACCATTTTGGAGGCCGCAGATATCGTCCTCGATTCTTTTTGAAGCAGTTCAGAGGCCAGAACGCTTGCCCACTCGTATTCGAGGATCCCATTATTTGACTTTCTCACTAGCGACACCATCGATCCTGCTGCGGAAGCTATCGGCGTGCCGTGCCCTGACGACTGGAATGCGCGGAGGAGGGGGCCTCCAGTCTGCGAAAGAGGGATGAGGAACGGCAGAGTACGAACAGGGTCGTCAGGTTTGCTTACCATCCAACCCTCATCCTCCGCATTCTCACACTCTCCACTGCTGCCCTTCCCCTCAAACTGGTCCTCCGACGCCATCTCCCAGGGCAGTGGCGGGAGCTGAATCAGATGCCATGATCAATGATGGTGGATTTATGGAGAGATTGCGATTATATAGTGGTGAGTGAACAGGTTTTGACGGACACGATGGCAGGCAACTGACTCACCGGTTTGTCCCTTCCGCTCGTTAAAATTTGTCCACTCGCAGTGACCGTGACCTTGTCTGCAACACTCCTCGTCGCCTTGGCTGCGATGGCCTCCATGTATATTCGGGCCCATTCTGGAGGATCGTGATCGACTGGCTGGACAGGCGGCATCTGCTTGCTCGTGTTTTTGGCCGAGATGCGAGGCTTTTTGAAGAATCCAAGAGCCATAGGAAATTCTGCAGCGACGAAGGCGATGAGCGTTCCGATGTGGTTTGCTAAGGAGAAGCCTCCTTTACCTCTATGCAACTTAGAAAACGGAAGAGGTGCAGTAGTCGGCGAAGTCGGAGGCGGTCGTCGTGGTCAAGAGGTAAATCGCGCGAGTGGCAAGCGACCATCGATAGCGAGCGCTTATTGGATTGATCGCTGAGGGTGACGAGTGGCGACCAATGAATGTGCCCTCTCGGGCATTGGGATGGCAGTACGAAATTTTGCTGCACAGTGAGTACAGTGTACTCTGCAAATGTGTTCATTAGTATTTATGGAATCATTCCTACAAGGTATTACACTCGGAGCCAAATCTAGGTACTCCGTGATGGTTTGCGTAATCATTTACAATTTCACGACCCACCTCCTTGCGGGAACTATCATTTGCAAGATTCCTTACCACCCCCTTCCGCGAGCAGAATCCTGCCGCCAATCTGTGCGCTGGTTGCAAACGAAAGCACTATCTGGCGCGCGATTTGCGGTGCGCCTATAGCCGGTGCTTTTGCGCCTCAGAGCGTATGCCGCAGACAGGCTGGCATATACCTCCCGCTCCTGCTGGCCACTGGCAGTAGCTTGGAATGTATCCCTTGATAGCCCCGCTGTATCCTGGCCCAACTTGTCGGCATGCATCCTTTCTACGATGGCCCCTCCGCAGACAGCATCATAGCCTACCTCATCGACGTCTACGACACGTTTCGCGCTACTGGTGTGCAGGACATCCGCCGAAGTGGGCAATGTCATGATGGGGGATCCATTGTCTGCACGGTCTCCGGCAGCAGCGAACAGCTGACCCTAGCAATTTGTGCATTCGTAAACAACATTGCACACGTATGCTTTAGAAAGGATCCGACATTTACCGGTTGGTCGAGCATCACTGCCCTGATTGGCAGTCTCTGTAGGCTCGAGGTGGTCGTGCTCTTTGGTTCTTCCTTTGTCTTGTCAAGGCCTTCCACCACCAGGAGCGACGGAATCGAGCTTGGCCCTGATATCAGCCGGCCTTCGTGTCCTGAGAGGAGCCCTGAAGAAAGATCTCCTTCACACTGCGGCCATGGTGAGCATATACTGTGTTCACTGATCCTTGAGGTCTGGCTCACTAAGTTGGCCAGGTACACTTCGTGCTCCTGGTCTTCCTGTCTGAAATCGGCTTGTAACGGGCTTTTCAGGAGCGGTGTGGAGCCCACACGCTGGGACTGTGATATTCGATGGCCGATAGATCAACCATCGACGCGAACAGGGCGCGAATAGAAAAGAAGCGTTGTGATGTGCCGGTGAGTGCGCAGTCCTTGATGGGTTGCTGGCTGGCTTACGCACCTGTTGGTCTGGTTCTGGCTGTGCACAGGTGTTTTCAGCAGCCCTCGGCTTGCGGAAAGGCGTTCGTCGACGCTTATAATAGCTCTTTGAAAGCTTAGGGTGTGGCACAATTATCATCACCATGTAAGGAATCTTGCGCCTAACGATTGCGTGGATTCTCTTGATGAACGACGGCACCACGGTCTTGTGCGCTGTAGTCAGCGACTCCCTTGATAGCTGGGCGATTCCACTATTCGTGCGTACCATGGTGCGCTTGTACTGTGTCAAGACAGTTGATCTAGAAGTGGGGAGTGGTTGTTGGTGAGAATCAACAAGACTGGACGCCGCCGCGTCAAGTACTTCGAGTATGGGCGCTAATGGAGTGGCTCGAAAGCCACTGACTGGGAGCTAGTCAAGAGATGCTTTGCAAAGCCTGGGGTTTCAATATTCGGAAATTTACCTGTCTTGCCCTTGCCTTACGAAAGTGAAAGTTCGCCCCCAATATGGCGACAAAATCGGCTTATCAGCTCGCGCATACTGTGAGTAGAATTCATGCACAAAGATGAGATTACTAACGTTGAACACGTTACATAAGTTGAGCCCGCGAAACTGTTATAAACCTCTCCAACATCATTCATGCCTCAGTCTCATGGGATGATAGTCTTCTGCGCTTGACGCCGGTTGGTCTCGATGTCCTCCCGCGTGGCCGGAGGGACCGCACCATCCTCGTCTCTTTTCCTATGACCTGCGCATATCATGGTTAGGAAGCAATTACGCTTCTTCTCGGTTTGCGCCTACAGTTGCGGCGACGAGACTCAAGGTGAAGGGGTCGCAGTTGATCTTGGTACTTTGGAAAATGGAAAGAAAGAGAGAAGGAGCGAGCCGCTGCTTGCGGAGGCAGGCACGTCTATGATAGATAGCACCTTTCAGCGGTCACCAATCGTTGACCAGCTATGCTGTTGTGCAGAATCCCTGTTGGCCCATTGATGATCCTCTGCATGAAGATTGCTCAAATCGCAAGTATGCCTTACTCGTCAATCAATTCCATAGTCAAGTGAGCCTTCCTTTCGTAGCTCCAAAAGCCACCATCTGATTGCTTCTATCTCACATGTTTTGTATCACTCTCACCTTGCAGTATAATTAGCAACTCATTCCGCAGCTCAAGCGTTCTCGTCTGTCTGTCCCACAAATCTGATTCTATGCGTCAACAGCCGCCTGCACGTCTATAATAGCACCGGCCAATATATGGTATCCGAATCGCGTGCCAAAACCACCCTTTCGTCGGTACGAATAGGAGAGACAGCGTTGTTTGTCTTCCTTCGCGCAACACATGGTCCTGGTCTCGAGCGGTTCACATATGGGCGCCTTGGAGCCATCGTCTGCGTCACTGACGGTATCAACGTTGCAGTGGAGATTCATTTCGGAAACGAATAATGAGGATTCCGCGCTGTGGCCCTCGGTCGTTCTGCGGTCATCCGCTGAAACAATAAGGCCCAAACTCTGCACGGAAGATGACTAGAGCCCCTCAACAGTCTCAGCGCCGGCCATCTTGCGCAGGAGATGTATCCTTACCATGTGGGAGACCAATGACGCTGTTCTCATCCGTTTGTCGAGCAGTCCCGGCGTCAACGCACTTGCCCATTCATATGCGAGAACAGTCTTGTGCTGTTCAAGCAAGAGCGATGTGGTTGAACCTGCCGCAGACGCTGTCGGTGTGCCATTTACTGACGATTGAAATGCCCCGAGAAGAGGACCTCCAGTCTTCTAGCAAGTGATAAGGAACAGCAGATGCAAGTTCAACAGAGATTTGCTCACTACCCAGTATGCACTCTCTCCATTGTCGAATACTGTACTATCACCCTCCACCTCGATCACAACCTCGGGAATCGCCTCTGAGGGCAATGACGGGAGCTGATGGATATGGCAGTCACAAGCGGGGGAACAGATCCATAAGATATCACGATCATATATTGGTGAGTGCACTGATTATGACGGAAGAATAGATATATGGTTAACTCACCGGCTTGTCCTGCCTTCCCGTCATTTTTTGTGCTCTCACAGAAGCTTTGCCTGCTTTTGCTTGCTTCTGCTGCTTGTAAAAGCTATCCATGACTTGTCGCCCCAGTCGTTTGACGGGGAATTTCTGGACTCCCTTGTCTTTGAGTGAGCCGCGAGACTTCGTTCACAGCGAGGTGCTAGATTTGATCGACTGTGCTACCCGAGCAATACTCGCGCAGCGGCATTTATACGGACTGAGGAATGGCTGTGTTGCTGGCGGACGGAGGCGTGTTTTGGTCGTGGTCGAGAAGCAAGCTGCACGAGCGAGAAGCCTGGTGGGCGTTTACTGAGTTATGCCTCATGTCCGGTGAGATTAGTGGGTCACGGGCAATTAGTGCATTTTCTCAGGGAGATAAGGAATTGTAGCGTAGCTACTGACGCAGTGTGAGTGAAAAGTTGATCACGCATTCGTTGATGAAAGTTTATAGATACTGAACGACAATATTAGGCGCATCGATCGAGAAAGAAGCTAATGCATTCTTTCCCATCTCACAAAATGGACGATCTCAAAACAATAAGTAATCCGGGTCTTTAGCCACCATGTGATCTCCATTCAACAAATAGCGAATGCTTTGCTGGCGTACCTTCTGCGGATAGAATGACAACTCCGGGTTGCAGACCTTTGTGCCACATGCGTTGTTAGCGTGAAGTGCGACGTTATGAGCACAATCAGACACCTCGTAGACAGCCCGCTCGTACGTTGTGTTATGAGACTTGTTCTTGAGGTCCTCCATCGCTAACTCTACTGCACAAAGGATGGTCGACTTGTGATGTCTCGTTCAAGTTGTAACAGATATAGGAACATGCAGTTATGCAGATGAATCCGTTGTCACATACGGATCTATTCTTTCACGATTCTACCGCATCCGCTCTTTCTCCCTCAGCCGACTTTGATGGCCCCTCTCGGTATCGAGGTGGACATTACATCCCAGATGTATGCAAGAAATCCATCCGCGCGGGATCGACTAGCACTACCACTGGCGATGGTACCGCATAAGCCATGGCTCGTACCTCAATACGTTCGTGCACTTCACGATGGATGGGGTTCTCTGCATGCGGTACCGGAGTTCTTAGCACGAGGCCTCCATGATTGGAAGCTGGAACCGCTCCGGCATACGCAGGAAGAACATGATACAACTCGCGAGGTGGCCAGCGGATCGCGCTCATTGGCTGTATAGAAAAGCGTCAACTTCCGTCAAGCTCTGCAAATTCGGCTCCGCAAGATACGTACGACTGACATGGCGACCCTAAATCCAGTCCGTATCCCGTCCTCGCTCTCCTGCCACTCCCAATTTCCTGGTGTGTCCTCTGGCAATGGCGCTGGTGGTGGAAGTGGACGTCCATTACGCAGCCTTCGCATCCTGTCCACTGACGGCAGGTGCTCCTGAAGAAATTCACCTTCGATCTACAACCCCTGTAAGTATGAGCTATAGAGCATCCATATCAATGCTCACCGCAAAGTAACTCCCAGTTTCGCTGTGGTCAAGACTTCCTTGTCCGAAGTCAGAAGAATGATTACCTCTGGATGCCGCCAGTCGAGCCCGTTGTTCAGATTGAACTCCATTCTTCCCTCCACTGCTCTCAGCGGCCTATTCGAGACATAGTGAGTGCATACAATTTGACGAGCGTGCCGATTAGCTGGCTTACTGCATTATCGATGCTGATCGTCTGTTTGTATGTACTTGCAGGGCGGGCAGACTCGTTTTGATCATGTTCAATTTCTCGGCTGCTGTGCGTCAATGTTGTGGCATCAGTCTGCGTGTAAATGAGCCGCTTGATGGTGGCCATGATCTCTTCGAGAGTCATGGTGTCGTGAAGGGTGAAGATCCTAGAGTGATGAAGACCTTGGTGTGTATAGCTGCAGCTAGATTACAGCGATTACTCACTGATGTTGTCTAGTGATGATGGGCAGGGGTTATATGGTGCAGCTCAACGGAAGGGGTGATGCGCGCCACAAGCAGGCGCGGTTGAGCACGCTTTCAAGCCATTTTCCTCCTCGGGCGCCTAATCACCGTGGCAGGCTCCAAATTTAGTCTCCGCGGCACCAGCCCACGTCCACTGCTTCATCATGTCACAACATCGTACATCCACCGTGAACTGCGTAACCTGTCGGACAAAATGTATGAGAGTATGCTCAGAACGATACGAGTGAGGTAAGATGATGTGTGTGGTCCTGAGGTGTGTACGTTATAGAGGTCGTTATGCGGCTGCTTGAATATCTGGCAGCTAGTCACTTCCTTCATCTCAAAAACGCATTAAGATGCCTTGGCAAAATTTACGGAGCGCGACCAATGCAGTGAGCCCGTTGCTCATTGAAGTCTAATGACTTCCTGAACTAATGAGTGTTACAAAGGACGGGATCGAATCACTCCATCGTGTCGCCGTTTTTGCCACTTGCTTATTAACGAGGCTCACTTCAGTCTCCCTGTACAATGCACTTCCCACGGAGCGCGATTCTGCTTCAAGTCGACAGCTGCTCTCTGGTTCTCTCAAGACGTCACAGGCGCGTATTGTATGTTTGATACAGTGCGAAGATCCAACAAATTCGAAACTGAGTCATCAGCCTAGACTCATCGACTATCATGGCGCACTTCCAACAAAGCCAATGGATCGACCGGCTATCACGCCTTCAATGTGACCCTGAAAAACCCGTCCGATCACCTGCAAGGACTTCGCTGCAGAGCATCACCATCCGTAATTGAACCGAGGTCGCAGTTTTTACTCGCTGGCTCCGTGTCTCCGAATTTACAACACGTGAAGCTTGACTTGACGACCAGGATTTCCTCGATGACTTGCACGGATTGTTCCCCTTACTCGAAGAGGTCTATCTGCGGATGCATTTCATGCTCTTAAGTATGACCGCAGTGCGATAGCAAGAACGTTGCGAACTCTACCCCAAAGTCAGCACCTATAGATCCCAGATGTGAAATGTACCTGCGCTGGATACACCACAAGATTCACACAAGCCATCACAATATCCGCCATTTTAAAGTGGTCTTTCGTAGGAAAGCTTACTCTGGATATCACCGAATACTTGTTGACTGTGTTCTATACCCCACGCTTGACGATATCCGGGATGGGACCTCTATATGGCTTCCTCATACAATAAATGCATGGTCTGCTCACATCATCGACATCCTGCGCTGTAGGTTCTCGAGCTTACAATGAGGGCCTGCCTCTGGACCATGCACAATTCTTCACAATATTCGTACTCTCCCAGATCGTGATATTAATGGTCACAATGAGTACTGGCAAGTTTGCTAATATTCACGAATAACGCTGCGACACGGATAGAGCTTCCGATGCTCCCATTCTGCACGCACTGCGTGCTCTGGTTCTGTAATGGTCCGCGGAGAACCCATATCGTACTACTCCTCGTGCAGCGGGTATCACATTGGCGGAACTCCATATTCGCAACTATCTGCCACCGATAGCCTTCAAAACTTGTCTACTAGAGAGCGTTTGGTGCATTTCATGTATCTCTTCTACGATGTATAATCTACGGGTAGGTATAGTTAGTTATAGTTAGAACTGTGCGTGGCAGAAAACTCAGTGATCGGTTGAATACTGATAACTATTCTGATGAACCGCGATTGAGGTCGTACTACCGTAGTACTGAAACACTGCGTCAAACCTATAAGTGCTATATAGTACTCTCCTCAACTTTGCGGTGCCATGCCACCACTCGCCAGCCCACCGTTCACGCGAAAATGCAGTGCATCTTGGCATAAGTCGTTCGTTCCGCGGATTTCTCAGAAGGCTCCAGTGTTTGCAGAGTATTCATTAGTACACTGAAATCTAAATACGGCATAGAGAAGTTGCACGAGAAAGTTGAAGCATCTGCTGGTCGCAACCTACGAGTCCCGGCGGTGACAGACGTCGATATAGTAGTACTAGCCGGTGCCTCCGAGTCGGTGGCGCCGTCAATATCAATCAGTGATCGCAGTAGCTTTGCCACAACTCTTACGTCTGGGCCGAGCTGTGTTCTCGCTCGCGCAAAGAAGTAGTGAATTCTCTTACACATGATCTTCGTGAATTACCGACTTGTGGGCAGAAAGAAGATTTATCGTAAAACTTGGCGGTGGCTCCGCTGTGGCCCGGCCGGCAACCAGGCTTGTGATTGGCCGCCGACACGGCGCGCCGCTCAGCACCAGTATTGATTTTGGTAATTCTTGCCTCATTCTTTGAGCATCTTCTCGCAACGCGTAGCCAGAGCGGTAAACTTCGTTCTATTTCAATATGTCCCGGGATGCAAGGGCAGAGATGCTGTAGTCCTGATTCACTTTGACGAAAACTCGTTCGTTCCTGATGACTAGGCTCATAAATCAGCCTTCGTACAGGAAGACAGTCGTTCCTTATACCTGATGATGCGGCAGCGTCAAAACGCTAAGTGATTTCTCATCTGAATGCTGTGAACTAGACGAGCTATTACACCCTCTAAGCACCAACAGAGGTTTCGATTGCCGCTGCTGGCTTCATATTAATCCATAGCGATCAATACTCCCAGAAGCGCCTTCAGGTCGACCATTTTGCTCTCCACCAGCTAAATCTCGCCATAAACAGGCTCAATGGAGACCAAGTCGTCTTGCTCTCGTTTGTGGGTTCCACCATTTGAGCAAGAATGCCATGAGGTTACAGAGGGTTACAGGGACAAAGGGCTAGGGATGTGTTCTATACGGAATGTGTGAGTGCATACGCCGAAGGACTTCGCATGAACTGACCACGTAGTCACCGCTGTGTCTCTGTCATCCTTTTTTTTTTTTTGCCTCGAACCTGCAACGCACGCCCTATATCACTGCTTCTCTTTGATGCGCCGATGATCTCTGCTTTCCCTTTCGATCCATGTCTTGCTGCTCGTGGGCTTCGTGGCCTGTATACATCATGGTAAGCACACGTCATGCACAGGGACGACGTTCATGAAGGCTGATTTATGGGTCAGCGTCGGCTTGATGTCATCGGTCCGCGCACATGAGGCACATACGTTGAATATCCACCTGTCGCAAATCCACCTTGGTAAGACACGTAGGAGAGGTTCTACATTATTAACCTTCTTGAGTGGTTTCCATGTTGCACTTCGGTACGGATAGGGATCCACCTGTTGGCAAACCAACGATATTGATGCAAGATGTGGTGCGCGGAGTAACGAGACTGTCAATGAACAGATCGTTGGGGGCGCATGAAATCTTTTTTTATTCTTTCATAGGTGGGAATGCCGCTTTTATTGGAAAACCTGGAGAGCTAGATGGAACGGAGAGTAGCAGGCATCAGTCGGCGCCACATGGACAGGCCCTGATAGGACTGTGGCTCAAGTGCCACGGAATGGCCATCAATCAATCATTGATCGCGGCGATGTGAAGCGAACACAGTGATTCCGAGACAGCGGCATGAGAAAGGACCAAAATACAAGTCGTGAGTACATATATTCCGTCGATCGAAACTGCTCTTGAAAAAATCTTCACATGTCTAATGCTACCATCTCATCGTCCCACATCTTACAGCCTTGAGTACTGGCACATCCACATTGTCATCCCTCAACCCAATCTTGCTGCGATCTCAGCATTCCACTCTTTCTCAGTCTCCTTTCTCCCGACCTGGTACACTCAACCCGACGTCAACTATTACCCGTGTGTCCGCTTTGGCAACCAGCATGTTGGGACCATCAAACCCTCCTGGAATTGTGTCTGCCTCTATACGCGGGGGAGATGACGCGGTTCCTGTCCCAATTTCTATAACCCGAGATCTCGTGTGGTTCACTTGGGAGCGCCTTGGAGGGATTACCGGCATCGCGATGGGCGTCGCATACATCTGCGAGGATGAACTCGGACTGGGATGATGAAGGTCCCTCAATGGAGCTTTCCATTGCTTTGTGATCTTCCGTTGAGTTTGCTCCGATAATAGGCGGCAGCCAGGCCAGCCAACGTGCATCAGGCAACCCTGGAGTCGTTGCACTCTCTGGATCGTGCTGCAGTCTCAACAGCGATGCAGTCGATCCTGCCTCAGACGCTGTTGGTGTATCGTAGAGCGAGGATTGAAATGCGTTATGGAGAAGAGCTTCTGTCTGCGAAGAAGGGATGAGGGCCCACAAGGGAATAATGATCAAATCATACTCGCATCGTCCTCGTGCTCTCCGCCATCACCTTCGACCTCAGAGGTTTCTTCTGGGATACTCTCCGTGGGCAGTGGCGGTAGCTGATGAATGTGTCGCCAGGTGTCACAGTGGCGGATCAACGGCGGGATTGTGATGATACGTTGGTAAGTGCACAGGCCATGACGGCATGCAGGCAGGCAGTTGACTCACCGGCTTTTCCCTCCCGGACGCCATGGTTTGTGCATTTGCAGTAGTTTTTCTCGCTACTGCCTGTCTTTGCGCTCTAGAACCTCCCGCAAAACTATGCCCTGGTTGGATGAGGGGTACGTGTGGCATATTTTTACCTTTGGCTGTGGCGTAAGCCCTCTTACTAGATCCGGGCGTCATATGAAGATATGAATACTTCCAGCAAAAGGAAGAGGACGTAATTCCGACACGGTGTGTAGCGCAGGTTCAAGCAATGGCTATATCGCCGTGCGTAAGTACAAGGCGATACGGGTCCAAGGGTGCTGAGGAGGAGCGATAAAGGAGCTTACAAGCAAATCACGCGAATGGCAACCCAGTGGCGGGCGAGATAAAGAAGCGAGACAGTCTAGTCGTCAAGACTACAATAGTCGCTTCGTCGATGCCTCTGCAGTCTCGCAGAGGGTTTGAGAGATGTGTGCTTGGATGGCTTGCGTCCGATATGGATTATGGGGAACGGGGATCGTGTTTGAGAAGGGAGAAGGTGTGGTGGTCAGGGCTTATATGCTCGGGCTGTTCTTGCGGCTGTGCAAGTGGTGGCCACCGACCGTTGATCTGCCTCTGCTATTGTGCGCGGCCCAAAACAACGCCCAAACCATTCATGCAATCCATAAGGAGAAGTATAACGTGAGTTCCTTCTTGTCCACCAGACCATGACTGTAGTTGACGATCCTCGCTCATGCCTTATGAATCACGTCATAGCGCCACATACTCTACGGCCTGCTGCCTCTGGATCCTTCTACCAAGGTGCCCTAGCAATCAGCCCGACCGTTCAAGCATCTTTGTTCGTTCTCATGCATGAAGCGGGAATGTGCTCCTGTGCCAACATTCGTCTGAGTACTCATTTGCCACGCGCCAGCTTAGAGGTGGCGAACGTCGCTTTCGATACCTCCACAGGAATACGGGAAGATTAATTCATGTGGTCTCTCCTGAAGCAACATCTGGTGCAGCTTGGGTCTACCGTTAGTGGCGTTGCCGGAGATGCGGTTTTCATTTCTGCTAATGAGGGTACAATATAGCGTAGCGATTCCTGCTCTGGATTGGGTGAATGCTTGGTTAGGCTTCGTGGCGTGAAAGGCCGGAACTTGGCGAGACGGAAGATCCGCTGCTCGCATACCCTTCGGTGCGTTTGCATCACATCAAGACACGTTTTCGACGTCTTATCACTAAAGCAAGTCTCCCTCAAGCAGGTGCTGAACCAACTTTGATGTGTCGCCTGTCAGACTCGGAAGTGTCCTCCACATCGCGTACTGAGAAGCGACATATGGAATAGGCGCATTTCGCAGACGACATATCGTGTTTAAGAAAATCGAATGCTCCCAGAAGTTGTGCTCCTAGTTGCTAATCTGGAGCGAAGTGCGAATTTTGAGAAGACAGGCCGAACGCTACACGAAATGATCCGGAGTACTGAAGGGCTGAGTTCGAGCTTTACCGTGCGTAACTGCTCTCCTTGTGCAAGCACAGACATGCAATGGACCTTACGGCACACAAGAGAAGTCGTGAGGATGTCGCGGTGATCAAGAGGCAACTTGTGCGACAATGAGCCACCATCAATGACGGGAATTACAGGTTCAATGCTGTCGCATGTACGCTTCCGCGGATGGAACGACGAGGTCGCTCGGCAATATATTGCATTCAAACAGAACTCTAGCGAAGAGGAATTACAATTCTGGTGCGACAATCCTTGCAATGAACTATCTCGCCAATTGTTCTGGACGGCACGTGCGCAGGTACTCCATCCGACTTGGATCGAGTAACATATCCAGAGACAGCTGCGCTACCTGCATCCCACCCTCTCTCCCAGCACGCCCGTGCATTTGCTGATTGTCGGTGGAAGCCCCCAGGATTACCCCAAACCTCAGCTGGAAGCTATCTTGGCGAGCAGCCAGGGCTTCCTGACCATGTCGGAACGTCTCTTGGAGTGTTTGGGGTGGCGAGTAGGGACCCCGAGGATTATTGCTGGAGGTAAGACGGACACTGCTCATCGGCTGGGTGCAAAAGCGTTAGGCTGTCAATCAAACGACTGGGATATTGCACGAAACTCACGATGGACACGGCAACCCTGAAGCCTATGATTACTCTGTTACCTATTTGTTGCCACTCCCACGCCCCGGGAGTATTAGCCGGCAGCGGCCTCGGTGGCGGAAGTGGTCTCCCGTTTTCGAGGTCACGCAGTTCATAGATCTGTGGCATGGTCCCTCCAACGAGATCTCCTGCTCTCTGAGGACAGTGTAAGTCGATGGTGTGAATATCTGTGTTATTGTCCATGCTCACCGCGAAGTAGAGATGGTCTCCAGTTTCATCACTGCCTGTCTCTGTCGCCCGACTCACTTCGGAATCGTGTCATGAAGTCGATATGATTGGAGTGGTCAGTGGCAACGTGTTGATCCCCTTCATCTGTCGCTACCGGACGAGTCGTACCATGGAAAGCACAGTGGACAATGGTGGACGCAATTCTGAACACCTTGGGCACCATGGTGAGGTCGCGAGAGACAATAGGGATGAAGAAGATCCACGGGGGAGAACAAGCTCAATCGGCGTGTGCGGACCAGGAAGAGCGAGGTGACACTCATATACGCCACGACGGAGACGAAAACGTATCCTCTGGTGCGTGGAACTCGTGGACGCCAAGGCGGAAGAACGAGGAGTGGCAACGCGTTCAGCCACTCGGTACTAGGGAGCTAAGCCGCTTCGGGTAGCTACGAATCCGGTCCCCGCGGCGTCGAGGGTATTGTCATTCCGGGTGGATATATCGCTCTTGGTGGTACACCTCCACCTCGTCTCACTAGTCCTACGGACTGAGGGAACCTAAGGATCGCTCTACCCAGCCACTCGCGCCAGGGATTGGATGTGGTACGTCATGAATCGCAACAAGGAAGCAGTAATGGCTGCCTTTGAACAAATTTTCTACGTCGAGGTCGTCGAGATGCACTGGCGACAGTCCCGTCGCTGCGCTCAGGCAGAAACCCGAAAAGAATTAACAGTTTAGTCAATATGGCGTTCGACGCATCCTCCGCTTTTCCTCAAAGTTGACAATGATTCTCGGATTCATGGTTACCTCACAAGTGCTGTTCGTCGAGCTTGTCGTCTAATGAGAGTAGTGGAGATTCATATCAATATATTTGATGAACTACAATCAATTCATCCTTGGGTACACCGCTCGCAAATTGGCTCCCAATTCCATATCGATTTCTAGCTGAGCTCATGCTCATTTGGCATCCAAATTTACCTTCTCTTCTTCGACATGATCTTGATGCCGAGGTTACATCGTTATCACACGTCTGTCAAGTGCAGAGAGACAGACAAACCGCAGTAGTGATTTACATACATTTGAATTATAATGTTACTTTGTGATTTTTGATTGTGTGCACATTAGAGAGCTCCCTGCAAATACTGATGGTCAACGTTTGGTGGCGAAGACGAGGAATCTCACATCCGTACTTCGAGTGAAGTAGTATTCTGTTAACGATTACGAAGAAACTGTGAGTCTGTGCCGTAAGAGAGTGACAGTGTAACATGTATGATTCCTCACCAATCTCATCTTCATGTTTACTTTCTGGCCTCGCCACGTTCACAACGGATATTGCACTGAAACTTCATCTTCGAGGTCCGTAGATGAACTAGACAAAGCCACAATTGGAACATCACTACCTGATTGGCCGCCACAATTCGCAACTCTGCACGCAGAACAAGATTGACGCTCACGCTATCGTCGTGGACCTGAGTCTCTCGCTTGCTCGCCGCTTGCTCTGCTGTTGCTGTTGCAATGGACATCCGTCATTCCGACATTTTGAGATGACGAAGTTCAAGAAACCACCGATATAAGAATGCCGTCGAAACAGTGCTCCAGCTGCAACGCCGACACGGACATTCTCTCTTGGTAGTCCTTCCTTGTATGCAAGTTGTGTTCGAAGTTGAACGTAAGCCAACAGCTTTTCTGCATCTTGCGTGTCGCATATATTCATCACGTAGATCTAATTGCCGATCGTCTTTCCTTGCTTTCGCTAGCAACCGCTCGGCCCCGCTGGACAAGTCGTCTGATCGAGAGCAATCGCAGCTCATAACGCCTCATCTTCCATTCTCCTCTGCGGTGGACCAGCAAGACGTATGTATCGCGCGACCATGCATTTAGATCAAGGCATGTGGAGCATTGGGCACGGTTCGACATTGGTGCGTGCGGGCACTGGTAGAGCTGGAGATGGGGCGTAGTTGGGTTGGAAAGCTGGGAACTTCTTGGTTCTGCGGTTCGTAACATGATGCATTCGCCTTCGAGGAACAGCGCGAGACGCATGTTCAAGAACTTCATGGCATAGCCTGTGGACATGAATTAACCAATTGTTCGCGGCATAAGAAAGCATAGTTCGCTCGACTTCGTCTTCCTACAAATGTGGTGAATGGGCAGTTTGTCAATCTCCGGTTCAATTCGTCCTTATCTGGGTGGCATCGTACGGCTGCGGATTCTTCAAGGCGATCCGGCCGATTTCTGTCTGAATTGCATAGTATCCAATACAGGTGCGTGTTATCCCATCGCCGTGCCCAGAGCCGATAGTTCATACATTGGCTGCAGTTCTGCCAATACCATCGGGCATTAGCGACTCAATGGTTTTGCACGACTCGTCATCCGACCATACGTATGTACCATCCTTCCCCACCTATGTCTGCCTCGTTGTCTCTAACACATTTTCGTAGGGCTTCTCAGTTGAATTCGAATGGTAGTCACAGGGCTGGTGACATCCATGTACACTGCTATCCCATTCGACATCTAAGTGGCATGGAGAATATCGCCGCTGTGTTCACGACGGCACACTCACCTGCCATTCGATTTCGACCACCTTGAGTCCACCATCTTGTGTGGATCATATTGTGCCTGAGGATACTACCAGGTCTTGGCTTCGTCGGTTGTGTGGTAGTTGCAAAGTCAGGGCTTAGATCGGCCATGGCGGCAGACTTTTGGAGCTGTTGGACGCGGAAGAGAAGACCGCATGGAAACAAGTCAGCGCTCTTCTACACGGTCATAGACAGCCCACTTACTGGACTTAATGTTTCAGGTTGCACGGCACAGAGTGGGTTGAGCTGAAAAGTTGGAAAGGGGGCGCAGCTCGGGTGAACCAGAATGGCACGCCGCGGTTCGGGCGCTTGCGTCAACGCCCCGCTTGTGCTATTTGCTTACGGAACCCGGCCATCGCGCGATATGGTCTTATTGTTCGAAAACCTAGAATAAATGAAAATGGTACGCTGTACATTTCTGAGCGAGACTTGAAGCTGAATACTTTCTCTCACACAGGCTCGCTACCTACTACATCATGTCCTCCTCTGCGTGTGCCCCTTCCCCTGATCTCCTGCTCATTGCAATTCTACGACACGAAAGCCGTTCTTACTTACTCCACGCCTTGTATCAACCTCCGTGCATTAGTCAGCCACCCCGCTGCCCTCAGCTTCGACGACGTCCGCGCAGACATCCTTCGCCTCTCCCTCCGAAGCCTCATTCAGAATCTCCTCCAGTCGGACCAATGACTCCATTGCCAACTCCATCAGCTCGAAGTCTATCCTATCTAGATGATTGTTGCGAGGCGGCATCGAGGGTGACTGGACCAGCGAGGAGGAGGAGAGCTGAGAGGGAATGGCCAAGTTGCGATGGCCGCCCTCGAATGCAACCTCGTGATAGTTGTGCTGCTCGTTGTTCTGCCTGTTCCTCGCTCTCATTGGAAACTCCGGCGAACTTGACGAGGCGACTTGAGAGGTGGACGCCCACTGAGAATTGGGCCAGCCGGAGTCACAGAGATGTCCGCCATAGCCGTGCTCCCATTCGGCGGATGGCGTGTCGGTATCGACAGTACCCCACTCCTACAAGTGTAGGTGAGCCATCATTGTCTGGCTCGCACGACAACGCCACTCACCGATTCTGACATGATCCCAGATTCTGCCATGCTCATCTCAGCGACCTCCTCCCATTGAATCACGCCCGTCTTGAGCTTGTACTCAAGATCAAGCGCATCCGCCATCGTTTGCTCTTTCTTTAGCTGGCGCAAGATCTCGAAAGGCGGCGGGTGGATCTTGACGTCCTTGCCTTCCACCTGGTGCGATGTTAGTAGCTCGAAAGTCAATGCTCAGACGTGGTCGAGCTCACCATGCAGTAGAAGCTAGGGCCATTGTCCTCGCGATTTATGTCCATAGTGCAGCCCACTTCGTGCTGTCTGTGCTGCGAGCGGAAGTTCTGCTGTGTCGGCGACAAAATGGACAACCGAGGCGATTCACGGTGAGTACACAGACTGATACGGGCCTGGCTAGCTCACTCACCAAGCCAACATTCATTTCCGATACGTCCGTATTTGTTTGTGTACTCTCAAGAGTGACGATGTCATACGACAAAGGAGTCACTTGATGGCCGCAGATAGCCTCCGACAGCTCCGGACGCGGCTGTATTATGACCAAAATATAAGGCAGTTTCTTCTTAAATGCCTTTCCGATCCTTTTGAAGAATGCGAACGCCATTGTCGACGTGTCGATGGGGAGTAGCGACAAGCAGAAGACAAACACGAAGGAGTCACAAGGGGACAGTCACGGTGTTAAGAACGCGTAGAGAGACGTGGCAATGCGCAGTAAGTAATTCTCTGTGCGTTTATCGAGGCGTTTGGGGATGCTGGGACCCTGGTCGTGGTTGGGGAAGAAGCGTGTAGCGAGTGGCCAAAGCGACGCGGTTGACTTTAATACAGGCGCCTATGTAGACGCTCGCATGTTTCCGGTCCAAGCCCTCTCGCGGAGTTGTATTCGCGGCATCCTCGTGTATCTTTGGCCAACGCCACAGTGGATCTGTGGTAATTCCTCATCAGATTTGATTATTCATGCGGCCGGTGAGTTGCATGCATTCATTTCTTTGCATCTTGTTGTTATGAAATGGCTTATTGTGGCTGTCCAGACTAGAATATGCTCTATTTTTTTTTCAATGGCCTCATAAACAACGGGTAGCAGTTTACATTTCCAATGCGTGCCGTGTCAACTGTTCGTGATTCGGTTCATACCTCGAAATCAGGGCTTACAGTGCTTATGACTGCATTGTACATCTTTTACCCCCAACCAGACGATAAATGTATGACAAACGGATGTTCGACGGTGTTTACAAATTTGCCGGAATGGGATCATTGGTAGCAAGGATCGCTGCCGTACGTCTGGGGGAAGCGTTCGCGCCACAAATACTGCCCGTTCTGCATTAATTCAGCTTACGAACAAATTTACTGAAGAGGGCTTTCGGTTTATACATACAATCGTTCATTACGGTACCTCTGGAAACCAAGGCGTATGAGCTCCATCTGCGTCCTTCAAGCCCAGTCCTATCCTCTTGAAATCCTCCAGCGACTGCGCTTCATACTTCGTTGCACAGTGACGCCACCCATAACACTGCTCCATCAAACTCTCACCTCCTGGGTCAATGGCTTGTCCGCGCTTACTGCCTGGTCTGTTGCTTCAGCAGGTCCGTTGTAGAATGCCCTCACGGTGGCTTCATGACGCTCATTTTCTGACAGTCTCTTCCATCTTTGAACCGCATGTCGGTGCAGGTGAAGATCCGAGTGAAGATATGCCAGTATTGGGGACGGCTTGTATTTGCAGGTTGGGAAGACGCTCGCGCGAGTAGTCTCTGAGCCTTTCGTTTGCCCCTCGGCCTTCCTGCCGGCGATCTGTCTCGCGTAGCTGGCACTTGCACGGACCCGAGAGAACTCAGACCAGTCGATGTCTGCGGCCGATTGGAGCAACCATACGGCTGTATGATGAGCAATGCCGGTGGACTCGTCGTTATCTGCATGTGTCGCCTTCTTCACGTCTCGAATGAGCATTCTACATGCATTCGATCGCTCTGTCTGATCAGGCACGGAATATGCCGACTATACATTGCATAAATAATACCCATTGCGGTGAGTGGGCAATCTGGCAGCTGATCTTTCACTGTGTGCTCACATTCATATTGGCTAAACCTCTCTGTCCAGGAGACTTCCTCAGGTTGGTAGCTGTCGGGTCAGCGAGAATCTCTGTCACGGAACGAGGTGGAGGATTTCGTTGCATCTGCCTGCGGTCAGTCCGACGTAGACTATTAATTCTGCATATTCACTTACGACACGTTCGTTCCCATGCAGAGCATCCCCTCTCACCTGCCCAATCGATCTTGGCAATTCGCCTCCACGAATGAGGCACCTGTTTGCGGCGGGGTGGTGGTGGTGAGCTGTGGTCCTAGATGACGATGCATCCCATCTGCCTGTGATGGCTCCCAATCGAGGAATCTTGACGACACATGGTGAGCACAGACAACTTTACAACTGAGAGTTGGTTTGCTGACTTACCTGATGACCATTCTTGGCTGTAACGTTGTGTGTGCTCTTGTAGATTTTCTCGGACATGATCTCTCGAGTGGTAGCATTGGAAGGGTGGCCATCGCTTTGCATACTGCGCATCCGGTCTGACATTCCTCCGATCCATTCGGCCTTATAAAGACTGAGAGCTGCCCAAGGGTGAGATGTTGTGCGATTATATGTAGAGCGAAGGCGCGGAGGCCCGTTGTACGCCACATGTTGGAGTTTAGACAAAAGTCTTATGGAATCAGCGTCAGTTCGAAAATATTGGGACGTGTTCGTCCCTCTCCCCGCAGCTTGGGAATCGTGGAGAGGCCTCACGAGAGCATTGGCGGGGCGAGATTGCGGGGTCATACCGAGCGCCACGATCGAGGGTGTGGACAAAGGCATAAATGTGCCACTGCTACTCTGTTGTCGGTGAGCAAGTGGAGCTTTCGTATATGGACGTTGAATGTTTGACATGTATTCCACCGTGTCTTGATAGCAGAACTACAGTGTATGAAGGGAGAAGGGAGAGTTGAAGGGAGGGGATGAAGAGAGCGCGAACGCGGAGCGCGGTTCGAATGTGAGCGCTTATTTGCCCGTGGCTTGCGTAGCCCGGATTGGCTAGCGTGCGCGTGGCGAGTGAGACAGTGGAACTCGTGTTCAAACAAAGGCGAGACTCAGATAAGTCATCCTACCCTATTCTATACCTGAACGTGCCGTGGGGATGTGATCTTGGTCTCCAAGCTCTTCTATCGTTTTTCCTTTGGGTCGGTGTCACCATGTACGCCACAGCAGAGATAAAAACGTGTTTTCTGGTGCATCTGAACTCTTTACAAATGCCACGCTGCAAGAGCACGGAGTGGCAGCATGATGTTCAGCCACTCGGTAGTTGGGCACTAAGCTGCTGTGGGTGGCTACGAATTCGGTCTCCGTGACTGCGAGCCACTCGTGAAGGGCACATCTCTTGCCATGGTCTACTCGTGCCTCATCTACACGAGCCGTACGAGCTGAGGGAGCGTACAGAGTGCTCTTCCTCGTGACTTGTGCGTCCAGATGGGTAAATTATTCTGTCAATCGCGACGAGGAAACAGTAACGGCTGCGTTGAAATAGATTGCCGATGTTTTGTACGTGTAATTCATCTAGAAGACCTAGACAATTTTCAATTGCTGGTGCCAGGCAGAAATCATGAGAGATGACAGCTCAATCACTATGGCGTCCCATAGATCCATTTCTCTAAGAATTGATGCTAATTCTGATATTCAGAGTGGTCCGTGATGAGTACCACTCTCGCGCCCTTTTAGTCCATCGAGCTCGTCATCTATTGAGAGTAATCGAGATCTCATATGCACCTTTCGATGGATTGTCATCTTTCGCCCTATGCTTCCCGCTTGCGGTTGTCCCGTAGTTTGTTGATTGAGCTCGTGCTCATTCGGTATCCAATTTCACCTTGTTTCCGTTCGACTTGATCCTGATGCCGAGGATATCGGCCTCTTCAACCCACCATCATACATCAGTGGACTGAAAAGGTCAGCCGAATGGCGGTAGTGAATTACGTAGATTGGGTTATAACATGACTCTATGCCCCAATATGCATTCACTGGAGGATTTTATGCGATGATTGAGTATTCATGGTCAGCGCCGAGCAGCGGAGACGATGAATAGCGCATTCGTGAGGACAGTACCGCAATGTCTTCGCGCAATCACTGGGGAAACGTAAATCTTTGTTATATAAAACCGATAGAGATAATGATTCATCGAAGCGCAACCTTCTAGTTTTTTTGTACATTTTCGTTGCAATGTTCATGATGGATACTGTTGCTGTTGACTGAAAGTCATTAGCTGATGAACTAGCCAAACCCATAATTGGAATCACACCATCTCATTGGCCGCCACAATGCGCACCGCGTTGCCTGCACTGTTACGAGATTGACGCTCGCGCGATGTTCGCAAACTTGACTCTCGCTTTGCTCGATAGCTCTCGTTGCTGGCTGCCTCAGTGAATATATATCATTCTGGCATTCAAGACGAACAATTCGATGGAATGGACATCAGAATGTTGTCACAGCAGTGCTCCATCTGCAACGCCGGTGCGGACATCCTATCGCGGCATCAAAGGTAAGTTCTCGTCTATGTGCAAGCTGTTGTTGAAGTCTGACATGCGAGAACACCATCTCCGCATCTTCCGGCTTGCGTTAGTTCATCGCGTTGACTTACTTGTCTCTCGTCCCTTCTTGCTCGCCCCAGCGACTGCTCAAACCCGCTGGACGGATCGTCTGATCGAGAGCAATCGCGGTCCAGGAGTCCTCATTTTCCATTCTTTCGATGCAAGATGACAAGCCGTATGCATTGTACGAGCACGCAGTCACATCACGGCATGTGTAGCTTCCGTCACTGCTAGATATTGGCGCATCCGGACACTGGTAGAGGTGGAGGTGTGAGGTGCCTACATTAGGGAGCAAAAAGTCGGCTCGGTTCTATGGTTCGTAAATTTATCTAGTCGCCTTTGACGCTCGTCATGACACCATATGAACCTGCGTCAGCCAGCTCTTCACGTCGCACGAAAGCGTCGCACGAGTTGGCGCCAACCTCCTGCAGACGTGGCGAGTTAGCATTTTCTTAAGCTCCGATCTATATCGTTCTCACCTGGACGGCACCACACAGCAGCGGATTGCACAAGGCGATCCATCCGTGATTACATGTCTGGCTTGCATGGTTTCCAAGATAACTGCACGTTAAGCTATCGTCACGTCCAGAGCTGACAATACGTGTGCCGGCTGCATCCCTGTCGACGTTATCGGTCATTAGTGACTCATTGTGTGTGCAGAACTCCCGTCTGCCCGTGCGTGCAACCATTCTTTCCCGCATCCGTCCTGCTCGTTGTCCCTGACATGTCTCAGTAGGGCTTCTCAATCTGACTTCGAGTGCTATGCATGAGAACAAGACTATTCTTGGTCACTGCTTTTCTTGCGGCAGACGGCTTTCGACGTCTGTTGAGCATGAAGAAGTCGACCGGTGTGTTCACAACGACACACTTACCTGCTGTTCGAGTGCGACCGCCGTCAGTCCACTCTCTTGTGGGGATCACATCATTGCCTGCAGCTGTTGCGAAATCCTGGCTCGATCGATTGTTGGCGCCATCGCGAAGTCAGAGCTCGAACTGGCCGTAGTGGCATGCTTTAGGAACTGTCGGATGTGGCAGGCCAGAACGCATGAAAGTAAGTCAGCGCTTTCTCACACGATCATAGGCGACAAACTCATGGGACTCGATATTCCATATTGCATGACGCAGAGTGGGTTGAGCGGGCAGGTTGGAAAAGGGGGCGTAGTTTGAGGGAGACAGTGACAGATGGGGCCCGGGCGCTTGTGTCAATTCCCCCCCTTTGGCCGCTTTGTGTTCTTTGCTTACGGAACCCGGCCATCACGCGATACGGTCTTGTTGTTCGAAGAATCTAAAATCAATAAAACAGTATGCTTACATTTCCGAGCGAGACGTGTAACTGAACACCTTCTCCCAGACAGGCTCGCTGCTTAGTACGTCATTCCTCAACTCCATGCACCCATCCCCTTATATCCTGCTCATCTCGACTCTATGCCAGTCAACCTATCATTGACTATCCAACATGTTCTGCCCACCTCCGTGCATTAGTTGGCCACCCCATTGCCCTCCGCTCCGAGGACGTCTGCATAGATATCCTTCATCTCTCCCTCCGATGCCTCATCCAGGAGCTCCTGCAATCGCACCAGCGACTCCATTGCCAGCTCCAGCAGCTCGAAGTCTATTCTGTCCGGTTCATTGTTGCGAGACAGCATTGTGGGGACCTGGACCAGCGAGGACGAGGAGAGCTGGGATGCAATGGCCAAGTTGCGGCGACCGCCCTCGAGTACATCCTCGTGACAGTCATGTTGCTCGCTGTTACGCCCGTTCATCGTCCTCATTGGAAACTCCGATGAACTCGATGAGGCGACTCGAGAGGTGGATTCCCACTGAGAATTGGGCCAGCCGGAGTCACAAAGATATCCGCCATAGCCGTGCTCCCATTCGGCGGATGGCGTATCAGTATCGATCGTACCCCACTCCTACAAGTGTAGGTGAGCCATCATTCTCTAGCTCGAATGACGACGCCACTGACCGAGTCCGATATGATACCAGGTTCCGCCTCGCTCATCTCATCTATGTCCTCCTGCTGAACCATGCCAGTTCTCATCTTGTAGTCGAGGATGACCGCGTCGACCAGTGTCTGTTCCTTCTCCAGCTGACGCAGGATTTCAAAAGGCGGAAGATGGATCTTGACGTCCTCGCCGCCGATCTGGTAGTGATGTCAGTACTTTGAAACACGATCTTCAGACGTCATCGAGCTCACCATGCAGTAGAAGCTGGGTCCACTGCGGTCGTGACGCATGTTCCGAGTGTAGTCCATTTCATGCTGTCGGCGTTGCGAGCATGTGCAGACATTCCGATGTGGCGGCGACAAAATGGACGATCGAGGCAATTTACGGTGAGCACACAGATCGATACGGACGTGGCGGTTAGCTTACTCACTGATCGCACGTACTCGTCTGATTCATCCGTATTAATTTGCGTGTTCTCAAGAGTGACGATGTCGTAGTGGAAAGGAGTGGCTTGATGGCCGCAGATCGCTTCCGACAGCTCCGGATGTGGCTGTACTATAACCAAGATATAAGGTAATTTCTTCTTGAATGCCTTTTTGATTTTTTTGAGGAACCCAAACACCATTGTTGACGCGTCGATGGGAGGTCGCGACAAGCAGAAGACGTACACGAAGGAGTCGCAAAGAGACGATGACGCCAACAAGAACGCGTGATGAGACGTGGCGACGCCCAGTAAGTGATGCTCCGTGAGTTGAGCGAGACTTTATAGGTTGTTGGAACACTGGTCGTGGTAGGGGAACAAGCGTGGGGTGAGTGGCCAAAGCGACGCGGTTGCTTTTAATACGGGCGCCTAGGTAGACGCTCGCATGTTTCCGGTCCAAGCCCTCTCGCGGAGTTGCACTCGCGGCATCCTCGTGTATCTTCCGTCAGCGCTACAAAGTTGGAAAGCATAGTTAACAAACGCAACGTTCGTATTGATTTTTTTAGTAGGTCGAATGCGACTTATTAATCGCAATATAGCTGTCTAAGTACTGTTCCGCCAGTCCAAAGAGAAAGCGTTTTGGACTGTAGGGGCTTGTGCCGCGTATAAGTACGATGTAAGACTTGTCCGGAAGGCGTAGGATGTCAGTAGTCGTTATTTGGCGACTACTTTGCCTTGTTGCTGATTGCAACGCACACCATGTCACGCGTGTCCATGCAAGCGTGATATGTTCGTCGCAGAATGGAAAGGTGAGTAGTCTATCTTGCTGTACACCCTACTCTCATGCACTGATCCGAGATTGGGCTACAGTCTTTACGCCCGTGGAGAGTAGTGCGGCAAGATAACGGCTATCGCGTTTATGTCCACTACGATGGCATTTTCACAGTCAACTATTCATAACACTGGTGAGCTCAGTGCAAGCGCTCCTTTGCACCTTGCTGTCTCGAGCTAGCTCACCGCAATTCGCTAGACTGACGGCAACTTTATTTTTCTCAACGGCCTCCTCAAGAGACATCCGTCGATGCTCCCATTGCATTTTATGTCAGTCATTTGTACCAGCCGCTGTCTCAAGATCAGGATGTGATGCTCCTCCCTCCGTTGGAAGTCTTGTATCGCTAAAGCAGACGATGAAATGGGTGTTCGACATGTTCATGCAATTATCCAATATCATACCTCAGGAAACCAAACTGTACATGCTTTGCCCGAAACCCGACTCTACCGTCTTGAAGCTTCCTGAATCCCTCTTGTCATTTACTACACAATTATGCTGCCCGCCTCACTCCTCCATCAAACTCTCGTCTCGTGGGCCGATAGCTGCTTCGTGCTTATAGCCTGTTTTGTTGCTTCAACAGATCCATTGCTGAATGCCTTCATGGTCGCTTCGTGACGCTCATCTACCGACATTGTCTTCCATCTTTGTCCCGCCTGTTGGTGCAGATGGAGATCCGAGTGAAGGTACGTCAACGTGCGGGACGGCTTGTATTTGCACGCTGGGATGACAGTCTGGAAGCCTTTCATTTGGTCTCCAGTCTTCCTGCTGGCAATCTGTCTCGCTTCATTGGTGTTTGCACGGACCCGAGAGAACTCGGCCCAGTCTACGTCTGTGGCCGATTGAAGCAACCATATGGCTGTACGGTTAGCAGTGTCGGTCAGCTCATCGCCATCCGCAGATGCCTGCTTCCTGTTGTTTTGAACGAGCAGTCCAGGTGTGTTCGGTCGCTGTATCCAATCAGATTTGGAATACACCATCTACATGATGCCCATCACGGTGAGTAGATCATATGGGAGCTGATCGTTCACTGTGTGCTCACAATCGTGGAGGCTGAACCTCTCTGTCCAGAAGACGTCCTCCAGTTGGTAAGTCTCGGGTCAGGCAGAATGTCGGTCATGGGACGAGGTGGCATCCGTTTACGTCTAGACGACGTTGCATTCAGCGCGGAATTTTGTACAGGCCGAGCCTTATGACCACCACGAATGTTTCGTTGCATCTGCCTGCGGTCAGTTTGACATGGACTATGCATTCCGTACATTGACTTACCATGCGTCCATTTCCATCCAGAGCATTCCGTCCAACCGTTCTGATCGACCTTGGCAGTTTGTCTCCGGAAGGAAGACTCTTCTTCGTGCCACGGCGGTGGTGAGCGGCAGCCCGAGATGGCACTGCACCCCGTATGCCGCTGACGGCTCCCAATTGAGGAACCTTCGTGACACATAGTGAGCGCAGGAAACAGTACAACCGAGACTTGGATTGCTGACTTACTTGACGACCAATCTTGTCTGTACTTTTTACTACGCTTGCATAGGTTCTTTCGGGCAAGACCTCTCGAGTGGTAACATTTGAAGAGCGGCCGCCATCTTGCATACCGCGTATAAGACCTGCCATTTCTGCGACTCCTTCGGCTTTGTTGGGACTGAGAGTTGCCAAACGGTGAGGTGTCATAGGACCATGTATAGAGCGCAGCCGTGGAGGGTGCGCCCTACGTTTGAGTGTGGACAATGGCGTAATGGATCCAGTGTCAACGCGAGGATGTTGGGGCCTGTCGATCTTCTTCGCCGCATTTCTCATGCTGGGCAAGGGCCTCTTGGGAGTATTGGCTGGTCGATTATGCGCGGCCGCACTGACCACCACGACCGAGGGTCGGGACAAAGGCATGGATGTGCCACTGCTCCTCTGTCCTCGGTGAGCCGGTGGAACGTTTTTATGTGGGCGTTGAAGGTTTGACATGTATTGCACGATATCCTAGTAGCAGGACGACCGTATATGAAGTGAGAGTTGAAGGGAGGGGATGAGGAGAGCGCGAGCGCGAACGCGAAATATGGTTCGAACTTTTGGCGTCTAATTCCCCGTGGCTTACATCCCCGGGATTGGTTAGCATGCGCGTGCCGAGTGCCACTCGAACTCGTGTTCAAAAAAAATCAGTTTCATCATCTTCTATGGCCTAAACGTGTCGTAGAAATGTGACCTTGATCGAGTCCAATCTTATGGTTCTTATCTATCATTTTTTCTGCAGCTGGGTGTTCCCCTGCTCTACAATGAGTTGTCATGTTCTTGAAAGACAAATCGATACGGTACACCTCCTCCCCATGTGTTGATATGATGAGAAGCTTTGGGAGAAACGATACCGCGTGGAGAGACCCAGAACCGGCTACAAGGTGGAATGTGGCCAGCTGATCGGCCGCCACCGGCCACCTTGCAGTGTGCGACGCTGGCGCCACTGACCGGCGCGTTCCTTCAGCGCTTTCACAGTATCACGTCGCTCCTCGCTGTGTTTTTCGTTTGCTTTATGATATCTCGATGCTCAGCTATGGAACGCACTATGCTACAACTACTGTAAATATCAACGCACGGGCAACTAGGTCAAACGGAGAAGACTGTCGACGTTGGCACACCATTGTCCGAGTTGATACTTTTGTTGACAAAGTCAAAGTGATATGCCTAATCCTAGCCCTTCCGCGCTGTCTCTATGTTCTCTTAATTTCTGAGAACTCCTCTTGATGCTCATCATATGACGATGCTGTCCACCTCACCGCGCCGTCAGACGCCGCTTCAAGGATCGGCCGCTTCGCGATCATCGTCTGTTCTGCGCCCTTGGCGGACGTGTTACTGAACGCTCGCGTAGCTGCTTCATGGCGAGCTTCATCTGACATCTCTCTCCATTTGCTTCGTACAGTTTGCTCCTGTCGTTGCAGGTGGAGATCGGAGTGCAGATAAGCCAACACAGAGGACGGCTTGTATCTTCCTGTTGGAATCGGAGTCGCGTGAGCATCCCCAGAGCTCTTCATATTCTTTACAGTCTTTGGGATGGTGGTCTGTCTGGCTTGACTGGCATTTGCATGATTGCGAGCCAACTCTGACCAATCGACGTCTTCCGCGGACTGAAGTAACCACACAGCTGTATGATAAGCGGTATCAACCAGCTCATCATTCTCCACAGGTTTTACTTGTTGCTTGTTGCGCACCAGCGGCTCGGGTGCCTTTGGTCTCTCGATCGGGTCAGACATAGGATGCACCGTCTAGAGTCGCGTTAATGGTGCCCATTGTGGTAAGTGGCAATCCGGGAATTGTTCTTCCACGTTGCACTCACATTCATACCCACTATGGTCCTATACTTGGAAACCTCCTTCGGCGTTGTACCTTCCACCCGAGCCCATATTTTAGTCACGGAGCGAGGGGGTAGCCATGGTACTGCAGTCAATGGCGAGCTCTGCACGGGATTCGGTGTAATCCAAGCTCTCGGGCATTCATGAGTAGCCTATTGCACCTGCCTGCGAATCAGTCCAACATAACATCACCAGTGTCAGCAGTCAACACACCATGTGTCCTTTGCCGTTCCGAGTGATCCGGTCAGTCGTATTTAATGATCTCGATGATCCACCTTCAGGAGGGAGGCTGAGGTTTGCGCTTAATAGGTGCAGCGGCAGCCCCCTCGGTCTCGGTCTACCTTGCATGTCATTAACGACTCTCGGGTGGGGAGCCTTCTCGGTACACGGTGAGCACAGAGAATGTTGCGATCAAGTGCTGGTTTGCTGACTTACCGACTGACCAACCTTGGCTGTAATATTCTGTGCTGTGCTTACATAGATTATCTCAGGCAAAGCTTCTCGATCACCGATGTCCGAAGGGCGATCAAGGCTTTGCATGCCGCGCATTAGATGTGACACATTTTTTATATCTTCGGCTTTGTGACAATTGAGAGCGGCCCAAGGGTGAGATACTGTGGGATTGTGGGTAGAGCGCAGGCGTGGCGGCGCATTGGACGCCACACGCGGGAGCCTGGTCGAATATTTGGTGGAACCAGTGTCAATGTGAAAACGCCGAGGCATGTCAATTCCCTTCGCCGTAGCTTGCATACTGGGCACGAGTCTCGTGGGAGTTCCGGCTGGTCGAATATGTGGGGCAACACTGAGCGCCACACTCGAGGGCGGGGACAAAGTCATGAATGCGCCACTGCTTCTTTGTCCTCGGTGAGCACGTGGATATACTTCTGTATCTGGGCTTCTCGTGTTTGGCATTTAACTGAACTGTATGATATTGTCATAGAGCAAGCAGGGTGTGTGAAATGAAAGATGAGGGGAGGGGACGAGAAAGGCACGAATACGAGACGCGGTTCTAACGCGGGCGCCTGATCCACCGTGGCTTGCACGCCCGGGATTGGATAGCATGCGGGTGGCGGGTGAGCCACTCGGACGCATGTCCAAACAAGCTGCGAGAAGGTATGGCACTCTTTCCCCTTCCCCGGTTAGGTACGTGGCAGCGGCGTGGGTCCGCAGTTTTCTCAATCACGGATCCCGTCTTGTTTGGCCGCCACTCCTTTGACCGGGGTTCCCCTGTATCAGCGGTAAATCGTAGAGTGCATGAAAGTCGCGACGGAAGCAGTAACCCTGAAGCCTATGATTACCGTATTTCCAATTTCTGACCACTTTTGAACTGTTGGAGTATCCGCAGGCAGTGGCGATGGTGCCGGAGTGATTTCCCGTTCGCGTCGACGACATGAACGTCTATCTGCACCACCGTTTACGCCCACCGCGGAATAGGGCTCATTCGGTATGCATCAATACCGTTGTCCTCTGCTGTTCAATCCACTTGGAAATCGTGATGCACCATAGAGCCGGAAGATTGGTGCTCTTCCACCGCCTGTAGGTCATGAGTAAACATTCAGTGGCGAGCTTACTTATGATCAGCTGGCTGACGTGGTCGACCACCTGTGACTGTACTGGCTGGTGCATTTACAAATCGATGTCACACGGGGGGGCGTATTCTCTACGTTAATATTCTTTCCTAGATGAGTCTATTTCGTCTGCTTCTCATTCCTAGTGGTGTTTGTGCGCAGCACAGGCGCGTCCATCTGGTCGGCTGCCATCGGCAAGACCAGGCCGCGCCTTCTCATGCCTCTTCACAAATGTTAGGGTGTTCGCTTGTTGACTGACTGCGTCATACATCTTGAACGGACAGGGCAGGAGTGGAGAAGGTGCAGAAAGACTCTTGATGCCCTGATAATCGCGAACTCCAATGGTTTCAGATTGACGCTAACACGTTGAAGGTGTCAAGGAGAAAGCGCTGCTTTGGGCCTTTCGCAGCGACCAAACCGACCAACGTATGGTTCCTTCTTTTGCGCTTTCTTGGACCTAAACCGCACTGTGACGATGTATGCAAGTTACAACTGAACTGGCCCGTCCTTGAACATAGCGATGAGTTGAGGTACTCGATCATTGGGCCAACCTCTGCTCTACACGAATTACTGTTTTCCTATAGAAAGACACCGTACATGACCTGTCCGTTTATGAATATAATCAGAAGCTTTGAGCGAAAGAAACTGCTGAGAGGGGAGGAGAGCGGGCCACAAGATGGAATGTGGCCAGCTGATTGGCCGCCACCGCCCATCTCGATGCCACTTACCAGCGCGTTCCTTCAGCGGACTTTGGATCCTGTCGTTCCTTTCCACTTGCTTTGTGATATCTCGATGCTTTGCTATGGAACGTACTACGCTACAATTACAGCAAATATTGACCCACAGGCAACTGGGTCAAACGGAAGAAGACTGTCGACGTTGGCACACGATTGTCCGAGTTGATGATACCTTTGTTGACAAAGTCAAAGTTGAGATGCCTAATGCTAGCCTTTCCGCGCTGTCTCTATACTCTGAGCTGCTAAGAACTCCTCTTGATGCACATTGCACAACGATGCTATCTACCTCACCGCGCCGTCAGACGCCACTTCAAGAACCGGCCGCTTCGCGATCATCGTCTGTTCTGCGCCCTTTTCGAACGTGTTACCGAACGCTCGCATGGTTGCATCATGACGAGCCTTATTCGACATCTCTCTCCATTCGCGATTTTGTGTAGCTTGCGTTCGCTGTTGCAGATGGAGGTCTGAGTGTAGATAAGCCAACACGGAGGACGGCTTGTATCTTCCTGTTGGAATAGGAGTCTCGTGAGCATCCCCAGAGTTCTTTATCTTCTTTACAGTGTTTTGGACGGCGGTCTGTCTGGCTCGACTGGCATTTGCATGGTTGCGAGCCAACTCTGACCAATCGACGTCTTCCGCTGACTGGAGTAACCACGCAATCGTATGATAAGCGGTGTCAACGAGCTCATCATCCTCCGCAGGCTTCACTTGATGCGTATCGCGTACCAGCGGTTTGGGTGCCTTTGGTCTCACGATTGGATCACACAGAGGATACACCATCTAGTTGCATTGATGGCGCCAGTTATGGTAAGCGGCAGATCTGGGAGATGTCCTCCAACGTTGTACTCACATTCACACTGACTAAAGCACTATGCTCGAAGCCCTCCTTCAAGATTGTGCCTTTCACGCCGAACAAATTTTCAGTGATGGAATGTGGCGGTACGCCTGGTTCTGTGGTCAATGCCGAGCGGTGCGTGGGGCTCGATGTAATCCAAGCCCTCGGGCGTTCGTGAGTAGCTGTTTGTATCTGCTTGAGAATCAGTCCAAATAATCTTCACAGTGCTGCAAGTTTACACACCATGTGTTCATTGTGAGCGATTCCATCAATCGCACTCGACGATTTCGATCGTACTCGACAATTTCGATCGTACTCGACGATTTCGATGGCCCATCTCCGGGAAGGAGGCTGAGGTTTGCGCTGGACAGGTGTAGCGACTGTACCCTTGGTCTCAGTCCACCTTGCGTGCCAGTGATGACTCTCGGGTTGGGAGCCTTCTCGGTATGCGGTGAGCACAGGGAATGTTGCGATCAAGTGCTGGTTTGCTGACTTACCAACCGACCAACCTTGGCCGTTACATTCTGTTCTGTGCTTACATAGATTATCTCAGGTGAAACCTCCCGGTCACCGATGTCCGAAGGGCGATCACGGCTTTGCGTGTAGCGCGTTAGATCTGACACTTTTCTGGTATCTTCGGCTTTGTTAGGATTGAGAGCTGCCCAAGGACGCGATATTGTGGGATCGTGTGTAGAGCGCAGGCAGGGAGGCGCATTGGACGCCACACGTGGGGGCCTGGTCGGATGTCCGTTGGAACCAGTGTTAATGTGAAAACACTGAGGCATGTCAATTCCCTTTGCCGTAGCTTGGATATTGGGCACGAGTCTCATGGGGATGCTGGCTGGTCGAATATGTGGAGCAACACTGAGTGCCACACTCGAGGGCGGAGACAAAGTCATGAATACGCCACTGCTTCTTTGTCCTCGGTGAGCATGTGGATATACTTCTGTATCTGGACTTCTCGTGTTTGACATGTAACCGAACTGCATGATATTGTGACAGAGCGATAAGGGTGTATGGAGTGGAGGAAGAAGGGAGGGGACGAGAAAGGCTCGAACGCGAGATGCGGTTCCAATTCCAGCGCCTATTCCACTGTGCCGGGATTGGCTAGGGTGCGCGTGGCGGGTGAGCCACTCGAACTCATGTGCAAGCAAGGTGCGAGAGGTGAGCCACTCTTCCCTCTTTCCCGGCTAGTTGTGCCACAGCAGCGTGGGTGAGCAATTTCTTTCAATGACGGATCTCATTTTGTTCGGCTGTCCCTCATCCGATTTGAACTCCTTTTTTTTATCAATGGTATCTCCTGGAGGAAATCCTTTGTCTATCTATCGTACTCTGCCTGATGCGAACCGATACGTCCACTGGGTCGATCAGGCATCGGCAAGATCAGGCCCCGCGCCTTGAACATTCCTTTTGTAAGTTTCGAGTGGATTGTTCTCCTACTGATTTTCACCGTCCATCCCCTTAACTAGCTTGGTTCTCATTTCCTTGTTCCACTTGTTCGAGGGACATCGCTAGAAATCACGAACTCTGCGTAGTGGATTGCGGCACAGAGTCTGGGGATCTGGTGGCTAGAGTCTCGTGTTCCAACACGATGGCTAAAGTTTTAGATATATAAACTGCGGTTCAGTAATCGAGCTTGCTTGCTGCTATTGTCCGTAACTGACCTCTATGCGACTCTCGTCGGCCTGATCTCGGCTTGGTGCTTCAGCATCCGTCCATTCCTATGTCACAGTTCTCGTTGACGCACTCGATCACTTCCAGGGTGGCCAGGTTTTTAGAAAACTTGATCATAATTCTGCTACTGATGTGAAAGTAGGCTGGAGTGTCTCTGAATCCGTGTTGCGGCTTCAGTAGTGTGTTTATCAGATATCCTTTCCATACCACCCTACCGCAAATTTTCTTTATGAATCCACGGAATCTCGGTTATGGAGTTGTAACTCATCAATAGACAACTGCGTATCACCTCACATTGCTGACGAGTTGGCGAAGATTTGACTTCGTCCTAAGTGGAGACCGGTAGCGCTCAGCCACAAGCGCGTCGCGTCTGAGAAGGTCTGCACGTCATGTGAGCGTGTGGGTAGTACTGACTAGATTTGTCTGGCGCAAGGTCTTCAACGTATTCAACTTCCAAAATACCTTGCTACATGGCATGTTCAACGGTTTCTAATGAAGGTAAAGATACCATGTTCATGTTACCGTAAGCTGCGGTCTTGCATGTGGCCAAAGACCGGGACAATCCTTTGCATTAACTTTAAGAGCCTTTCCGGCGATGTCGATGAAAAGTGTACACCGATTTCTCGAACGAGACAACATCTGTGGACCGATGATGCATGGATTGTGAATCATCATTGCAGAGATTATAGAGGAAGAGACAAAGCGTCTATCGATCATTCTGTCTAATCTGGAAGCCATCAATTGATCTGCGGATTTGCTTCCGACGACGATCCAGCTGATCAACATTTGACAACCGACTCTCACCACCGTCTTGTTTCCTGCCCTTCACAACGAAGGGACCAATTTCTTCTTGTATTCCCTCGCAACTCGTTCACGGGATGAACCGTGTGAATGCCGGAGCTTAAAGGGCACTAATCCGCGTTCGTACGCTTTCTGATGGGGTCTCGACTTCGCATGGGGCCCCAAGCAGGCCCTACACGCCGCCGAACGTCACGTCCGTATAGCTAATACATAGATGCTATTTGCCACGGTGTCAAACGTTCCCGTCTCTTCTTCTTCACTGCCACCATGGGATCGCTCTTTTCCAAAGGCTTCACTCCGGATGACCTCCCCGATCTGACCGGCAAAGTTATCGTTGTCACTGGAGGAAAGCAAGTCGTCGTCCAGATGTATCGTCTTTCACAGCTACTGATTGTTATGACAGTGCAGGAATAGGCTTCGCGACCATACAGCATCTTGTTAGACGAGGAGCGAAGATTTACATGGCGGCACGCAACAAGGAACGCGCCGATCGCGCCCTTGAGAGGCTGCATGCTTCTGGGATCGGCTCCGGGGAAGTAGTATGGCTATATACCGACTTCAGCAATCCCGAGCTCGCGAAGAAAGCAGCGGAGTCGCTCAAGGAGAAAGAGGAGAGACTCGACGCCGTGGGTACAGGCATTCTATTTGCAGTACCGTGTTCTTCGCTAACCCGTTAAAATGATAATCCGTCAGTGAATTGTGCTGCCTTGTGAGCATATTTAGACACAAGAGACGCAATTTGCTTAATTCTATACTCGTGACAGATTGCTTGTACCCTATGCCAAGACGTCGGACGGTAGGTTTTGCTAGTACGTGGCGCAATCCGATCCATACCTGATGGTGGTGAAACAGGGATCCAAGATGTTGTGATGGTTAAGTGAGCGTCACATGTGGGCGCTGGCGAAACGGCCAAGGCTCTTACGATGCGTCGCAGTTATTTGAGCCCTTTTGTCTTCATACGAACCCTGCTTCCGATACTCAAGCGGACGGCGGAAGAGCCGAACAGCGATGTTCGCATTGTTCATGTAGGTGGCATGAACATATTGCTAAATGATCGCTAACATTATCTGCAGCTCTCCTCTAAGGAGCACTTCAATGCTCCGAATGACGTGCACTTCCGCAACGTCGAGGACTTCAACGTTGAATACAGTGATTACTCGCTTCCTCAGTACCAGCGATACTGTGCGTTGAGAAGTGTACGAATTCAGGTGTCTGTACTGACCAAGATGCCGTAGCGTTGAGTAAACTGATGGGAATCCTGTTCGTAAAGGAGTTGCAGAGACGACTCGATGCAGAGAGCAGTCCAATCATCGTGATGGCCGTCCACCCAGGCGTCGTCAATACAGGTGAGTATGTCTTCTTCTCCTTTCCTAGTCGCATTCCCGCACCCACATTCGGGCCTTACAACCGTCCTCAGAAGGAGTGCAGAAGTACGCTCACTCGGTCGGGCCCATCCTCTCCCCCATCTACAGTGTCATAGCCAGTACCTTCTTCGAGCGTCCGGAAGTAGGCGGCTATGCCCCGGCATTCGCTGCTGTAGCGCCAGTGGTACGTGCCGAACCAAGGACCTATCGCGGTGCTTACATTGTTCCTCCGGGAATGGTGGGCAAACCAAGCCGGTTGGCTGAGAGCCCCGAGTTGGCGAAGGAGCTGTGGGAGACGACGGAGGGTATACTGCGGGACCTTGGGATAGATCTTCCGTAGGAGGTGCGTACCCGTAATGCGATGCAGATTGCAATGTAACAACAGCCATCTACGCTTTATCCAATACATGGGCATCAAGTTTAGGACTTTGATCCGCTCTGCGTTTCTCATAACTGGATGCTGTGGAAGCCAGTGGCGATGCGAGAAGACTGAGAAGCGGGGGTGCATACGTAGCGCGCGAAAGCCCTTTCCTTACGTTTCAAGAGATTCGTTGGTGCTCCATAACACCAGTCTGAGACTTCCAGACTTTGATGAAGCGGAAGACCGTGCGCCGACGTTCTGATGTATGATGATAATGATAGCGCGCGGTTGCAATGTACATCAGGACATCTCCCTTCCGCTGGGTACCTGAGCATATGGTGCAGTAAGTCAATTGTGGATCCTGCTCGCCCAACGCCCGCTGATGCAGGCTAAACCCTGCCTGTATCTCGCTTAGGAATTAGACCATGTCTCATAATGGAAAACGTTCAAGTCATCGGCGCGGAAGCAAATTCTGCATCACCGGATCAACGGTTGATGATCAAGCGAGGTCTTGGCGTGGTCGTACGCGTTTGAGACACGAACGCTCGTGCCTAAAGATCAACTCGTGCATTGATCTTCGGTGATACTGCCGGGCTGTTCGCTCAGTTTCTGTTAAGTTGTTCTGATGCTCGCCTGGGCGTGCGGCTGCAGAGCCACCGATGCTGTGATGATCAACTACGAAGCGCGTATCGGGTATGCCGTCGGAAAGATTGAATTGTTCGGATGCTCATATGAGAAGAGACGGTGCTGATGCGTGTGGTTCTGTCCCTGATCTCTCTCGCTGCCATGGCTCTCATTGACCTCAATCCCACGATGGGCGCTACGTTTGTTGGTCTCCTGTTGGGCGCGGTGTAAGCTTTTGTTTTTTTTCCAGAAGAACTTCGCACAGATTCACTGACATGTCAACGTGCTAGGTTTCATGGAATAACGACGTTGCAGTCGATTTTCTATGTATGGTCTTTGACTACGTGCGCCTTAAGACTTTGGCGTGCTGATGTAGCCATTCCATGACGTGAAGTATACGACCTATCCAAATGACAAGATTGTCCTGAAACTCATGGTATGTCGAGATTTATCGCGATATGTTCGAATCTAAGCGATTTTTGATCCCTCGCAGGTGGCCTTGCTATGGTATGTTTACAAGTATAGCAACCGATAGCCCGACGAATCATGACCTTTCGATTCAGGCTTCTCGACTCGCTCTCATTAGCCATGATTGCGTACGGCCTATACAAGTACTTGATCACGGACTTCCTGGATCCGCTTGCCCTGATGTACATGGACTGGTGAGTGTACGCGGCATCGCTTGATCTAATTGTGTCGTCTCATGAACTGGATCACAGGGGCCTTGCTGTACGTCTCCTTTGCGTTGGCAGCCGACGGTTACTGATGTCACCGTCAGACCGAGCCTATCGTCTCTGTATGTCTACCGGGAACACGTTACGAGTAGCCAATGCTCACATTTTCGCAGGGTATCATAGCCTTCATTGTCTACGAGTGAGTTAGTCATCAGATTGAGCATGTCATAGTGTTGAGATCCCTGCGCAGGTTCCTAATCTACCGCATATGGATGCGTAAGCTATGGTGCCTCTCGACTGTGGCATGGACTCATTGCGTTACAGTGAACAGACGTTTGGTGATCTGCGTAGTCTTCCTCGTAAGTATTGGAGGAGTAGTGGTGCACTTGTTGCTTGACGCTGATGGCCTTGCTAGGCTGCGTTTTCGCTGTTACCTCTCGGTGAGTGCTTAAAATTGATCTATGGCCTGCGACAAGGCTGAATAAAAACTTTTCTTAGCGCTGGCTTTCGGTGGGTGAGACCTCTGGAATGTCCTGTTCTGCTGCTGATTGTCCGGAATCCAGTTGCATCCCTAAAATCGTGAGTTGACTGCATGCAAAACTGACATGCCATAGTTGACTGATACCGGTCGTAGAGTTATCGGAGGAGAGCGCCTGTGGACGAGTATAACTGGCCTGAGGGTACGTGGTAAAAGGGCGCATTCTCGAGTAACAGCTTACACAAGCCTCCCTGAAGTGGGTCGCGACCACCGCGGACACCACGACAGCAGCCCTTGATCTTATAATCGCCTGCACGATTTGCTGGCAACTGTACAAGAGTCGTACTGGCTTCATTCAGTAAGCGCATGATATACAAGAGCGTGAAGCAGGGATCCTGAACGCTCCTCTTGCAGGACCGACAAGATCATCCAGAGGCTGACCGTGTATACCATCAACACTGGCCTGCTCCCTACGTGAGCACAGCGCATATTCGTGCTGACGCGTTGGGCTGACTGTACATTTCTCCAGTATCGTCAGCATTGGAGGACTAATTGCTGTGAGCAATGTTGCCGACATTAGTCAACTACGCCGGTTTGACGTGCAACTTTGATAGTACCTGGTCGCGCCTGATACGCTCGCATTCGAGGTCTTCAACATCATTGTATCAAAAGGTGCGTTTCTCATGTTTTCAAAGAACGTGAACCTCATAGCTCATCCTCGTAGCCTACACAAATACTCTCCTTGCGACGTGAGTGCTGCCAGAGGAGATCCTATATGCTGTTTGCTAAGACTTTGGTACTCAGGTTGAACAGCCGACAGTCCGTGAAAGGATATGCAACGAATTCTAGCGAAGGATTTTCAGCTCCCAATATGGCTCCTGTCGAGTTCAAAGTGGGCAGGCCAACGTTACCGACTGCTAGATCTGGCGACTCCTCGATCGACGACCAATCGGAGGAAATGCACTTTGCATCTGTGAGCATGTGGCCTCGAACTCCTGATGATGTATCCGCTGATGAGGCATGTAGGCGAAGGTTGCCGGGCCTGACTCGGATGCTCGCCCGTACGGTATAACAAGGCAATTCATACCCTAGACGTTCCGCCAAACAGGCTGTCTAGCACCTCGCGTTCACCTGCGCTATGCGCGTGCATCCCCCCGCGACCATCATCACGACAGTGTCACGATATTCATTTCGGTTCACGCCTAACTAAAGCCGCGAGTCATTGTGCGGCTTGTGACGGTGTTGGTAGCGATCGATGACTTGTTCCAAGTACTAAGTCCTAGCAAGTTCTTTATTGAAATTTCGTGCCTGTATTATGTCTCGTTATTTATTTGTGTCGTTAGCTTGTTGACGAAATCAGAATGAGCGAGTCTTGTCTCAGAAGAAAGCACCAGGGTGCCGCCCGGTGGCACAAGCTTGCGTGAGTCCGGCGCTTGTCCGAGTCGCTTGTTCTTGCCCATCCCGGGCCAGCCAGTCATTCCAATCACTTCAGCTTTTGTACGCTAGCTCTGCTTGCTGTGATAGCGCGAATGCCATACCGGGCTACGGAAGGTCCTTGTCGACTAGCAAGACTAGGCAAGGCTGGATTCTCATCGTTCTTTATCCGTTGTTTCTGCGGTGATTGACCTGAAACATATCAAAATTCGACAAGGTTGCGGCTACCGCCCGAAGATGACACTCGGATATGGAAAATTCCCGCAGGAATCCTATATGAAGGCTGCCTTCTTTCTCAGTGACGTTTCCAGGACGACCCTACAAGCTCTGCTGCCTGCCGATGTGGCCATTCTCGTCGTACCCGGAACGCTCCGTGCAAGAGCTCGAGGATGTCTACGACTATATCGTAGTTGGTCGGTCAATCGTATGTCACTTTGGTTTGGAGAGTTGTTGACTGGACAGTAGGAGGTGGCACTGCTGGATGCGTGCTCGCTAGCAGGCTCAGCGAAGATGAATCTGCAACGGTGCTGCTAGTAGAGCGCGGAGGCGTTCAGGATTCTTGGATCGCACGCGTACCATTGCTTTCCTCTCACTTCGCATCAGATGGCTCGCGCTCTCGTGTTTGGAAGTCCATTCCGCAGGAACGCGTCAACGGGCGCGCGTTCGAGTTGGCTGGAGGTAACTCGTTGGGTGGCTCATCCAAGATCAACGCCATGCTGTACACGCGCGGCCTTCCCGCGGAGTACAATTCGTGGAGCCAGGCGGGGCATAAAGGGTGGAGCTACGATGAGATTCAGCCGTACTTCGTCAAGTCTGAGACGGATCTCGATCAGAACCCAGAAAGTGCCGACGCGTTTCATGGCGTATCTGGTTAGTCTGGTTTCGTCCGTTATACATTGCTTTTACAGGAACTGAAAGCGTGTATACTCATACAGGCCCGTGGCAAAACAGATCGTACAAGCAAAATGTTTGGGGTCATACTACTCCGTGAGTGCTAACATATCGACCTGGCGACCCCAATTGAGCGTTGATTGTGTCTTAGAATCATCGAAGGCGCGAAGGCATTAGGAGTTCCATACGTAGACGATCTCAACTCCCCTCTCCATCCCTCACACGGCTGCGCGAAGATGCACTTCAATATTGACCAGCGTGGCTACCGCAGTTCCACCCTCACGGCATTCCTGCCCCAGTCGGTTGCATCACAGCGTGCGCAGCGCTTGCACATCTGCACACGCACTTCCGTGCTTCGCATTGACGTGCAAAAGGGCGAGAAGGATGTTTCAGAGGCAAGGGGTATCCATATCCAGGCTCTGAACGGGCGCTCGTCATCAAGGTTCATTGGGGCGCGAAGGGAAGTCATCTTGTCGGCCGGTCCTGTGGTATCTCCTCAGATCCTGATGCTCAGCTAATGGCTCCATTCCAATAGAAGCTACTGTCTCTGATATTCTCGAGAACACCTTCAGTGGGATTGGCCCGCAAGGACATTTAGAGAAGCATGGCATTCCGGTCATGAAGCATCTGGCTGGGGTAGGATCTCACCTGGTGAGTTCCTGTGCTCCGCTTATACTCATCGGTTGCATTAATTCTGTGCATTGTTTCTAGCAAGACCATCTGGGCGTCCCTGTGCAGTATCGGGTGCCATTACGCGACTCTGTGGTGCAGCTGCAAGTTCGACCTTGGTTAATCATCAAGGAACTCTTCTTATACCTTTTCTTTGGGCTTGGGATCCTGCTCGCTCCGGTGCTGGAGCTATCCATTTTCCTCCAGTCGCGGCTCTTCGATGCAGACTTTCGTACTATCACACCTACTAAGGCAGACGAGGATGCCTCGTTGCCCGTGAATATACCCGATATTGAAGTCATGCCCGTACGTGAGGCTTTCAATCAAACTCTTTCCGCTGGCTAGATACATATTTTGCAGATCGCTTGGAGCGACATAGCGGCATCAAAAGTCAAAGGCGATGGCGGCCTCGGATTTCTCGTGATACCGCTGAGGCCAAACTCGAAAGGAACGATTCGATTGGCTTCGAGCGACCCTCGCGATGATCCCGTTGTTGATTTGAACTATCTTGCCACCGACTACGACTGGACGATCATGCGCCAGGGTATCCGTTTCACAATGCGCCTCAAGGAGCAAATTTCTGCTAGAGGCTACCCAATCCGTGACTATCTCGTGCCGCCCAGCGAATCCGACTCCGACGTCAACGAATTCATTCGCCGCTATGCGCAGACGTCGTATCATTATTCGTCTACGTGTAGGATGGCGCCGGAAGACGGCGGAGTTCATGCAGGCGGGGTGGTCGATGACAGGCTGCAAGTGCATGGCGTGCGGGGACTGCGGATTGCTGACTCTAGCGTGTTTCCACATATCTTGAGCACTCATCTTGCTGCAGCTACTGTCGCCGTCGCCGAGAAGTGCGCTGACATGATAAAGGAAGAACATGTCAGCAAGGTCTGCTAGAACCCGTTCAGCCTGTGCGATCCCTGGTGGAACAGCGACGTCGTGTTTTGGTCATTTGTGAGTCTATGTCCTTCCTAAGTCATGCTCAATACCCACTGAAACGTAAAACCACAGTCATGCAATCGTTTTCTTGCTGGCGTTCATTCGTGGCGATGGCGTACCAAACGACGAGACGTTCACTTACGCGACTCATTGTGGACCGTTGGACGCATCATCCACTTATATCAGAACAGGAGGTTGTCTACGTGGTGGCAGCTTTAGGCAGCCCCAGAATGAAAACTCTCGAAGAGAAACGTTACCCAAGGTTAATCCAGACATTAACAAAACTTAGCCTAAATATCCTAGATTGCAATTGTCGTAGAACTTATCATATTGACACATGGAACTTATCTACACAAGCGTAACTAACAGGAATACTTACGGTTAAAGGGCCACATCGGTGCCACAGGCACCATAATTGGCTATCGTAATGCTCAGCTCAGCGCGCTCGACTCACTGCTCCTGTCAAAGTCCGTCCACGACGACTGAGATGTCTTGCTCGCCTTGCTATGCTATCGTTGCAGTCTTCTCGTCTCAAGCCCCTCAAAATCGAGTTCGGGAAGGAGGGTACTAGCTCACGATGAGGATGGTTCGGTGCAGGCACCTGGTTGACCATGCAATTGACAACGAAGCGGATCTCGCATTATTCAAAGCGTCGGATTGCATCACAACATATAAAGATGATTGAGTCCGAAGTCCTCACTGGCACTATTCAATCTTTCCGAACCCCTCTCTTCCATTCGTCATGCTGCGCTCTACGCCCTCCCATTCGCCTGTTTCAATCGTGGTCGCTTGTTACTCGAAAGATAGTGCTGTATGGATGGAGAGATTGAGGGGGAGGGAGTAAAGCTGTGATTAAGACACGACGAAAGACACTCGGACCCTTGATTCAGGAAAACGGCTTCGCGATTGCTCCAGCGCGGGGCACGCCTGGCACGTCTGCCCGCACGCCGATCATAGCAATGTCTTTGCACTGAATGCCCATTAGCAGACAAGGCGACAACGAGGTGTGAATCGAACTCACATTAGCAGCCGTCGAGGTTGCCTCTTGAGACCGCCTTTCTAACTCGGTGGCTTCTCCCAGCGATTGTTCATTGACATGAACATGGGCCATAGTCTGCGGCTTCGAACTCGCAAATAGCTTGGTCTCTTGCCCCGAGGAAGTCGCATCCTCGATGCCATGTTTGTTGGGCAATTCCATCTGCACGTACGTTAATATATTGTCCGCTCATGTATGTTGATAAAGAACTCACCATGCCTCTAAGAAGCCTTTTGCTAAACTCTGCATTAATGTGCTGCTCTCTCTCCTTCAATAAGTCCAGAAGGCCTACTTGCAGCTCGGGGGATTGTCGCCTTTGCAGTGGCCGGTCGATCACACCAGGACCGGCTTCATCGTGAAATGTCTTGATGACCACGGTAAGCACACAGGATAATACGGACGTGTCATGGCTGGTGAACTTACTTGTTTACCCTCATGGGCCGTATATCTCTGTGTGTTTGCATAGCCAGTGTTGCTGTAATCGTATACAGTCGTGAACCGAAGACGGGGTGGAGCGATCGGTTGCTTGTCGTGCGACAGATGCTCTTTACGTTCAATGGCGGTAGTGTTGTCGATACCGAGTCCTTTGAGGGAGTATCCATTTGTATGGTCGAGATACGGCTGAGAATGTGGCGCGTTATCGAAGCTGGATGATGAGCAGAAGGCGTGTCAAATAGGTATTGTCAGTATGTCGCGTATCCCCATCCAGCTTGTATACCAACTAACATTAATTATCCTCTGCAGGTGCTGAGTGGAAGTTATGATGAAGGAGGACGCGACGCAAGAGAGCGAGGAAGACACGTTGGCGTTGGGCGCCAAATCCGCCTTGTCCGACTTAGGCTATCGAGTGGCAACCACTCATGGAGGGGCCCTCAATTTTCGCGCAATATGGTATCATTATGAAATAACATGTACTGGGATACGATGGTATGTTCTACTTATGACATTGGAACGCCGGACTAATATGTTTTGCAACTCTTTTGCGAACATCAAATGTTTACCGACATTTCATTGCAGCCTTCCTTCCCGTCTGTAACTAGTCATCATGCGATCGTTCTCCTTCCGTATATACGTCGCCTCTCGAATCTTGGCGGCGTACTATGCTGTCTCTCGGCTGTTCTCTGATCCGGAGACCTTGTCCTCGATATCCTGCAGGCAATGAGACATTTTGTACAACTTCAAGCGTTCGATATCACTAACCATGGTACGAATCCTTTTCGTGGGCCTGAGACGTACGGGGCCTTGCTCCGACCATTTTCCATGGCGCATCGTCTCCGGTTGCGAGGTCGTCCAAAGGGAGTCATCACCAGCTCTATTCATGAAGGCTTGTGCGTCCTCCTGCTTCAGGACCACGACTTTCCCGTCCATATCTCGGTATCCCCACTTGCCATGTAGGATACTATCATATGACTGTCGGGCAGGATTCGGCTGGGGCATCATCATCAAGATGGGATGCAGTCGTAGTTCGCCATGTTCATCATTGGCGGTTTGCTCGCCATCCCCGTCAACTGATTCGGCCCATTTCCAATATTGTTCCCCGGCTTGCAAGGACTTGTCTTCGGCAAGCGTGATCCAAGATGAGCAGGTGCGGTGTGTCCAACCGCCGAAGTCCTGATCCATTCGACGGTGAGCGCACAGAATGACGCGGACATTGAATGCTGACCTGATTAACGGGAACGCCGTCTATGTTCGTGTGATTTTGTGTATTCATAAAGGCTTGTGTGTCGGGACTCTGTTGATCATCGACCTCCGGATCCCCGTCGTCGCCCCAGTCGATCCATCGACTGAATGATGGCATAGGCGCGTCTCCCTCATAATCCACTGACAAGGTGCTCAACGTGCTCTCCATTCGAGGAGTGGCCATAGCGAACTTCAAGGCCTGATCGACTAGATGACGAGTGGCAACGCGACCGAGGTGAACAACGTGAGCAACAGACAGATGTCACGCCCGGGCCTACTGTCTAGCGTGTCGCAGAAGGCAAGCGAAGATGATCGACAAGCAGACGTCGAATGCGTGGCTTTTATGCTTGTGGTGAGTGGGCAAGTGGAACGAGTCAAATCGGACATGTTGATGGCCACTAACGCGTCTGTGGCGGCCATCATGCTCGCTTAGGGATACATCAAATTTGGAGTCTTGGATTGAGAAAAGCTAGCGAAATGTATATATATTGTGAGTGCCTTAAAAACTATGTGACCGAGACGATGTAGTAGACAAAATCTGTTCAGATGTCTCGCGAACATATTGAAAGGCCCGCTCTTCCTTCCACCCTTAAACAGCCGCTCGCAAACGGTTGATTATCCTTTCATGGCGGCACACATTCTCCCCCCCCTCGTTGTCGTCGTCCAGCATCATCTCCGAAAGTGGTGGCAACTCAGTGGCTGAGCCCACAAGTCCGCCCAACAAGGCCACTTCGCGTTCATGCGCTCCTTCCAGTTCATCCAGTCGATAGCCAAGGTGGCACTATGGTGCTCATTATCGGTTTCCCAGGAGATGCCCTTTCCGTTTCAGACCGTGCCAGCTACACGAAAATGGCCGCACAGCGAGCACGGACTTCAATACACGATCTCGTAGCGATCCTTCTGCTTCGTTCTGACATGGTTTGACAGCTTGTCTCGCTGGCTGAGATTTACCTTGTCGGTCGTTTGTGGCGATGGCGTACCAAACAATGACGCTCACTTACGTGACTCGTTATGGACCATTGGAGGTATCATCCACTCATTCCGGAACAGGAGGTTGTCTATGTGTCGGTGATGGCAGCTGTTAGACGGCTCCGTAATGAAGAGTCTCCGTGAGAAATGCTACAGCAAGGGTTTATCCAGATACTGGCGAACTCAGCGTAGATACCCCAGATTGTAGTTGTCTTAGTACTTGTCATGTTGAAATAAACTTATCACAGAATCTACCTTTAATCATCAGTGGATAGGGCCACATCGGAGCCACAGGCACCATAATTGGCTATTGTAACGCTCAGCCTTGCAACGTCAACCGTCTCGAGTCACTGCTCCTGTTGAAGTTCGTCCAGGATGACAGGGATACCTTGCTCGCCTTGCCGTGTTCTCCTTGTAGTCTGCTCGTCTCAAGGCCCTGGAACTCGGCTTCGCGAAGGATAGTACTACGCTCACGATGACAACGGTTCCGTGCAGGCGCGTAGTTGGTCGTGCAGGCTGTCTCATCGACGACGAAGCGGACCTCGCGTTGTCCAATGCATCAAATTACAGCGCAGCATACAAAGACGATCAAGTCACATCCTTACTGTCAACATTAACCCGCTAACTGCCTTCCTTCCATTCCTTGTGTCCCGCCCTACGCCTTTCCATCCGCCTGCATCCATTGTGATCGCTTGTTGCTCGGAAGATCATGCCGCACGGACGGAGATGTTGAAGGGGAGGAAGTATGGTTGTGGTGAACGAGATTGGGAAATGCACTTCGACTCTTGGTTCAAGGAAATGACTTCGTGGTTGCTCCTGGGCGGGGCACGCCTGGCACATCTGCTCGTACGCCGCTCATACTGATGTGGTTGCCATGGACATTCGTTAGCAGACAAGGCGAGAATCAGATTTGAACTGAACTCACATCATCAGCCGTCAAGGCTGCCTCTTGGGACCGTCTCCACCTCGTCGGCGTTATCCAGCGCTTGTCCATTGGCACAAGCGCAGGGCACGGTTTGCATCTCTGAACTCGCCAGTAGTTCAGTCTCTTGCCGCGAGGAAGTTGCGGCCTCACTGCGATGTCCGTTGTCCACCTTTTTCTGTACGCATGTCTATATATCGTCCGTGCTCATGCGTTGCCTTATAACTCACCGTGCCACTAAGAAGTCTCTTCCTGATTTCGGCATTGATATGCCTTTCCCTCTCCATCAACAAGTCGAGAAGGCCGACTTGAAGCTCGGGCGATCCTCGCCTCAACAGCGGCCGGTCGATCACTCCAGGATCGGCTTCGTCGCGAAAAGCCTTGACAACTACGGTAAGCGCACAGGATAATACGGATGCATCGTGGCTGGTGAACTTACTTGCTGACCATCGCGGGTCGTATTACTTTGTGCACTTTCGTAGGCAGCCTTGCTGTAATCGTATACGGTCGTGAACCGAAGACGGGGTGGAGCGATCGGCTGCTTGTCGTGCGAGAGATGCTCGTTACGTTCGATGTCGGTGGTATTGTCGAGATCGAGGTCCTTTGAGGGAGTATCCATTGTATGGTCGAGATCAAGTTGAGAATGTGGCGCGTTGTTGCAGCTGAACGATGAGAGGAAGCGTGTCAAATAGAGGTATTGTCAGTATGTCGCGTATCAACATCCAGATTATATACCAACTGACATTATGTGTTCTCTGAAAGTGGCCAGTGGAAGTTATGATGAAGGGGGACGCGATGCAAGAGAGCGAGGAAGACACGTTGGCGTTGGGCGCCAAATCCGCCCTGTCCGACTTAGGCTATCGAGTGGCAACCACTCAGGGATCGGCCTCAGCCTTCGCGCAATATGCTCTCATTGTCAAATAATATGAACTCGAAAACTGTCGTACGTTCTACGTATGATTGCGGAACATTGAGATAAATACAGTCTGGAAACATTTTTTGCGAACGTCAGATTGCTGTTTAACATTTCTTCGCGATCTTCCCTCTGAACCTCTACCTGCTCCACACGTGATCGTTCAGCCTAACGTATTGCAAACGCTTGTGGCCTGCTAAGTCATTTCCTGGCTGTCCTCCGATTCGAGGATGTCAGCACGCGCATTCTTCGGCCAGCTTGCCCTCCATACCCTGCAGCCGGTTCAAAGACTCCTTGGCCGGCTCCAAAGCATCAACATCAATCCCGTTCCGCATGACACGAGGCACCGTATGGCATTGGAGGATAGACGACGGGGAAAGTCGGGAGGCAATAGTCCTGTTGGGACTGCCGGTGTTGTAAGCTTCCTCGCGGTTATCGAGTCGCTGATTGATCCTCTCTCTGATTGGAAACTCGCAAGAGGAGGAGGACAAGGACGAAGACGAGGAGAACCGGCGATTGGGAGCCCTTTGAGAGTTGCGACGTCCGGAGCTGTACGCCCCCTCACGATAGTTGCACTGCCATTCGGCAGACGGCCTGCCGTAGGAGTCGACGGTCTCAGGGTTCTACGAGCGTTGGTCAGGCGTTGCTCTCATCACACACACCGTGCGGCTCACCGATGCCGTTATAACCTCAGCCGCGAGATCCTGGGCTTCTACTTCCACCTGTCTTCTGCACATCTCTACAAGGTTGAATGCAACCGCCATTTGCTCACCTCTCAACAAGAGACGCATGAACTCGACTGGCGGAAGGGCCGTCTGGACAAGTTCGCCACCAACCTAGCCATGATATAAGTGCATCAAACGAATGACCTTCGAAAACAAGGCAGCCTACCATGCTGTAGAAGGATGTTCTATTATCCCTGACAGGCACGATGCATTTCCATTCCATTTCATCGCCCAGCGGTTCTGCTGATTCAGTATCGGAAGCTACCTGTGGCGTAGGTCGGATAGTTGGATGTCATATGGTGAGTGCACAGATTAACACGGATAGAGTGGTTGGCTGACTTACTGATTGGATTTCGTCGTTCAACTCGTCCGTGTTAATTTGTGTATTCTTCAGAGTAAAGGTGTTGTAGGCGAAGGAAGTAGTCCGATGACCACATGCAGATTCTGACAGCTCCGGACGAGGCTGTATGATGAGAAGAACGTATGGTAGTTTTTTGAGTAACGCATTGCGTGCTCTTTTCAAGAACTTGGAACCGAAGGCCATCGTTGAGCGTTCGCGATGAGCGAGAATGAAGACAAAGGACAAAAGGTAAAAGACTAATAAAGCAGTGGCCACGTCGCAACGATGCGTCGTTGAGCTCAATGAGATGCGATACTCAGCGCGCGATGCGTTGATCAGGTATAGGGCACTGGTCGTGGTGGGTGGACAAGCCTTGTTTGGGGAGTGGCACGGCCGGCCGAGTCGGTATCTGTATGGGCGCTTATACTAAGCGCCTGCCACCAAGCCAGTGCGAGCCACGCGCTATCTCGTGCCAGCTGCGCTCCGTCATCCCGCCTTTTTGCTCTCTGGAATGTCCTTTTATTTGATGTGTATGCAAAAAAGTAAGCATAAAGGCGTCTGCGCACACCCTCTGTTTTGTCTGCTCAACGTCGATTACGGACTACCAGAACGCTGCTGTAGACGGTTAATAGAGACTGTCAATTCATTGCATGCATCTGTCACCGATAAGTATATCTATGTTTGGGCTTATGGCTGCGTTCTTCATGCACTAGAGATAGTTCACATTTCAGAATGTGTGCTGATTACGAACAGTACGCGAACTATGATTTTGGCCGAAAGCAAATGCATTCCGGCAACTTCCATTTTTTTTCGGGTGGCCGCTATCACTGTAATGTCTCCTCTGCAGAACATCTGACGAAAGGAAAGGAAAAGGGGAAAAAAAGGCACTAAACCCACTATTTCGATATATATCTTATCGCATTGATGGTTTCCGCTTGTTGAATGCATCTCCAACGTTTGAGGATTCTCTAGCAATCGTTCATTTTGTACTATGAAGGAGCTACAGGCAGCTCATAATTCTGTGGTACTTGTTTGACCTGTCTAAGTCATAAATTATGCTGCTAAATCTGATTCATGATACTCGAGAAATGCATCATGCATGGTTTTCATGCGGCTTGGGATGCCAAGCTCATGTTAAATCAGCAGTCATCATCAATGTATTTCTTCCATAACCCCCTGCCTTCTAGATGCATTCATCGATATTGTATTTCAATCTTCGACACAAGAGCCTGGTAGATAGGCGAGACTACTGCTGACCTTGGATCCCACTATCGAGTGGCGCAGAGCCACCGACGCGCGTTGCACAGCGTCACTGCATCACATGATCGCGTTTCGGACTAGTACACATCGGCGTATCGCTCGAAATCGAAGTTAGATTATATTTGCATGTCGAGGCCGACCAACAATTCTTCCTTGTCAAAGGATCCCATGATACTGAGAGCTGTTCATCTACGGTCAGTTATTCTTATGTATTGCATGATTCATCTCTGGCATATTTGAAATTTGTAGGTCGCGTTCCAAGCACTGAGCGTGTATACACTTATGAGTCTATGTTGAGTCCTTAAGTTATGCCGATTATATACTGAAAAGTAGAACTGGAGACTCGAGATGATGCAGTTGTCTTCGATGACGTTCGTTGTGATGCATCCCAAACTTACGCAACTCATTGTCGACCGTTGCAGGCATAATTTTGGAATGGGATTGATGCGTCATCGTCATGAAAAGTCTCGATGAGAAACGTTACGCACTGTTAAACCAGCTTTTGGAAACTCAGCCCAAATGTCCGAGATTGTAGTTGTCTTAGCACTTGTCATGTTGACATGGAACTTACCACATAATCTACGTTTCGTTAATGATCGGTGATCTTGAAGGGCCACATCGGCGCCACAGGCAAGTACTGCCGTAATTGGCGATTGTAATACTCAGCCTCGCACACTCGAGTCCCTGCTCCTGTTGCTTTTCATCCATGGCGACTGGGATATCTTGCTCGCCCTCTTGTCTTCTCCTTGCAGTCTGCTCACCTCGAATCTCTGGAATCTGAGCTCGGGAAAGAGAGTACTACGCTCACGTCGATCATGCAGTCTGTCTCATCGATGACGAAGCGGACCTCGTGTGTTCAACGCATCGAATTCTATGATAGTGCAGCATATAAAGACGATCAAGTCAGATCCTGACTGCCAACGTCAGCCCTCCAACTGCCTTTCTTCTGTTCGCTATGTCGTGCTCTATGTCTTCCCATTCGCCTGCATTCACCATGGCCGCTTGTTGCTCGGAGGATCATGCTGTACGGATGGAGAAGTTGAGGGGAGGGGGCAAAGCTGAGATGGAGAGATGAGGAAAGACATTCGAATTCTTCTTGCAAAAAAACGACTTCGCAGTTACTCGAACGCTGGGTCACGTCTGGCAACGTCTGCTCACGCATCGCCCACATTGATGCTCCTGCGTTGGATGCTCGTTAGCATTCAGAGCGACAATCAGGTCCAGAACTGACTCACAGCATCAGCCGTCGAGTTGGGACTGTCTCTTCATTTTGGTGGCTTTGTCCAGCGATCGTCCGTTGGCCCGAACACGGAGCACGTTCTGCGGCTCCGAAATCGCAGACAGATTGGCCTTATCCTCCGAGGTAGTTGGATTCTCAGTGCCATGTCCGATGGGTACATCGGTCTGTATGTACATCTGTATATTATGCGCTCTCATATGTTGATATCTGACGCACCGTGGCATTGCGAAGCCTTTCCTTATTCTCTGCATGAATTTGCTCTTCCCGCTCCTTCAAGAGGTCAAGAAGACCCACTTACAGCTCGGGGGAATGTCGCCTCTGCAGTGGTCGGTCGATCACTCCGGCTTCATCATGAAATGCCTTGACAACTATGGTAAGCACACAGGATATTACGAATACATTGTGGCTGGTGAACTTACTTCGCGACCGTCATGGGCCGTATTGTGCTGTGTGTTTGCATAGGCAGCCTTGCTGTAATCGTATACGGTCGTGAACCGAAGACGGGGTGGAGCGATCGGCTGCTTGTCGTGCGAGAGATGCTCCTTACGTTTGGTGGCGGTGGTATTATTGAGATCGAGGTCTTCGAGAGAGTAGCCATTGTATGGTCGAGATCTCGCTGAAAAGTGGCGCGTACTCGCAGCTGAGCGATGAGAGGAAGGTGTATAAATAGAGGTAGTTGTCAGTATTCCGTGTGTTTGCATTCAGCGCGTACATCAACTAATGTTATGTATTCTCTGAAGGTGCCGAGTGGGAGTTACGATGAAGGGGGACGCGACTCAAGAGGGCGAGGGTGACATGTTGTCATTCGGCGTCAAGGTCACCCTGTCCGGCTTAGGCTATCGAGTGGCAACCACGCACGGACGGGCCTAAATTTTCGTGCAACATGGTCTCATTGTCAAGTAACATGTAGTTGTATATGATGGTAAGTTCGAGTAATGACATCGGAGCGTCGAATTAAATACAGGTTTTGAACCTTTTTTTGGCGAACATCAGATGTTCTCCGACATTTCATTGCAGTCTTCCTTCCCGTCTGTAACTGGTCATCGTGCGATGAAGCGGAGACTGTCCTCGGAGTGTGGCACTATCACCAATAGGACAATGTCGCGGATTCGATCAGTGCGATCCTTCAAGGCGGACTTGGCTGCTCGTCGACGAGATTTAAGTAATCACAGTATGACTAAATCCATGCGGCGCGGCTGAGTTTGCTTTCAGGTGGACCAGAACACGTCTGTGGCAGATGGATTGTGGTCACAGCGTACGATGGACGCTAGGCTAGATGAAGACATCGAGGCACCTTCCTGGACGGCCACTGCCTCCGTTCTTGGCATATCGGGGTAAATTGTGAATAGAGCTCGCAGCGCTGTGGGCAACGTTTGATGAAGCTTGCAAGTGTTCGACATCACTGACGATGGTGCGAACCCTTTTCGTAGGCCTGACACATATGGAGTCTTGCTCCAACCGTTTTCTGTGGTGCATGGTCTCCAATTGGGAGGGCTTCAAAGGGTATCTCCGCCAACTCTATTCATGAGAACTTGTGCCTCGTCCTTTCTCAAGACCACGACTTTCCCATTTATATCTTGGTATCCCCACTTGCCGTGTAGGATACTGTCATATGACTGTCGGGCAGGAATTGGCTGAGGCATCATAATCAGGATGGGACGCAGCCGTAGTTCGCCCTGTTCGTCATTGGTTATTGCCTCGCCAGATGCCTACAACGAAATGAGTATCGCAGCAATCCACGAATTCTTCTAGACTCACGGCAGCCCAATATTCTACGAGATTTCTATCCCCATCAACCGATTCGGTCCATTTCCACCACTGTTCCGCGGCTTCCAAGGATTTGTCATCGGCGGGCATAATCCAAGGAGGACAGGCACGATGCTTCCAACCACCGAAGTCCTGATTCGATTCACGGTGAGTCCACAGAATGATGCGGACGTTAACTGCTGACCTGACCAATGGGAACACCGTCTGTGATCGCCTCACTCTGTACACTCATGAAGGATTGTGTGTCGGAGATCTGTTGATCGTCCACGCTCGGGTCCGGGTCATCGCCCCAATTGATCCATTCATTGAAGGACGGCGTGGGCGCATCTCCTTCATAATTTACTGACAAGGTGCTCAATTTGTTCTCCATTAGAGGAGTGGCCATGACGAATTCAAAGGCCTGACTGATTAGATGACGAGTGGCAATGCGACCGGGTTCAACAGCGATGAGCAACAGATAGATATCACGCCCGGGCCTACTGCCTAGCGTTTCGCAGAAGGGCAGAGGAGGCGGTCGACAAGCAGAGGTCAAATGCGTGGCTTTTATGCTCGTGATGAGCGGGGAAGTGGGACGATATCCAAACAATGCAACTCGAACACGTTGATCTGTGGCGGTCATCACGCTCGCTTACGGATGCATCAAATCCGAAGTCTTGGGTTCTAAAGAGGCCGGGAGATTGTGTATATGTTTTGTGCTTGCCTTGCCTTACACTATGTGGTCGAGACGGTGTAGTAGACAATATTCTCTCCAGCACGTCTCGCGATCAAATCGAAAGGCCAGCTCCTCCTTCCTCCCTTAAGTGATCGCTCGCAACCCATGATTATCCTTTCATGGTGGCATTTTCCCACACCTTCTCCTTGTGGTCGTCGTCCAGCACCATATCCAATAGCGGTCACCGGCCCGGTGGCTGAGCCCATAACTCCTCCCACCAGGACCACTTTGCATCCACCTGTTCCTTCCAGCTGATGCGGCCAATGGCTAAGGTGGTACTCTAACCCTGAAGTTAGCAAATTATGTCTGGATGTATTCGCCGTTTTCTCTGCCTGTCTCCGAACGGCACTAACTCTTTGCCTGCATGTTTCATCTGCCAAAAATAATATGTCTTGATTGTGCATCTTGAATTTCTCCAGCGCTTCGTATGGCCCTTGCTGGCCTGGTCATTATTTGAAGCACGAGGCGTTGACTCCGACAGAGACATATCTATAATACTGGCCGAAGCAGACGCAGCCTTGGAACTCCAATGCTTCGGGTCACCTCAAAATGCGTTTAGCTAGATAGAAGAGGGAACTTTAACCTGTCATTGTGTCCAACGAAGGTCGTTTCTACGGCATGGCCTTGTTTCATGGCTTCATGCGCGTTATCGCTGCACGAACGGACGGGTGGAACGACTATACCACCACTAAATGCTATGTAGCTTAGGATTGAGTTCTTCCTTGTATATGACTGAACCTTAAACACTCAAATCAGACAACCCTCCCATGAGAAAAAATTGTTAGATTTGTTATCGACTTAATGCTCTTTATAAGGATGGCATCTCCACGCGTGGAATATTTATGTCTGGAGGCCCGCAGGCATCGCGTTCAGCCACAGCCGCGTCGTTATATCATCACGTGGTCGCGTATTGTGCGATTCAGTGGGTGCGCGCTTGTTCGACCACTCTCTCTAGCTCTGCTCTGATTTTCAGCGCATAGCATTCGCAGAAATACCCTCTATAAGGCATTCCTTACTATGGAGAACCCACATGCTGAACGACAGAATATCCTCCTCCAGCGTATCATCAAGAATGCCGTACGTTTCCCGGTTTCTTGTCGGGGTCGGCTGCGTAGTCTTTATTGACATAAACCCTAGGATAAATGCACAGAAACCATTATTGAGTTGAATCACTGTCTGGAGGAAATCATCCGCGCAAACTCGCAGGTGAAGACGGCAGCAGATTTGGTGACGAAATATCGGAAGAATGTGCAATACAATTTGGAGGCGATGAAAGGCTCAGAAGATGCGAAGTAGCTGTATGTCGTCCAGGAGGGATACGAGGGCTTTAGATTGTTTCTGAGCTGTGAGTCGATCGCATATCATATTCTTAGCCCCGCCGTTGACACAACTTTTCCAAGTACCAATCGTCAACTTCAGACTGCATGAATTGCTAAATATGCTGTACATCTTGTATTGTAGCTGTATAATGTAGACGTTATGGGAGCATCGCTCTTCTCAACGACAACTACTGATGACTGCTATGTGAAATGGCGATTTTGTTGTCCTTCCTGAATCCTCAAGGCCTCACTCGACAGTCCAACTTGTTGCTTGTATATATAGTGGAGGCACCACTGAATACGACGTGACTTCATGCATTTCCAGCTTCACAAACACAGTACTACATATGCCACACACTGCGCACGGATGGCCCACAAGTCCAAACTGATACCATGGTGGTTGCGTTGAGCTAACTGGTGGCAAGGCGAGCGAAATTTCAACGCCACTGTCGGAAAGTTAGACGCCATCGTGGCGCTCAGCGCGAGAGAGCAGCCCGATCAGAATCTTTTCATCGAGTTTCTATAGGTTCCTATGGCCGCCATCACTCCTTGCTTTGGTCGCCTCAGACGTCGCCGTCATGACTTGTGCTGTTTGTGTCTGCAGCGTTATATGTGGGAAGCTGAGGCGGCGTGCTGTATCAGAAGAGAACTTCAACTGCTTGCGCGATCAACCCTGCCGTAGAGGTCGTTACGTCGTGGTTGGGCCTCTGGGTTTGCGCCTTGTATTAGAATCGGCACTAGTGAGTAACACGCTCGGACTGCTTCAGTTGTCCATGTTGCATCCTTACTTCCTTCGTGCGTACCTTGCAATCGATCTCCTCCCGCCTTCCTCAGTTCGGATAGTTCTTGCGATTTGCAAAGCTGGATAAAGAAGGCGTGCGGAGTATAGGAATCGTGACGTGGAGACGGAATGAGACGTACCTGCGGCTCCCTGTTTGCATCCTTGCCGACCTGTGGCTAAGGCGCGAAACGCTTCAGATGACAAGGGGAGCTTTCACTACCGTTATCGAGGTATGCGGGATCTTGCAAACGATTGCGGGTGAACATTTGGGCGTACCCTGATGTCTGTTGATTTTCCAGGGACCCTTTGTGAGTAATGGAGCAAAGAAGGAGCAGCATACCTTTTTACTGATCCGAATTGTAGTCAGCTCAACAGTGTCGCTCTGACCGCATCCCTCAAACTGGCAGCCTCGCAAAGATCCTACAGCTGGATTTATATGCTCCACGCCATTTTGAGGTCCTCTTTTCCATTCAATCAATCAAGTCCACGCCTGGGACCGTGGTCTCCGGAAACGGCTTCCGGCGTGAAAATGGCTAAATGGATAAGCGGACGCGTCAATCCATTGCCTTCTGCTACACCGTTCAGCGTGAATGACATCTCATCAACCTTGGAGAATGCTTACAGATAGCTGGAAGCTTGTGATTGCAGGGCTAGACGCAGTTACCAGAGGCCGCACATATTCGACCGGACTGCAAGGCACTCGTGAGCATGCAGCATGAAGCGATACCCACTCGAATCCAGTTGACTTACTGTTGTCTACCAGGTCGCTGTATGCGTTCATGCGGTGATTCACATACCTCAACTCATGACATTCACATTGCGCTTAGATGGTGCATTTTTCGGGCAAGTGATCCCATTACCTAGAAATCGGTATGCTCACCATCACATAGTGCAGATGTGAAGGTCTCCAAGATTAAAACTCACCTTCGTGGCCTCAGTCTTCCCCGTCTTCGCACGCCTTCGGAGAATAATTGAAGCCCCGATGTTCAGGCTGAAGCTTACTGCTCAACGAAGTATCTGGAATGTTGGCCATATGTCGCAGAGCTAAATGAATAATGGCGGCTGATCTGTGTGCGACGGATCAGGTTCTTCTAGGGATGGCATGTGGCCACTAGACCTATGATTATTGTCCCTTCGAAAGCGAAGAACGCCAAACATCAGAAGGTGTATCCTACTCTATCACTCGTCGACCGGATCAGCGAAGAATATGAGAGGTGGAGCAAAGGATGTTGGTGCTCAAGGGCTAAAGAAATGGACAAATTGCGAAATATGCGTTCTGAACTAAGTAAATCCAAGCATCTACGCGCCCGTGGCGAGTAGTGTGACCACAGAAACCAAGGGCTATCAGAACGCTAAGTAATTGTCTGTGTAACTCACTCGAGTGAGTTGTACATGAACCTGCCTGACGTTACCATTATAGCTCCTAGCAACTTCGGCCGCTGCGCATACATCATTCGTCTCACGGGCAATGGGCGCCAGTACCATAAAGTGTATCTGGGCTGGAAGAATATGTGCGTATGTTGTTTTCTATCATTATTTCTATCTCCAATGCTGCAAGCCGAATGAGGCCTCCTTATACACGTACATGTGTTGGGGTTCACTTGCACACTACGAACTGCCCTCATTTGTTTCCTCAACGTCATCCGTCCTCCATTGACCATTATAAGACTCTTCGCCAGCCACACCAGCCGTGCTCCCTCTGCCTTTCTTCCCCGATCACGGTACGCCTCACAGCGAGGCGACTTCACTGCTTTCTTGGTCCTGCGGTGGATCGTAGTGCAGAGCGGCGCAAGGAGCATGACCAGCTATAACGGAAGCTTGATACAACTCACCGATAAAGTGCTGTATGCTGTCGATGTCCGGAGAAGTGCCATCCGTCATTGGCATGTGCTCATCAACGCGTTGGTGGTCGCCAATGTGTGCCATTTACCACGGATACGCAATGTGAACTCAAACCTCGGGACCGATGTCTTGGATTGAAAGGCCACATTCATCCGTCAAAGCCGTATGTCTACCCAGGACCTTCCACAGAGAGTATCGCAAGCCAGGGATCTGAGACATCAAACAATTCCTGTGATGAACTACAAAGCGGCGTAGTGTCCTCGGCCTTCCCGAGCGCTCCCGCGCCTTTCGTGAAGTCAGGGTCTTCGACGTCGAGTACGGCTCCGCCCATCAGCTGACATTGTCGCTCTTTCTCCGGGTCTTCAGTATGGGGGAGTCGCTCAAAGTCTCTCTGATCGTCGCCCGTGGATTCTTCGCTTGTGCTGTACGATCGGCGTTCAAAATCCTGCTGGCAAAATCGATTGTCGTTCTGATTGTGGTGTACGCAACGTCTGCTTACCCATTTTCTCGTAACGGCAACATTGTCGGCCGTCTTCTTCGACTCCGCAACCTGCTGATTCCCCGAGTCTCGGCACCTTCCATCTACCGGTGGCACCGCTAGTCTCGACGGAGCTGCCGACTTGGATGATGACTTAATGCCATCTACGTAAGTAAATAAACCCAATGATACCTAATGTCAGCTTACAGTTCGGTTGCAGTCCTCAAGACAAGGTTGATCGCATTGAATGCTGTAGCTGTGCGCTGCACGGCCTAAGGAAACTGCAGAACCTGACGGGCCGGCTGATCGTGAACGCCGGATTGCAAAACCTTCTAGCCTGTCGTGTCCGCACTGGAGACGTTAACGGTAAGCACAGAAGTTATGACGAACTCAACGACTCGCTGACTTACAGGCTGACGTTCGTGGGTCGTCTTTACTTCTGTGCTTGCAGCCTTTGTAGCCGTGAGGATTTTCAATGAGCTTGTTCCATTTGCATCATCTTTCCGCATTCGCTTGGCTCTTGGCTCGATGATAAGCAAAAGCCTGCGTTTAATGGCTACTCCAGCCTTCTTCAAAAAGGAAAAGTCCATCTATAGACCGTCTCTGGATGAAACGTCACGCTGCCATGGTAATGTCAGTATGTGATTCTGTGCTGAATGCACTCGCGGGTATACTGACATAGATTTGGCATGAAATGAGTACGGAAGACCGAGTGGCGTACTGAGCGGGTCATGATCAAGTGCGGCATCCCAGAAAGGGATCGCTTATATCTGGGCGCTAACAGTCTTAATGGGCGATTCCAAAGCAATCGCAATCTGCCTGAACCCAACGGGCCGGAAAATGGCTTCGAACTCCATGACTCATCTTAGCATGCATAATCTGCCGCTCACCAGTGCAGGGTGCCGTCGCTAGATACCATGTGTGACGTTCACATCTGGCCTTCATCCGACGTCTCCGCTGCTCTTCAGCTACAGCGCACTTGCTCTGCGTCGTCGACCGCTTATCAGCAATAGCGTGTCCAAGTGTACCATTCTACACCTTCGCATTCCATCGCCTCGAAAATGATGGGCTGATCCCCTAGCTCGAACCCACCGCATTGTCATCGCTAATGAACACATCTAGCGAAACGACCATTTACCATGCAGAATCATACTTGATCTAATCTGGATACCACTTCAGTTTCTGGCTACCCTCGATGCCTCCGGTGGATGGTCCGGAATGCAATTCCTCTTCGTTTCTTCGTAGAAATCGTTCATCATAACGCTGGGCTACCGTGAGTGTCGTGGCATATATCCGCACAAAATACAGCAACGCATTGCAAACTGCATAAGAAAAGCAAGAGAGCATATCGATGTGGCATAGTGCGTAAGTCCTCTCGTTCAACTTGGAGATAGATAGCATAGCTAAAAATTACTCTCTTTTTGTCGTGTTTTTGGTGGTGAAGAAGGAGGTGGCTAGTCTTTTTTTTGCGGTGTCCATGGTGGTGAAAGGAAGTCATACGTGTGAACATGAGGCCACGGCTGGAATGGTCGCCTACCATCCTCTTGACCTGTCGGAGTCCAGCTTCTTGTCAGTACGTGTGCTATGGCTCATCGCACTTGCTGGCACGCGGAAGAAAGACTTTGCGCCTCGTCCTCCGCGGCTACGGAATGCTCGACGATATCCCGAAGACGCACGGTATGGTGTATGCCTTCGTTGCTTAGAGAACGATTGGCTGCGATGCCTCCCTTCTGATTTCCTCGCTTTCGCTTCGCTGCGGTTCGTGCGCTGCATATCGGAGGAGGCTTCTACTGCGGTCGGTAACTGCTCCAAATCCTCATCGACGAATGTGTCGCACTCCGAGTGGTCAAGATGGCTCCCAAATTGCTGCTCTTGTGATAAATTGGAGTCTTCGGCGTCTGAGTGGGGATCGTATGTGTAAACCTCTGTGTTCGCTTGGCAGCTCGCACATGAGCAGGGCTGACATTTTCGTAATCTGTGAGCCGCTGTTCTCGCCTACTATCTATCACGATGAACACTCACCGGTTGCTGGGCGTCTTCAGGCCCAGGCAATTTGTCAAGCAGATTGGGAGCATACTTGTATTTCCAGTCATGCAGTTCGACTGGCAGTCGTGGGCGCGTCAGGCGTGCTATGGGAGCCACTGAGTCAGGTTCTGTCCGAAAATGACATGCTTCCTCGACGCATCGTTCGGTCTAAACGAGGCTGTCAGTATGTCTTTAGGGTGGGGCGATAGGTCCGTCGCTCACAATCCAATTTGCGGTCTCTCTGTCATGTTCGTGGTCAGGTTCACTATCATGTCTCCATGACGTTCCTTGGCGGATGAAGGAATCCGTTCGTGGATAATGATATGTCTGTGACGAGAACTGTGGTGAGTTACTTGATTGGCATTCATATTTTTTGCGCACTCACGGGGTCGTGATTCTCGTTCCACCATCCTTGGGTATTCGCGGGCGTGCAGAGCTGTGATGAACAGGACCATTCTCGTTGTTGCTCATACCAACTACGCGGAAGGTCAGGATGCGGCACGACTATCATCTTAACGAAAGGAATCTTCTTCTTGATAGCGTCACGGGCTCTTCGCAGGAACTTGAATCCCATGTGCAAATAATGAGGAGGGAAGGGGTATGGAGCGAGGAAGGTGGGAAGAGATTATGAGATGATGGTCGTGCTGCTCGTGGCAAGTATATCATGTAAAACTGATGCAAAGCCAGCAGAACAAACCCGACAGGTGGCAGCCCGCTTGTTGTAGTCAAGGAAGAAGGTCGAAGCAACACGCGGATTTGCCAAATGCGTACGAGCGCTTACACGCTTGTGGCGTATCGTGACAGATGGCTTGAGGCCCGTCTGTTAATGTTGTTTGCGGACCTTTGCATTCTATACTCAGCTTGTCATGAACTGAAGGTAACGCTAAGGAATGGACACTTGGTGACGTCGCATAGCTCGCCGGACTGATGAATGTTACTGACCGCAATTTCACATGCACTTTGAGATTCATGCACTAACATCTCGTCACGCAGGCTTCCAACTTCACACGCCTCGCAATCTCGACGAGGGTGCTTGATCTACACTGCGTTTGAATTGCTTGTGTGAGCTATAGTGCATGCTTTTTTGAGCGTACCGGATCGCTGACGTTCTGCAGGTGACATACCCTCATTCGTCTTCAGAGGTTCTAATGATCGATCACTGCACTAGTCAAGACCCCTCGCTACGACTTAATCCACACGCATTCACTACTGTTTGGCACAGTAGGTCAGCAATAACCGCCAATGTTCCATGGCTCGCCTCGTATGCCACAGTCTCAAAAGGTCATTCCATGAACGAGTATGCCTGGGACAGATCATAATCTGCAAGACTTGGCTTCCATTTGAACAGGATATAAGTGCGCCATTGCGACTATGTCTTGTGCTTTTCAAACGTCTTTGATCGCATCAGGAATGGATTTACAAAAAGTATTGGTGACTCCCAGTCACGGTGCGGATATTGTTCCCATAATGACAATCGGCGTCAACGTGGCGTCCAGAATTTGAAGGAACGTTGGTCAGTACTCTGATTTGAACGGTATGTTGTGTTGTTCTACAAGCTTGATGACGAGATAAGCAGCATGGCAGTGTAGGAAGCCTGTATCATTAATTTCTGCCGTGTATTGAGAAAGATACCGAGATACTCTGCCAGTATGATCGGAAGCTCAGATTCGATTGTCCGCTGCATGGCATGCAATGCTGGAGTAGCACATGTCCTTGTCTTCGTCGTGTCGAACGCATCATGAGGGTAGTTTTGCGACTGAATGACTGTTGAGATGACACGCGAAAGTTCAGCCTAGACATGTCAGCGCAACATATTCTGTCATTTCTAGCGTTGCTGGACCGCAATATGATGGTGCCACCCACAGGGCCACGCCACCCGCCACTGACCGCGCATCACCGGGTCGAGCGCTTCCGAACTCTTTGCACTGCGGCATTGTGGCTACCTTTCTCGACGAAACTCGCTGCATATGATATTTACTCGACAGTCTCAAGTATCTGACATCGTTTCATAACGATAAGGCATTGAAAAGATTTGACAGCAACAATCCTCAAGGCATTAAGGGTGACATTTACAAGCGGGGTTTCGGGCTACAGAGTCAATCATCCGAAAATCTGGATACATTTAAGAATTATTTCAGTCACATACCGCTTCATTTTCATGGTTGCTTCATTCATCACAGTGAAAAAGTTGCTCCGGGAAGTTTGCCCTCATAGGCCATAGGTATCGCGCATCAAGATGTCCATTTGTGCCTTATTAACGCCTCTTCACACGATCCGTCCCGATGTACGGGGATTGTCGCGTTAATTAGACTTCGAAAATGTCTTTCTCGTGGCTGCGAAGAACAAACAGGATTGCTGCAAGTGTATCGTCGGTGGACTCGTTCCCTTTGTACCGGCCATCCGGCTCATAGAGTCTCCTGGCCGTGGGCGTGCTCACCAGGACCGGCCGCAGGAGCATCTTCCATTCAGCCAACCGGTAGCCAATCCAGCCTTACTGTCGAGGGTAAGTCAGATCACTCGGAACTCCTTACTTAACGACACAACTCGCCGGTTTATATCATCTGACGTAGCCTTGCTCACTTCCTTGCGCCCAGCACCGATCTCCCAAGTGCATTCCCTCTTCCACTCCGCTGGAATATCGTTCATCTGTTCCAAATGAGTGCAATCATCCTTGGTTTGGGACACTTAGCTTGGGACATATAGGCAAGCATGCATATCGCTTAGATCTCGTCGCTCTGGCTAATACGCCGATCCCGTTCCGAAGTGTAGTATACAAAACGGACAATTGCAGACCACCCAGGAACCTATGCGTTGATGCAGCCTCTGCCTATCTTCTACAAATTCAAATGCATTGTACGACAGCCCCTCTGTAATCTTCACCGCCGAGCGCTCACCAGTGGCATTGTCGGATCTCAAGTATGGCGATCGTAGCTTGTTTCATAGATGATGACTCTGTCGACGGCAGCATTGGTGGGGATATTACATGTTAATGAGGATCGAGCCTGCGCTCGCCTACTCCGCGGACTGTCTGGACGAGCTGGTTGTCCACGCCCCTGTGCTTGCATGTGGGTTGTCCGGGACGGATGGCCATGCGCGCTCTCCTCGCAACAAGTACTGCAGCAACGGCGACGATACCTGGACGTCATGGGCGGCAGAGGTTGGAGGCCGGTGAAAAAGATGTTCTGCGGGCAGCACGCCGACTCGACATAGAGCACCTTCCCAAGGTCGCCGAGTGAGTCTACGGAGGCCTTCTTGGAGAGCCCTACGGTACGTGTCCTGGAGGGAGCGGAGCGTGTGGCTGCCCTCCGTCGTGCCCTGTGTTTAGTAGACTTTATGGGGGTGACAGTGTCCTTTAATGGGAGGTGAGCTGTCTGAATGCGTATGCAGCGGATGATTTGCTTACTGATGCTGAGGCCGCCGTAGTCGTTGTTCCTTCGTTGTGTAGGCTCGGCGCCCTTGACCACTGCTCATCTTCCTCGAGAATGTTGCGCAAGAGTGGTTCCGGGAGCGGTACTGATGACATTGCTGCGATCATTTCTTGAGGGTTCTCGATGGGAGGTGATAACCCGGTAATTGGTCCTACTGACTGAGCCATCCTTAGCCATCCTGAGGACAAGTACCACATGCTGCTTGACGTACCGGTGGACTTAGGCCACTCGTCACCACCCTACGCCGAAAGTTAATGCGGACTGGAATGTGCTCTGGAGGTGTTGCTGTGTTTCCGGTATGGAGTTGGGGTGCCGATCGTGCAAGGAATTCGACACGGCCGCTACTATTCCGGCTCGCTTTAGTGACCTTATAACAAACGGCGAGCGTACAGGCTTTAACGGGCTAGTCGATTGACTCACTGATCGTCCATCTCCATCCGTTTTGGTTTGTACGTTCATAGAATCCAGATAGTCGGAGCTCGTAGCAAACTGAGAGTTATTTTGATGCACGCCGGATCGATACTGCGCCACACGTTGAATGGTGGTCCAAGTTCTGGTTAAGAAGCTGATGATCATTTCGGTGAGCGAACAAGTTGATATCGCGGATTGCAGTGAGTAGATTTCAGTACAAAATGTCGAGCACGTTGATCGTGAGCAAGAGATGCTTCTATGTGTAGCGAGAGAATCGGGCGATAGTGTAGTGCCGACAAAAAGCGGGACATGCAGTTTTAAGACGCGGAGCAAGTGGCTCATGGACTACTCTAATTGTCTAGCTGGGCGCTAATACTGCATTGGCCACAGAACAGCGGCCGTTGTTTCAATGTAGCTTCCTTGGCTCATCTTTTAGGATCCGTTCAGATTGCGCTCATGAACACGGTCAGTCTCGTTTGAGATCGAGCTTGTTCCCAAATGACATATTGAAGGACGTTGATGCATACGGCTGCGCTGGATATATTCGTGGTGCTCCCGTCAGATTGTCAGGCAGCGTTTACTTTTTTGAGACTTAAGAGAATTTATAAAGACGGACGATGTTTTTGCGGGGTCATGCAGGCCGAACATCAATCTTCTATGCATTGAACATTGATCGCTGATCGATTATCCTGCCGTTGTCCAGTTTGCAGTGAGAGAACTGGCCGGCTTTTTTGAATCGCTCGTGAAGCAGAGTGAAGCAGGCATGCATCATTATTCAGAGTCGAGCGTAGCTTTGCTCGGTCGACTCGAGGGCATGAACGCAAGCTTTAAAGCACTTGGAGTTAACAGTTGTAATGTTTCTCAGATATTTCCGGCGAGTTGCACGAGGCATCCTGAGTGTGGCCACGTAGACTTGCTTTCAGCTTGAGAGCAAGCCCTAGTAGCAATGAGCGAAATACAACTACGATCAACTTTTTAAGCTATAGTAGTGGTTATTAGCGGTGCCACATGGATCGCGCGCCACTGCCAGCAGCTCGAGCGCCCGGTCACTGAGGGAAAGTCTTTCCTCGCCTTCAGTTCATGACTCCCTCGTAAGCGGGTCATCTGTGAGTAGCGTCTTGTCTGACCTACCAGCCACAACGGGAACTCATGGTGAAACCGGGAGGGCGATGCTGCGGCCACGGCAGAAAGGGACAAGCCCGGCGAACCGGATGCTCTCAGAAGCGGCCCTTCAAGACTCAGGGGAAATACCATGTTCGGCGTGTGGCTTATCACAAGCAGCGCCAGGAGCGAGACGAGGTGTTCCATCGCTCAAGGGGAGGCTGCGAGTGGGATCGCCGCTTTGAAGCCATCTGGGATAGGCAGACAGAGGCATGAAAGGCGTGGGGGAAGGAGGCGGCGGCTAAGATGCTGCACATCTCGCCACGCCTGCCGCTGCTAGGGCTGGAGTTGGACGATCATGTTGAGAGTGAAGTCGTCGAGTGTCCCTATGAAGAGGACGGCCGTTGATTCTGAGCAGCCGTTGAAGATCCGGAGGAGCGGGGCCTCGACGCCTGATCGCGAGACGTGTTATAGAACATTGCACTCAACTATTTTATCTCACCACCAAGTATTAGATCGCTCACAATGTAAATATAAGCGCCTGGCCTGTTATCGAGATCTTCGAGGCGGTGGCATCCATGCGCGGGTGTGACCACCGCCACAGACGCATTGGTCGTTGATCGTTGGTGTTCGCCACGACGTGTTCGACTCGCGTTATTTGGTTCCAGTGGCACTTCAACTTCCGACGCGAATATAAGGACGGTCGCACCCCAGTTACTCTTAAGCAGCTCAGCCGCTCTTTTGCACCGCGCAGACTTTTGACTATAGAGTCTTCCTTCTTTGCCTCTGTTACTCCGGCTATTCGCCTATCATTCAATTGCGCATACAGCTGAGCCGTGGCCACCTATCCTAATGGAATGCGACGGGAACACCACATTAGTGAATCCAGAAAACGATCACCGCAGGATCGCGGCATCCCCCACTGAGTGGAGCAACGAGTCGGACTCGTGGTTCGATGATGAGCAAGAATTCGATGCAGAGGCCTTTGCAAATGCACAAAGTGAAACATTCACGGACAGCGACTCCGTAAGTCAGCTCGCCAATCAATGTTCGTTTCATCCTGTGCACTCACCAATACATACAGGATCCCGATAACATCGACTATTGCCGCCTGTGGAGGCGCATCAGCCCAGCTCAACCTGCCAACTTCGAAGAAAGGATTTTGGACTGGAAGAGCCGGACTGATGAAGAAGGGAATTATGTGAGCAGGTGCTTTTGGTAAGTTTCTGTAGCGGGCACGCACTCTCAACGATTCTGATGATTCATATCCTGTTAGACGCGCCAACAAGGGTCTTCATGGACAGGTCCGGCAACCCCATGATGTATATGGACGGTTCGCATAATGTCCGGCTGATGATGCCCAGGCCGATCCCACCACCGGAGTCATCCTACGCCTTACGGAAGGGACTGTGGGACTGTCATGTAGTGGACGGCAAAGTGGTTATCATGCAGCAGACTTTAGAGGAAGCAGGATCCCTGCGGCCTGGATATGTTGATGCGGGAAGTCTATCTAAAGTTTCTCGCTTGCGGGCTTCCGATAGCAAACGGGTGAGGCAGGTCCCTGTCGGACCAAGGCCTATGAAGAGGCAACCCACTTTGGTGAGCATTGTATACTGTTTTAAATGTCCTGACAATTGCTTACCGCATACTTTAACTCTTCTCTGCTCATATCACCGATCGTGACCCAGGGTATGCGCTCCAAAACCTCTGCTACACAGAGGGAATACAGCATGGCCGCCGTGGCTCACTTGAAGGAAGCATCGCAATCTATTTACCGATGCCATGATGCTTTGAATGTCAAGCGTTACGCCGCTGTCATTCACGAGATGGCGATAAGATTACGTTGGAGGCAATGATGTGCGGCGGTGGTGAGCATAAGGGATCTGAATAGAGGTCATTTAATTTGGATTAAATAGTGATTTATTGTATTCTCCACGATAGAATGTCGTCTTGTTTGTGAGGGATGGTCGTATGTTGATCATCGTCATTCGCGAATCAACCCCGCAGATCAGAGTCTTCACCACCGCTTGCATGATTCAGACAGCTTCAGCCACGCTGATGAAGACGAAGTGTATGTGGTGAATATGAGACAATCGATGAAGTAGCAGCCAAGACACACGAACCAGTCGCGCCTCTGAGGCTCGAGTCTGAGCGGCGGCGCTCGCCCTGACGTGACCACGTGACCTAGCGAGTCCCGCCACACCCGCCACACTCGCCCTGGTTCTCAGTGCTCATCTTCACCGACACCGGCCATCATGCTTTCATGATGGATCGACGATGGCCAGCGTATCAATCAGCATTCTATTTTCCACGAGAGGCTTCGCAAAGGCGAATGTTCGGCCTTCCTTTCTTCAGATAAGTATTGTGCGAAAAGTGCAAACTTAAATACTACTCGTACTGATGCTGTCTCTATTACATTGCCGCATAATGTTGCATCAGCAATTTGATGCATAAAGTTTTATTCAGAAGGCACTTTGCAGAAAATTCTGGCCCTGGAATTACACAGGGCTCTTACATTTGTGGGGATAGCTGCTGGGAACTGTCAGTCCCAGGGACCTCCCACTATCGCCAGAAAAGAGCCATGAGATATATTAGAGATTTTAAAATGAGGTTTTGTGAGAAACTGGCAAGGAGGGGCATTTCAAAGGGCTGCGTCGAGCTTGGCGCGTTGCATACACGGCGTTCTCATCGTCTCTATCATGTTCGGGCAGACCTGAGTTGTACGCCAGCTTTGAGATGCGATTGCGACGACCATAGCAAGGATGACCGGATGATTGATCAAAGGACTCGCTGAACAAGTTGGTCTTTCGTAGGTGAGCTTCGCGTGCCACAGCGGTCCAGGCTTGCGATTGGCCGCCACACAATCGTGCCACTCCCGCGTCCCCACGACGAAGTAATTCCCCCACTCATTTTTTCAGAATTTTCTGGCATTCTGTGGCCTGCTCGGATCGCCATCATCTTGCATGCGATACGTTCTGGGACGGAAAGAAGAAATTCTACACTCGGATTCGATGCCGAAGAGGACCATCCGTGCCTGCGATGACGGCTGCAACGTCGAAGAAATATCTGAAGCGTTATCTCCTGACTGGATGTTATGAACTAGGCCTACTCGTCCTATGCATTCCCTCATAGCATCAGTATGGGGTTCTATCGTCGCCGAAGACCTGTTGGAAACGAATGGGTCTCGAAGTCTCACCCAAATGCTTCCGTGTGACTCGTTGTCTTGAACGCTACCTACAGCCTCCATTTTCACAGGGTTTTCATCAAGAGAGCTTTCCGCTTGCTCGGATATGCCGCCTAATTCATGCAGTCGACAAACGCGACACGTTCTAATGCGTCTCTTGATACCAGGCTGTGGCCCTTGGTGCGCGATCACTGCGACAAGCTCGGTCGACCATAAGGCCATCGTTGCCGTCCCATGGCGTATGCGGGACTCCAAAACCAGAAGACATGTAGACGCGGTTATTGGATTGATCCTGTGGTTTCGTGCGCATACATAATGCTCAGTGGCGTAAGCCTTCACATGATACACGTCAGCGAGGACTTCAATGGACTGACCTCCTTCTCAGTCATTCTCAACTCGGAAACCGCTTACAACTTTCCATCTGATTGCGTGCGGATCGTTGGTTGTTAATTTCGGTACGGTGGTCGCATTGGTAGAGTGTGACCGTTAGCAGCATCCTCGAGCGAGCCTAGGCTGCGGATCTTGGTGCTCGATCACTGCGATAGCTCGGTCGTTCGTGAGGCCCTCGTTGCCATGGCGTATATGGGACTCCAAGAGCAGAAGACGCGTAGACGTTATTATTGGGTAGCCTCTTCTGGTTTCGTGTGTACGTATTGCGCTCAGTTGCGTAAGTCTTCAAATCATTACATCAACAAGAAGTTCAATGGACTGACCTCTTTTTCAGTTATTCCCAACTGTGAAATCGCTTGCAACTTTCCAAGTGACTGCCTTGACATAGTTGATCTCTAGCATCCGGTACTGTGGTCGCATTGGTGACTATTGGCAGCGTCCTCGAGCAAACGTAGGAGCAGGTCTACTGAGGGGCTCTCCACATCAAGAGTTTCTCCTCCGCCTTCCCTGCACGAGTGGGGCTTCGCTTTCTGGCGAAGAACTTGGATGTTGCAAGGTGTAGCGTGCAGAATAAGGAAGCCACGAGCAAACAAATTCCCAGAAGCGCGTCATACGTGTCGATTTACGATCAACAAATATCAAGAGATTATTCTGGGCCAGATTACCGACGGGGTTGTGGCTGCCCATGGCTGTCATGGAAGGAGAGTCGAGAAGAGAGAGAAAGTCGCGCGTCGACGCTCGCATGAACAGGCGCCTACGCGATTGTGGCGGAAGTGCCACTCAACGGGCACCCAATTGTTGCTTGGCTAGGCGATTTCGCGGGAAATCCGTTGGTTCTTGGACTTTAATACTGCAAATATGTTCTCAAACACAATACGATCAGTAAGTACATATAGCTTATCGACAAAAGATGTAGTTGAATGAAATATTTATCCACAGGCCAACCCCCCAGCTTCATATAGCTTACATCTCGCCGCATCACTTGATTACAACAACCTCTCCTACTGTTTTTCTTTCCAACGTTCCGTCCTTCCTCCCGACGAGCCCGTGGCCACATGGCCTATTTGATCGCGAAGGGGCCTGTGATCATGCGGGAGCCAAAGGGCGTGCTGAGCTAGCGCTTCCGTCGGTACGCGTAGGACAGACAACGTTGTCTGTCTTCCTGCGACCAGCTCGCGTCCTCCTGCCATTCGTACATGTCCGTCCTGGCAACGTCGACGGAATCGCTATAGGTGCCGACATCGTTTCCCAGGTCAATTTGTGACCCAGTTGCCGAGAACTCCGCGCAGGGGTCTGCTGTCTCCCCGCGATTGCTTGTTGATGTGACAAGTCTTATAGTCGGTCGTGCAAATGACTGACAATTACTCAAATTCTTCAATTCTGAGGCTCCTGTGTTACGTGTTTTCACTCACCGCGCGGGATTCCAATGACGCTGTCCTCCGTCGTCCGTCAAACATTCGCAGACGTAAGGGATTCGCCCACTCACTCTCGAGGACGTGCTCGTGCTGTATGGGCACGAGCGACACTCTCGACCCTACCGCAGACGCCGTCGGCGTTCCTTGCCTCGATGACAGGAACGCGTTAAGGAGCGGGCCTCCAGTCTGTTGACCAGGGATGAAAAATAACGGAGGATACAGTCATCTAGTTCACTTACCATCCAGTCTTCATCACGTTCGGGCTCGTACACGCTCTCGCTCCCCCCTACATTCAACCCGTCTAGCGTATCCGCGGGCAGCGGAGGGAGCTGTCGGGTTGGTCATCAATAGTATGGTGGTGAGTGCACATATAATGACGGCGCATAGGCACGCAACTGACCGGTTTGTCTTTGCCGCTCGTCATTGATTGTGCACTTACAGTGACCTCGGATGCGACACTCATGAAAGTCTTCGCTGCAACTGCCTCCTTATACTTTCGCGCCCATTTGGGAGGATCGTGATCCATTCGTTGGGTGGAGGATATCTGTGTGCTCGTGCTTCTGACCGAGACGCGAGGCTTTTTGAAGAATCCAAGAGCCATGGGAAAATTTACAGCACCGATAGGGTTGAGCGTTCGATGTGGTTTACTGAGGAGAGGCCTTGAGCTCTATGCGCCTTGGAGGATGAAGAGGTAGTAGTTGAGGAAGGCGGAGGTGCAGTCGTCGTGGTTAAGAGGGAAATCGCGCGAGTGGCAAATCACGATCGATAGCGAGCGCTTATTGGATTGATCGCTGAGGGTGGCGAGTGGCGTCCAATCAATGTCAATGTCCTCTCGGGCATTGGGAGAGCAATATGGATTTCAATGCACTGTGAGTACAATGTATATTGGGAATATGACAGTGAAGGTTCATGAGATTGATATATACAAGACATAATGTGCAAAGGCAACGTTACTTCTCAATCCTCCGTTCGACTACCTAAAGTGCCAGAGACTGCATTCTGGTGCACCATAGAGCTCGAGACAATATCACACAGAATCCAGAAAAGAAAAATAATGCAAACCGTAAGTTCACCCCATCGATCTCGACCATGGTCAATGTTCGAATGCAATCTTGACAGCATTACAGGTCATTGTCCGTTTTTCGCATTTACGATCTCCAATGCGTTGTTGTTGATCCTACATAGCACGTAATAGAAGTCACCCTCAGCAATCATTGACATTTGCCGTCTGTCTATCTCCCGAGAGTCGAGACGTGAAACACTTCGAGGGCTGATGACGCCCCCCTTTCTTAGCCATGCTCTCCACATTCTGTTGCTCGTGCTCATGATCGTCGCACGAATAGTGAGTGTATATATTGTGATGAGTCAGTCTCTGATTGGCTGACTTATCAAATGATCATCCTTGCTCCTCGTTGTTAGAGCGAGCAACGTTCCATATTGAGAAAAGGGAGATATCAGGATGGATATAATCTACTTCGGCAATTATTGTTCAATCCTCTATTCAGCACCCCGCCAACACTCGCATGTCATTCACGTTATCCCTGACTCGAAATTCCTCTTTCATAGGTCCACATTTCAAGCTTGACCACACTGTTGCTACCCGTTCAGTGTCGCTCCTCGCGCATCTTCCTTCGTCAGCAATGAAATTCGTAAGAAGTGGGCAGGAATGCTGGAAGGAACATCATCTCAAGCGCGACGACGATGGTGGCTCGACATGATTGGAGTTAACGACGACGCCTGTGTCCATATCATGCGCTGTTTCTGGCCATACAGCAGCAGCTGCGCTGTCATCCGCATTAGCAATGGAATATGCAGAATGAATGGCTGACAGTTCGTCTTGAGTATTGCAGGTCGCGATCCTCAATCTCTTCTTCCGTTCGGTATTTGTAGCCTCCTGTGATTCGTCGACTATACACATTCTCCTCTTTCTGCACAGATCGATCGACACCTCTCGATTTGACACATATACCGGAGCAGTGAACATCGCTGCATGTGCGTCATCCACTTCAATTCCCGGATACTGGTTGCGATGTGGGCCTACGGCTCGGTAAAACACAGTTGGACCCTCGGTCGGCAGCGCGCTCGACTCTTGGAACGGACCTTGCAGGCCAGTGACTTCTCCCTCCCAGATGCCCATGGAAGCCAGTTCAAACATGCTCTGCGCACGCACAGGCGCGAACAGAATGGCTCCGGGTCCAGGATCAGGAACGGCGTCATCGTGAATCCCAGAGAACGTTTGCATCTCGAGACAAATCAGCCTGCAAGATCTGAGCGCTGCTCGTTCGATGCCAGCTCACCGTCTCACTGCACACATCTTGCTCCTCTCCGAAGCTGTCGATCATGGCTGTCTCTTCGTGTCGGAGGCCGAACAATCGGGCCTCCGGGAATAGAGGAGACAATGGTCTAGATATGAATGTGTCCTCCCTGCCGTAGCCATCCCCTTGTTGATTCATTTTGTAAGATCCGTTGTTGGTCGTGCCTGCGGGTGTGCTTACATAGGATATCTCCTGTGTAGCATTCATGGTTACGTCACGATCGGTGTCGAAGACTTCTGGTAGTTCAATAGGCCTTAAACGCATTGCTATGTCATTTTTCCTGATGTCTTGGAGTTCTTGAGCAGCTAACATATGCGCCATCTTAGAGTTGTGAACGGTGTGGCGCGCTTGAACAAGACCAAGGCAACCGAGCCACGAATGAAGTCAGTCTCCTTGCACGTAATTGTTGATTGATAGAGTCAGGAAAGCTTACTACTTCCTCTGTTTAGGCACGCCACTCGAATTTAGAGGAGAAAAGGATATACCATAGAGTCACGACGGCCAGCGCTTATACAGCAATGTCCCGGTTTGGTCACCATTGTCAGTACTTACTGATGAAAAGCATGATTCCCACGCAACCTTGTCTGATCCTTAGAGACCGGGGATAGATCACAATAGTGCTGTGCATAGTTGCGACAACGCGGAGGATAAGGTAATCTGGAACAGTTCTACAGGCATCGTCATTCTCTCTTGTACACATGCTTGGTAACGGCTGGCTTGCCCCAATTGATGTATTTGGATGTGTCCTTCGCGATTCTCAACTCACAAAGTGGAGAACATAGGTCGCAAGGCGCGCTCAAGCTACTCGATGGTCCCGGGGGTAGATATCATATCGGGCTGCGAATATGGTCTCAGCGGCATCGTCATCGCCACGATGGCGCAGGTCTCTTTCTTATGATGATTAAAGATCGTCTTTGTTGTTTGAATCATGTCGGCAAGGCGAGCGTCATTCATTGAATCGCACATACTCTAGAGCCATGATTGATGAGCATTGAATGGCAGCCATTGATTTTCTGAGATACACCAGCGATGATCTCTCATGCGGTGGTAGCTGTGGATTTTCCGTTAGACATTTCCCCTGTTTATGTCAGATTGAGACAAGACAGTCGACATTGCATGTCGTACGTCGTCTATTACCCTTCGTAATCAAGACTTCATGCTAAGTATTATGTGTACGCCTCCTAATATTGCAATACCCTGTATTCACCTTCTGCAAGTCGATGCGACCGTAGACGGTCATCCTGAACGATCGTTGAGCAATTGCGAAGCGAATAACGACCGTTGCAGCCTCTATCCGTTCCTATACATGAGGTATTTCGCTCATTACTGCCCATCTTCATAATGAACGATCCCAAGGCATTCGTATATTGCTCAGACAAGTAGATGTTGTTCACCAGAAAGAATGACAGTCATACTTCTGCAAGCAGGCTCAGCAGGTGGTTGGCAGACATGATGCGGGATGTATATTCCATCTGTGAGAATGTATAATAGACTATTCCGTCATCTGCCGGCAATGACGGCTTATGTGCATAAAAGGCACATTTATGAAAGACTTGTTGTCTGTAGCTCAGAAATAACCGATCCGGAGCGAAGTAGCCCAGAAACGTTACAGTACTACTGCGTGGCGGATGCTGCGAAAGATAGACTACTGAGCTATGTGCTGCTGCCTGGTTAGCCTCGTTGGGTGTCCTCGGCTGCAAATGTGTCGGATGGCCTGCGATGTCCTCCGTTGATTGACAGTGCGTTGGAGCAAAATCAAATGCGCCTGACGGTCCCTTCAAATAGACTCTATGGTCTCATATATATATTTATTTCCTATGGATGATAGTTCTCTGAACTGTCTTTCTGACCGCTCAGAGGGCAACGACTACTGTATTGCCTAAGACGGTGTTTCAGCTCATTCTACCTTCGAGTATAAGTTTTCAACTTTGCATCGGGACTTGGTGGCCACGCGCGAACAGTCGTAGATTTTGGAATAGATCCGTCTGACTCGGATGGCGAAGGCGGCGTAGTACTATACGGCTAAGATGATGGACCCGGTTGTCCCAAGTGGGTTTCGCTGTGAATTTATTTTCTTACGAAACATATGATTTTACTAGGCTCATCAGAGCAGCTTTCTCTTGCTTGAGTGGAAGTTGTGCGGCCTGCGATTCACGACAGCGGAGTGATGAACCACGTCAATGCCGCAGCTGGAATCTAGCCATCTTATTGGTCGCCACAATACGTGACTCAACTTCGCTGCAGGTATTGACGCTCACGGAGGCACAGACTTTGCCAACTGGATGATCTTGCCTGCTCAATGACCGTTGATGCTATTCTCTGTCATGAGATCTGTTTCTATAGACCTGCGTCAAAAGATTATCAAGACAAGGCCTTGGCAGCTATGCCTGAACGACCATATCCGTGTCGACTTACTAGTAGAAGGTGAACATCAATCTATAGTCAATATTCAAAGACAAACCACGAAGAGCAACTTGTTCCTATTCAACCAGCCTTTCAGAACGTCACCAGCCATCCGTCAACTTCCTGACTTTCAAAACTGCGCCTCCTCGCTCAGGCAACTGTCCGTTTCGCTCAACACGTCATTTTCTTGAGTCCGAACCAGTGATAATCCTCCCACAGCACACCATCTGTTTCGGGGAGTTGAAGAAATGGGCTTATCTCGAAGTCTCATTCGTCCACAATGTACAGCTTGCATCTCGCGATGGCAGCTCAAGGTCAGATCGCATCGGCGATGAAGTAGAGGTTGATCCTATGTCGTGCTCGCGTCGAGCAACAGGAACGTGGCTAATATCAAAGGTCAGACATATCGCTCGCTCTATAAGAACGCAGCAGACGCACCCAGAAACTCTGCTGGCTTCGAAGTTCGGAAGGGCCGATTGTTCATTATGACCACCAAATACTGCTTCGGCCCTCATTTTCTTGCTTGGCACATTATCATCTAGACCCTTCATGTCAATGTCCTCGTCGAATGCCTCAGTGAACTCTCTCTTGTGTGAGCTGTGAAGTCCCTCTTCATTGGACGACTCCGACAGCGTGTCTGACATATCACTTTCGGCATCGCTCGAGTTGGATTCATCATCCTGCGGATGTAAGGGGTGAGCGAACAACTTGTTACGCTATACCCCACGTGTTCGCTTACCTCGACGTCATCCAACCATCGCTTTTGACGGCCCTCGCGTAAGGCGCCCATTTCATCCGTCTGTGTGCCCTTCGCGACGGCATCCAAGCCGACCTCGGGATCAGCAGCTGTACCGGACTCTACAACCGGATAATACGCGGTGTTCTGCTCCTACGTTGGTCGCATAATATGGAGTTAGCATGTCATTGAGCTTTCATGTACCTGAGTAACGTACCGTGTGACTGTGCGTGCGTTTACCATCCATGACACCTTCTTCACTCCTGATTTTTGACACGCATCCTTTAGGCCCTGTCTTGACATCAAGTGACCGCCGTACGCCACGGTTCGGCTTCATCGCACTGCCTTCTTTCTATTACATGGCAATTTGGCACAAATTAGCACGGAAGAAACGATGGACGTCCATGACAGCGCACTCACCGACCGTTCGGACTGGACCAGCAACCTTTTGTTCTTCCTTTTAGGCAATACTATACGAGGGGGCGGCCTCCTGGGACTACCGACGACCTCCATGAAGCGCTTGTGGAGTGGATGATCCGTGATATCGTAGCCATTTCCACTTTCCTCGAGCAAATGTCGCAGGTACACTATGGAATGACCGCCAACGTGGCTGGAGTTACTCATCGTTGCGACTGTCAGACGTGGTGAAGCTTAATGGCCCGTCAGAATAGGTCAGCAGTCCGTTGAATCTGAGAGCCTGCCTACTGAAGTTGACAGGTATCGAGCGTTACACGCTGCAGAATTAGCTAGAGTGCGAAGTGGGGAAGGGGAGTGATGGAGGGAGCAAGAGGGACGCGTCGTGGTTCAAGCGCTTATTCTCACATGTCACTTTGGCCGCCGAGTGGCCACGGCCGACGGAGCCTGAAAACATCGCGCGATATGGCCTTATTGTCAGAAGGCTTAGCCTGAATTATGCCGGTACGTTATATCATTGTTAATGGACATGTAGTTGAATACAGTCTCTTGCACATTTGTCTAGCTACTACGAGCCCATCCGAGGTGTCTTTGCACACTCCCTGCTCTCCATCTCCACGAGACTATCCTCACCTATATACATGTCAATTCCGTCCGTCTACGCCGTGCCAGATGCTTACATCGCAACCTTTGGCTGCGAAGGCATCTGGACATCCTTTCTGCCATCCTCCGAGATCTCCTTCTGGAAGTCCTGCACCCTGCTCAGAGCATCCATGGCTAGTCCGAGGATATCGGGATCCACCGCATTCAGGTCGACGCCGCTAGGTATCATGGGAAGCTGGACCAGAGATTGCAATGAAAGCTTGGAAATCATGGACAAGCTGCAGCGGCCGGTCTCATCCGCTTGCTCGTGGCGGTCGGATTGTCCTGGATTGGCCGTCTCGAACAGCAGACCAGACGTAGGCGATGGGGATTGTTGCGATAGGGTGGCCCACTGCGAGGTGTGCCGGCCCGAGTTGTGCACCCCCTCACGGTATTCACGCTCCCATTCAGCAGCGGATGACTTGTCGGAGTACACAGTTACCCACTCCTATGAGGAAGACTTGTTGAGCTGTCATTTCTTCGCTGTATGATTCACGCCACTCACCGTCTCTGACATATGCCCAGGTTCTACTCCACTGGTTGCCCCTTCCCCATCCCAACTCGTCCCTTCGTCGCTATCGTCCTCGAGAAAGAATGCATCCACCATGTCGCGACCGCGAGGCAATCGACGCATCAACTCGATAGGTGGGGGATAGATTTGCACCGGGTGGCCATTGAACTAGTGGCGATGTGAGTTGTGTAGATCACGATCCTCATTCATCATCAAGCTTACCATGCCGTAGAAGTTGGCACCGCTCTTGTTGAAGTCAATCAGTCGCCTCCAGTCTACTCCATCAACCTCCATGGTGCCAAAAGTTCCCTGTGGCAGCGATATCGGATCGCCGAGGTATGCATGGTGAGCACACAAGTAATTACGGATGTGGTATTTGGCTGACTCACAGTTTGGATCTCTTCATCCGACACGTCCGTAAATTCTTGTTTTCTCACAACAGTGGTGAACTTGTGACCAAAAGGAATGGCTTGATGACCGCAAACCGCCTCTGAGAGTTCCGGATGGGGCTGTATAATGAGCAGGATATAAGGTATCCTTTTCTTGACTGCTTTTTTAATCTTCTTGAGTAATCCAACCATGACCGTCTTCAATTAGAGGAAAGTCGTGACGAGAGGTAGACGAAGACAAAGGTGAAGACCAAAGACAAAACTTGCGCAAAAGATGCGTACTGAGATGTATCGATGTTTGGTGAGTAGTGTGTGCGATGAAAAGGACGAGGGAGGACAGGTGTCTGTTACTTGTCTGGTAGGGAACAAGTGTGCAGGGCAAGTAGCAGCGAGCGGCGCGGTTGGTACCCATATCGCGCGCTTATGTAGGCGCTCGCTGCCACTCGGACCAAGCCCTATCACATCAACGTTGTCGCCGCCTCGTGTTCTACTCCTAATACAATTGCCGTTTTCCAAGAGTGCCTGAACACTCTAAGGTGGCAGTTGTCAGAAGGTAACCTTTCAAAGTAGACTTTGGCATGCGAGGCTCACAAATGGCAGTGACAAGGCGGTCACGACCACGGCGCAGGCTGTGCAGGCAACATCCAATAAGGCTGTGTGCCCAGTAGTCAGTTATGCTGTGAGTCTCTCTGTTCTATCTCATAGCCGAGAGTTTGACCATTATATGGACTTCAGTGCATACTTTGATAATGGTCTCGACGCTGGGAGGTCGTGCTGCCGCCGTCACTCTATAGGTCTTCATTGTCACAAGACCCAGGCTGTCGGCTGAATCGTGAGTCTTATTTCTTAGCGAATATGAGACTATGTAGTTGAATACTCTCTCTATACAAGTAATGGCTGATCGCCACATGTCGCGCAGTTACTTGATCAGGAATCGCAAGAGCATTCCAAGGAAAACAACCTCTATAACCTTTCATCAATCACCCAGCTCTGGACGAAATGAGTCGATGTTTTGTAATGGCCCAGATCACATAGAACTCACATCAGTTCTCGCTTCGTCGTTGAGTTCGGTTCCTGGAGAGGAAGGTACGAACCACACCTTGACCCTTCTTCTGCCTGGCATGCTCGATTGCAACCCGCCTCTGTTCTACGATCGCATATGCGGCCATGAAGTCGTAGGCCAATTGCGCGTGCTCTAATTGACGAGTGGCAATGCTAGTGCTGGAGCTGCTTTCCGACGATGCTATGGTCAACGATGTTTGATCACTCTGGGTTTATTATCAGTATGTGTATTGTGTTGGTTTCGTCTAGCACGGAAAGCTCACCATCGGCTCCTCGCTCTCGTCCTCGATGCGCATTTCCTCTCCGCTGCCCCATTCCGAACCGTTCGTGATAGGCACTGCGAAGTTATCGGCAACAAAAGCGTTGCCGTACGCATTGAAGTCGTATCCAAATTGATCGAGCTTGGGAATGTGCACGGTGAGCACGCAGGCGGCTACGGACTAGTTGACGTTTACCTGACTTCCGAGGTGATCGTTCTCGATCGTGTCTGTTTGCGTGTTCACAGGCGCGAAAACCTGCGTGATTGTGGATGATTCCTGGTGATTCACTCGAGCGACGCGTGGACGGCGACGAAGTCGACGTATGGCACGCTTCATGGCAGTCACAGTGGTTCTGAAGAGGGACATCCTGGAAAAGAACAACAAGATAAGCATATGAGACGTAAGTCAAGCTGCATGCTGCCACGCACACTACACGATGAAAGCGTTGGTGGGTGAATATTAGGCTCTCAAAGGGAATTTCAGGACGTCGCTCGTAGTGGTTGAGGACAAAGGCGAGAGCAGTGTGCGGGCGCGCTGATTGTCTGTGTTTTGGGAGTGGCGACGCATTACGTAAACTCAGCGGCGGCCTGATTGTTGACTCAGAACTCTTCTCTGCATTAGGCAGTCGTGCCATGCATCATAGCCCGCTTGGCAGGTGCTTGAGACTGCAACGGTGGAGAAGAACCTGCTTCCGTTAATACAGGATTCAAAGATGTTCAAGTGGTCCGCAGTTCGCACCCTTGTCATTGGCGGGCACCGGTGGCCTCCCATTAGTTTCCCTATGGCTCTTATACAAATACTAAGTGCATACTGGGATGTCCGTAGACGGTCAGTGCGCTTTGCGCAAGACTGGTGAGTTCGTGCATGCAAAATTATTCCTCCTCCTCCACTGACTCACTTATTTGTGCCAGACTCCACCGCGGCAATCAAGATGCCATGTCCACTAGTATCCTCTATGAGATACTCCTTAGCTGTATGATACTAGCTTTCTCCTGTATTCTGCGAGATTGAAGGACAACATGTTCCGTCACCTTCTGCAGGTCACGAATTATGTTACGGTGTAGGTGGCGTATTCTAGTTTTATGTTCTATTGCAAGGCCGCTTTAGCATCTGGCCGTACCATTGGAGTACGTCGACGCGAGCGATGATTACTTCAACGGGCGAGAGGACAATGATCGCCGCAGGCTTGTCAAGTAACCCCACGAGAAAAATAGTTTTAGGCGAAACAGAGGCGACCTGAAACATTTTCCGGTCTTGAATTATTGTATGAATATGCAAATATTCTCATTTGTGTGCACTACAGAAAGACTAAGGTCTGAGAATTTGGAGTAGAGATGCCTGTGGCGCGCGCCACAACCGGGTCGCGTTGAGTCTTGGATTATCACATGACCGCGAATAGCGCTGCTCAAGCGCCGAAGTCTCCGCCGAAGTCTCCGCCCTGCCGCTGACAGCGCTGCGATTCCCTCGAGCGTCTGCGGCATGGATCACTCTTTCTTCGCGATATTAAGTTCCTTGCGAGGTCGCGATATAGCTGCTAGCATTTTGGATCCCGCTCTCGCACATCGTTGGCAGCACTGCTTTCACCAATTACAAAGGCCCCATCTGAAGGCCCTACGAGACTCGAGATGCGCCTTCCGAGAACACACGGCGAATTGAACGTCCATTTTCAAAAGGTGAGGATTCACGATTCACTACATGACAAAGTGTGAAAGAAAATAATTTGACCAACTTCTTTGTATAAGCACAAGTTACAGTACCTTCTGGGATCTTTCCCGCACATCTCATTCTCGCCCCGGTCCTTCTCTCACTTCGCGGTAGGCCAAGGATCATATTCTTTCACATCTGAGATTCATACCTATCGCCCACCACGACCAAAAGGTGGTTCAAGGCATCCCTTTCTGCTACATCTTCCTCGCCCAATATCTTCCCCGCTGCGGCCTCGAACTCATCGAACGCTCGGGTAGTTCCTGACAGGCCCACATCCCTATCCTCCTGTTCTGCAGCTGTATCGGATATGCTGCTTGATTTCCTCGCCATCAATTCATGACGTATGCTTGTGGGCAAGTGTCCCCGGTTTTCGCCATCCTGCGATCGGGTGCGAGAAGATAAACAAAGGGGGGAGGCTGATGGTAGCTGCAAGGGATAGCGACTACCCCTGCATATTGGTGTCAGTGTCGCTTGTATGTGGCCCGTGCTCTTCTTGTGGGCAGAGTCCGCTGCGGTTGGTGCGTGGCTCGATCGTCTTGTTATCGCTTCCCTCATCGAGCCGAGCCAGTTGAGTGCAGCTGCTGCTTTCGGAGCCAGCTGAGCAGTTTTCGGCACCGTTTGACCGGCCTGATGCTGGTGCGATCCGTCGCTTCTCTTATCCAAGCTACGCAATTGTGTGGTGGCGCTCAGCCATGGGGTCTGTCGAAACGAGGTGTGGCTCGTCTACCGTTGAGCATGCGAAACCATCGGTTGTAAGTAGACAGCTCGAAGAATCTGGAATGACCTCACCGCTTCAGTATGCAGCCGCCCATTATTAATATATATGTTCATCTCAGGTTCCGATCCACTGTGCGTGGCCATAGAGACCACGTCGTTTGGCCCCAAAGGCGAAAACAGGATTGAATCAGATTCTGGCCTAAATGGCGCAGACAACTTCTCGTCTTCATCCTCTAGGTTGACTGGTGGCAACTAAATGGAGGTCAGCATATTCATTGCGATTCTCAGACATGGCTCACTGATAGCATCTTGTTGTCCTCCGTCATAGTGGTCATGATTCCATCTCCACGTATGGTCCCAGCTCCATCAAGTTGACTTAGTTTCATCTCCCCTAGGATTGGGGAGAGTAGCTCAGGCGGGAAAGCGACTTGCTTGTCGCCTCGTCCATGAGTCTGCATAATACAAGGTAAGCACACAGAATGTCACGGACGTAGCTAGTCAGGCTGACTGACAGTTTGACCGTTCTTGGCCGTCTCATTTTGTGTGGTTGCGTAGGGAGCAGCGTTCATGAGTGTATTGTCGATACTTGGTAAACCATCTAACCACGTATTTCGCGGTAGTCGTGTAGCAGTCCCGCCACCTTTAACGTTGCGCAGATTTATTGGTGCGGACGGAGGTTCGGGTGGCAAGGTAGCGTTGCGGCGAATATATGGGGTGCTACCTGCTGTCGAGTTTTCGGGACGACGGCGAGACAAAGGCTGCATAGGTACGCGTCGTGCCGCTTTTCGTCCATCGCCTAGCGGTTGATGATACGCGTAGTGAGCTCCAGATACGTGGGCCATTGAGCGGAGTGTGAGATGTGGCAGGGGAAGAGTGGCGGGGTGAGAGGGAGAGCGCGACTTGAACATGGGCGCCTAGTTCACCGCGGCTTGTGTGCCCACAGTGCCCCCGGAATGGCCCGCCCGAGTGGGCCTGTGCTGAAGGATTTCTCCCGTGACGTCGCTAGCATGCGGCTCTGTAAGCTACGGTAGTGTGTCATTGCTCCTCCTTTTTCGGCCATGATATCTGATTACAATTTTGTAGAGTACACTTGACCCCATCCAATGAATCTTCATGCCTATTGTAATCTCTCTCCCTCATACATCCTTAGAGTCACTGCAACCTTGATTTCCCCTCTGCGACTCATGGCTTGTCTCGATGGCGTGCCGCGGTGGCGTGCGCCACAGACATTGCCGCAGTCGAGACTTGCCCATAAGTTCTTATCATCTGTGCATTTATGGTGAGTGGTATGAGCCCTTTCCCGTCTTCTCCATCAGCAGATAAAGAAGTTTGAGGAGAACGCCTCTCAGCCGCTCAATCCGTCGCGGAATTGGAAGATTGTGTGGGTTGAAGTGAGGCGGGACAACAATATGACGCGGCCTACGTTTCCGAGTTCCATCCTTCATTGCAAGGCTCATGAGCATTTGAACACACCGTAAGACCTCATATATAAAACAACAATTGCTGCAGACCTTCCTTTTTCGCCGAGGCGCTATACGAGAGCACACAGTTTCCGGCGAAACAGAGGCCACCCTGAAACGCTCTCAAGCCTTGTTTATATTATGCGAATACGGAAGCATACACATTTGTATGTACAAGGAGTCTAAGGTCTGAGAGTTTGGAATAGAGATTTGTGTGGCGCGCGCCACGACCGTGTCGCCTTGAGTCCACAACAATCACATGACCGCGAATAACGCTGCCCTAACGAGCGCTGCATGGCCGGCCGCTGCGATTCTTTTCAACTGTCGTACGGCCTCCTCTTTAGCTTCGCGCCATCAAATTCCTCCAGAACTACGATATAGCTGCTGGTATTCTTCATCTCGTTATCGCACACTGTCAACAGCACTGCTTTTCACAATAACAAAGGCCCCATCTGAAGGGCGCGCAATTACTATTTGCTTTGGCCCTACGAGATTCGAGACTCCGAGAACACATAACAAGCTGCTCTTGTAGAATGCATCGGTTGGACATTCAAATTCAAACGTCAAGACCCAATGACCAATATATGAAAGAATCTAACTTCCTTGCATAGCACCAGTTTCTATACCTTCTGAGATCCTTCTTCAAGGCAGCAAGGGCATCTACAAGCGAGATTTCGGGCCACAGAGCCAATCATTGGAAAATCTGGAAATATTTAGGAACCTATTTCAATCACACACTGCGTTTACGTCCATGGTTGATTCAGTCGACTAGTCAAAAGGTTTCTACAGGAATTTTGACCCAAAAGACCGTATATATCGTACATCAAGTGTCCATTTTCGATTTTGTGCCTCGCCAACGCATCTTCAAACGATTCGTCCTGATCTACCAGGGATTATGGCGTTGAGGCTTCGAAATATGCTTTTATGGCTGCGGAGAACAGACGGAATGCTGCAAATGCATCGTCGGTGGACTTGTTTTCCTCATGCCTGTCATCCAGTCTATGGGTCTCATGCTCAAAAGGACGCGCCACAGGGACATCTTCGATTCGGCGAACGGGTAGCCAACCCCGGCCGTCGTTTAGGTCGAATGCAAAGTCAGACCACTCTGAACTTCATACGTGACGATACAGCTCCTCGATTCGTATCATCCCACGAGTAATCTTCGTCTTTATCCTCCTGTCGCCACCCCCAGCATTGATCTCCCACATACAAGGTCTTCTTCCACTCCGCTGCGATGTTCTCCGTTCATTCCAGATGAGCACGGTAGTGCATGGGCTGAGATATATAGGTAAGCATGCATACCTGCATACCACGTGAATTCCATCGCTCTGGCTGATATACCGGTCCGCTTGCGAAGTGATACATAGTCAGTCGCTTCTTCGCGTTTAGGCTTCGATTTGTTGACTAATTAAAACACTTTTACATACAGAAAATCAAGATATAATACAAAACGGACAATGACAGAGGAACCTATGCGTCGCACGATAGTCCATCCCGCAATCTTCACCGTCGGGCGCGTGTCACCTGTGGCAGCGTCGGACCTCTAGTCTGTGGATCGCAACTCGTTTCGTAAATGATGACTCCGTCCAAGGCAGTGTTGGTGGGGATATTACATGTTGGTGAGGGTCGGGACTGCGCTCGCCTGCTCCGTGGACTGTCTGGATGGACTAGCTGTCCGTGCTCATGTGGTCGCATATGGAATCTCCGGGACTGAAGGTGATGCGCGCTCTCCTCGCAACAGATACTGCAGCAACGACGACGACGGCTGGTCATCATGGGCTGCAGAGGTTGGAGGCCGGTGAAGAAGATGTTCTGCGGGCAGCACGCCGACTCGACGTAGAGCACCTTGCCCAGGTCTCCGAGGGAGTCTATGGAGGTCTTCTTGGAGAGTCCTGTGGCACGTGTCCTGGAGGGAGCGGAGCGTGTGGCTGCCCTTCGCCGTGCCCTGTCTTTAGTAGACTTTATGGGGGTGACAGTGTCCTTTGGTGGGAGGTGAGCTGTCTGAATGCGTGTGCGGTGGATGGTTTGCTTACTGATGCTGAGGCCGCTGTAGTCGTTGTTCCTCCCTCGTTCCGGCCCGGCGCCCTTGACCACTGCTCATCTTCCTCGGGAATGTTGCGCAGGAGTGGCTCTGGGAGCGGTACTGATGACATCGCTGCTATCATTTCTCGAGGGTCCTCGATGGGAGGTGATAATTTGGTGGTCGGTTCTAGTGACTGTGCCACCCGTTAGCCATCCTGAAGACAAGCACTCTGCATGCTGCCTCACGTACCCGCGGACTTAGTTCAGTCGTCACCATCTTACGTCGAAAGTTGATGCGGACTGGGATGTGCTTCGGTGGTGTTCCCGTGTTTCCGATATGGAGCTGAGGTGCCGATCGGGCAAGGACCTCGACACGGCCACTACCACCACTCTGGTCCGCTTTAGTGATCTTCTAACAAACAGTGAGCATACAGGCTTTAACGGGTTTGTCGGTTGACTCACTGACCGTCCGCGTTCATCCGTTTTTGTTTGTGTGCTCATAGACTCCATAGAGCCGGATGCTGTAGCAGACTGAGGGTTGTTTTGATAGACTCCGGGTTGATATTGTGCCACACGTTGAATGGTGGTCCAAGTTCTGGATAAGAAGCCGATGATCATCGCGGTGAGCGATCAAGTTGATATGACGGATTGCAGTGAGTAGATTTCAGCACCAAAAGATGAGCAGGCCGATTGTGAGCAGAAGATGCTTTTCTAGCGAGAGAATCGGGCGATAGTGTAGTGCCGACAAAAAGCGAGACAGGCAGTTTTTAAGACGCGGAGCAAGTGGCTCATGGACTACTCTAATTGTCTAGCTGGGCGCTAATACTACATTGGCCACAGCACAGCGGCCGTTGTTTCAGATTAGCTTCCCTGGCTCATCCTTTAGGATCCGATAGATTGCGCTCATGAACAGGTCAGACTCGCTTGAGATCGAGCTTGTTCCCAATGACATACTGAACGACGTTGATGCGTATGGGTGCAATGATGTTCGTGGTGCTCCTGCCAGATTGCCAGGGAATGTGCGCGGTTTGTGATACTTAAAACAATTTGTAGAAACTCGGACGATGTCTTTGCAGCGTCATGCAGGCCGAGCGTCAAATGTTCCATGCACTGAACGTTGATTTATGATTGTTGATCATCGAACCTGTCGTTGTTCAGTGTACAATGGGAGAGCTTTGCTTGGTCCGAGACTCGAGGGCATGAACGCAAGCTTGAAAGCACTTGGAGTTCATAGTTGTAATCTTTCTAAGATATTTCCGGTGGGTTACTCGAGGCATCCTTGCTTTTAGTGGGAGCAAGCCCTGGCGACCAACTTTCGAAGCTATAGAGTGGCAATTAGCCGTTCAAGCCACATCTTGCCACATGGATCGCGCGCCACTGCCAGCAGCTCGAGCGCCCGGTCACTGAGGGAAAGTCTCTTTTCGCCTTCAGTTCATGACAGCAATCCGCTCGACATTGCCAAGCTTTACGTTTCCACTTTGATTGTTATCGCGTGCGCTTGGACTCAAGATATTAGCTCAGGAGGCCGCACAGCCCATCATATCGAAAGCTAGTGCGCCGAACTCTGCCAGTGTTTGGTCCCCTCATGAAGTCAAGAAAACGTGTTCGCAAGCATTGTCAAGTCAAATCGTACTGATACGCGAAGAGAAGAGGCTAGTGAGAAGAGGCTAGAACTGTCGTCGATGAGTGTCACCGTCCCTCATGATGTTGGGTCTTGATAGGTCTCTCCATCTTCTTACCATTAGAGAGGTACTACATGCAGCGTAACGACTTTGCAATGAGACGAGACCAGTATGCTTGTTTGCATATCAGATTGTGTTTGAAAGAGCATCGTATGGGTTACAAGCCCGATCCATGCCTTTACCAGTCAGCTTGCGATCGGATCAAGTCGCTTTGCGTACATGCAAGACCTTGGGTGCTTTCGTCTGGTATTGATGGATGAGAATAGATCAGGTTTAGAGCAGCCGGGGATTTCTACGATGGTACGCACTTTCACAGTAAACCTTGGAGCTATGGCATTCATTCATTGTCTAGTATACCCGGCAGGTCGCCGATTACGTCCGGACATTGATTGCCAGCGCATCAATATTATGTTCCGCTCGGCAGTCAGGATGGACCTCTATCTGACGTCTTATTGCGACCCTGCCTGCTATGTCTTTGATATCCCTAGTCCTTGTGAAGGACCGGTTCAAAGTGCTCACGAGGGGCATGGGCCGTGGCATCGTCAGTTTGACCATCCAAGATTCTCAGGCAATTTGTCCCTCAGAGGACTCGAAATCGCGCTCTGTCTATACAAGCGTATAACACAGCAGTCTATGAAGGCCTTTAATGGATCTTCGACTGTATACCGGCTCACATGTTCTCCGGCCTCGTTGGTCCATCTTCATCATTCCTGCAGTTGTTCTTCACGGCCGTCCCACTCTATGTGTTTGCAGAGGTTGCAGGCTGCATAGCTCGCCCACGTTCGTATCAATTTCATCTTCGGGGAAATCCTCTGGTGACTCGTTGAATGTTGGAAAGGATCGAAGCTCTGTACAGGTCGCCTTAAACATGCCGGTCGCCGGAGGTCCTGAAACGTTGGCCAGCCAGGTGAATGTGATGCGTGGCGCGTCGACGAAAAGGATGGGCTGGTAGCAATGGGAGGTACGCGGACCCTCTTTCAGGCAACGAGGCAATCGTTCGCGACAAACGCTATCGGTCGGTGAGGGCCGTAATGGTCACAGTACGTCGTTCTGGGAATGGTCGAAGTAGAAGGAGAACGAAAACAGTGCCATCCAAACACGTTGTGTTCTGGCGCCTATGCGCTTGCGGCGAAGGTGCCACAGTTTGGCCAAGCAGGCTGGGCTGGAGTTCAGCGCGGTGATGTTCTTTGACTGGATGAAATGCAAAGTTGGTGGGCATATTCGCACTCATCAAATAGATCGAGCTCATTTGAGTAATTCACAGCTAGTATACGAACATTATTGGCTATTGATCATACGTCTCGACACCTTCCAAAGCTGGCGCTGGCCACACCCTCCTGGTGAAATCTATATGACACTATCATCTGACGATCCCTCAAAGTCATCTCCAAGCAGATCTCTGATCTTTCGATACAAGAGCGTGATTTCCAGCTCGCTTTCTGCCAATCCCTCTGCGCATGACATACGTCGTTTGGGCGGCGATCCTGGGCCTCGAATTTGAGTCTCGTCGATACCGGTACCGAGCTCTTTGTCACCATCGGAAAGCGACGTCGTTGCTGCGGAGGTGCTGCTGGCGGACTCATTGATCTTCTGCACGTCGTGCTCCCAACGAACGATCCTGTTTAACTCGGACGTGTTGCGCAATTCTTGGAGCTCCTGAGCAAACGTTAGATTCGGAGCTGTGGACGTCTAACGAAGGCAGGAAGAAGTTCATTCACTGTCACCGGCCACAGAATCCGAGCATGGTGCTTACCGCATCTTCCAGCTGGCCAACAGAAAATGTTTCTGGTACTGGAACGGCAACTTCTTTATGATGACGTGGCGTCTGAAGACATTCGTCAACAATACGCCTTGGACAAAGCACGTAGTCCATCACACACCTCAGGTTGGCTCAGCACGGCTACTGCCGTGTTCCGTTTGGAAGTGTGCACCTGTTGGAAGTCCCAGTTGCCTTCGATAATGGTACTGAAGCTCTCGCGAGGCCTGGTGGCAGTGGGCATGTGTAACTGGACCGTTCGCGGGGGCATCTTCTGCCATGTAGCAGACGGGTAGCCGACCCATCCTTCCTGTCAACAATCAAGTCAGATTAGTCTGGCTGCACACTGCGCTGATAACACGTACTGCCTGGTGCCACCTCACGTAGTTCTCATCATCGTCAACCTCGCTCGCCCATGCCCAGTAGCGATCTCCCAGGTACCAGTCCCTCTTCCATTCCTCTGGGGCGGTTTCCATCCATACCAAGTGGGCCCACTCGTCTTTGGGCTGCATTGCATAGGTAAGCACGCATAACAACACGAACGTCGTCGACTTGGCTCACGTACCACTCCGTTGTCGCCCGTGTTGGAATGTGTTCTTATAAGGCTCTCATCGTCGCTGAAGTCCTCGATATCTGCTGGGGACTCGATGTAGCCAAAGCTGTCCCAGGAATCTGGGGAGTCAGGTGGCTCAAAATCGTTTTCAGCAGCGTGGTTGTCCATGAGGTCGTTGCAGTTCAAGTGGCCTGTGGCGGGTGGTGTGACGACAAAGGGAAAAAAATTGAGGTCGAGACCAATACGGAGGTGAGTCGCTTGCGAATGACTGAAGAGAGCGAAACAAGTACGAGCGGCAGTATCAAGACACCCCCTTTTAAGGTCTCGACGATGAGTGGCGATGATGGAACAAGTGGCAGAAAAGCAAGAGCAAGCGCGTCTCTGGCACGTTGTCAACGAGCGCTAACACGTCTGTGGCGGTCGAACCATTGTTCGGCCACTGGCACATGGGAAACGTGTTCCGTTGTCATGTGAGGGTCTGAGAAAAGCCATCTGGCGAGCAATCACGATAAAAGTTGGTCTCTACAAACGGAGGACATCGTAGATGAACATAATCATTCGATACAAATTCTACTTCGACCCTTCGCCTTGGACTCTCGGTCTGATCATCGCCTCCCTTCACGAGCGGCGTGGTGACATCGCCTCTCTTTCCCTCTTCCTGTCCTCCAGCGCTCTTTTGGATTGCTCGCGGGACTAACATACGCGTTTTGTCATGACCTTCAGGGTCTCGAGACAGGCAGCAAGCTCCTCGGCATCACCTTCGTTGTCATCTCGGGACGAGGGGCTGGGTATGGTACCGGAAGATGCCAAGGTCTCTGACGTGGACGAGATGACCGAGCGTGGCGAGCGACGGCCTGGGTCGAAAGTGCATTGTAGGCGCAGAGGATGCCCTCGAGTCTCTCCAGCCTTTGGCGAATGCCCACGATCATCACCTTCATCCAAGTGCTCTGAGCCTCCTTCGAAAGAGTTGACAGCAGGTGGTACTCCTCGTCATTCTCTTCCATAGCGCTGGGAGCGAGTCCCGCGCCGCACAAAGTAGGCGAAGAGTCGTCCGAGTCTGAGCTTCTGGTGGTGTTGATTACTTGCAGCTTATGCTGAATAGGCGCAACAGGGCCTTCGTCAGAATAGCTCGCAGAGGAATGTGACAGGCTCTGTGAATGCAGACCAGTCATTATTGACTCGGGGAGGTCCACAATGTGCACGGATGACCCACCCATATAGGCTGAAGTTCTCAATGTTCGTGCCACGGCAAGACTCTTGATTATTATGTTAAAGCTAGCATCTATTGAACTGACCACTGCACAGCTGCATACAAAAAAAGGAAACTTAACACATAACGGTACGTTGCAGGCGATCCGGGAACCTATACATCGATAATGCCTCTGCCCATCTTCTACAACATTCAAACGCGCCGCATGACAATGCGTTGTAATCAAGCCCATCTAACTGGCAGTAGTGTCGGACCTCATGTTGGGATCGCAGCTCGTTTCGTAGATGATGACTCTGTCAAAGGCAGCATTGGTGGGGATACATGTTGGTGAGGATCGAGCCTGCGGTCGCCTCACCCGCGGACTTTCTGGATGGACTAGCTGCCCGCTCTCCCGTGCTCGCATATGGGACTTCCGGGACTGGTGGTCATGTGCGCTCCCTTCGCAACAAGTACTGCAGCAACGACGACGACGCCTGGTCATCATGGGCTGATGAGGTTGGAGGCCGGTGAAGAATATGTTCTGCGGGCAGCACGCCGACTCGACATAGAGCACCTTGCCCAGGTCTCCGAGAGAGTCTATGGAGGCCTTCTTGGAGAGCCCTAGAGTACGTGTCCTGGAGGGAGCGGAGCGTGTGGCTGCCCTTCGCCGTGCCCTGTCTTTAGTAGACGTTATGGGGATGACAGTGTCCTTTAGTGGGAGGTGAGCTGTCTGAATGCGTGTGCAGTGGATGGTTTGCTTACTGATGCTGAGGCCACTGTAGTCATTGTTCCTCCCTCGTGCAGGTCCGGTGCCCTTGACCATTGCTCATCTTCCTCGAGAATGTTGCGCAGGAGTGGCTCTGGGAGTGGTACTGATGACATCGCTGCGATCATTTCTTGCGGGTCTTCGATGGGAGGTGATAACCCGGCGGTTGGTTCCAGTGACTGTGCCACCCGTTAGCCATCCTGAAGACAAGCACCCTGCATGCTGCTTCACGTACCGGTGGAGTTAGGCCACTCGTCACCACCCTACGCCGAAAGTTGATGCGGACTGGGATGTGCTTCAGAGATGTTGCCGTGTTTCCGGTATGTAGCTGGGGTGCCGATCGCGCAAGGACTTCGACACGGCCGCTGTCACTCTGGACTATTTTGGTGAGCTTGTAACAAACGGTGAGCGTACAGGCTTTAACGGGTTTGTCGGTCGGCTCACTGATCGTCCGTCTCCATCCGTTTTTGCTTGTATACTCATAGATATGGTAGCAGACAGAGAGTTGTCTTGACGGGCGCCGACGCGGTATTGTGCCACACGTTGAATGGTTGTCCAAGTTCTGGTTAAGAAGCCAGTGATCATGGACATCGCGTGAGCGATCAAGTTGATATCGTGGATTGTGGGAACAGCGGTCAGTACAAATACTGGAGCACGCTGATTGTGAAAAGATATGCTTCTCTAATGAGAGAATCAGGCGAATGTGAAGTGCGGACGAAAACGCGAGTCAGGCAGTTTATAAGATGCGGTGCGAGTGGCTCATGGACGGATCTAATTGTTTATCTGGGCGCTAATACTACATTGGCCACAGCACAGCGGCCGTTGTTTCAAATTGGCTTCCTGCTGGCTCATATTTTAGGATCCGTACAGATTGCGCTCATGAACACATGTGTCAGTCTCATTTGAGATCGAGCTTGCCCCCAACGACATATTGAAGGACGTTGACGCGTATGGCTGCAACGATGTTCGTGGTGCTCCCGCCAGATTGTCGGAGGGATGTTGGCCCTCTCTGAAACCTAGAACATTACTTGGACGACGTCTTTGCGACGTCATGCAGGCCGAGCGTCAAGTTTTCATGCATTGAACACTGATGATTGATCGTTGATCCTGCCGTTGTCCAGTTTGCAGTGAGAGAACCAGTCGGAAATTCCGGCAGTTTTCTTTGTCGCTCATGAAGCGTGTGTGCATTGTCAGTCGGAGCTGATCCTAGCTTTGGTTGACTGACTCGAGGCATGATGCATGAAATGCAAGCTCTGAAGCATATATATGTAGTTTCACAGTTGCAACGCTTCGTAGATTTTCTCAGCGAATTACTCCACTGCACCCTGAGTGTAGTCGCATATATAAATGTACATTGCTCCAGTGAGAGCAATCAATGAGTGAACTATAACAATTTGAGCCACAGCAGCGATGCTAGTGTGCCGCATCCTAGCCACAGGCCTTGGGCTAGCGCGCCAACGCGTCGCGAGCGCCCGGTGAGAGAAAGACTTCCAAGTTCTTCACCTCCACTTCATGATAGCATTCCGCTCGACATGTGAAAGCTTTTCGCTGCGACGTTTCCGTCTCAGGTAGGTATCACACGCTTCCATTCAAGATATTAGCCCCAGGAGGCCGTACGGCCCGCCATGGAAAACAGAATCTAGGGCACCGTACTGTGATCCTGTCAGCATTCGGTCTCCTCATTGACTCAACAGAACATGTTCGCAAGCATAATAAGAAAAAATTGCGCTGGAGTACGAGAAGAGAAGGGGTCAGTACCGTCGTTGATAAGTCCTGTTTCCGTCCCTTAAGGTATTGGGTCTTGATAGATTCCTCCATCCTCTCATCCGCAGGAGAACATTACGAGCAGGATATTGACATTACGAACAGAACAGCACGTTGTCCGCGTATCAGACGATGTCGGAAAGAGCATCGTATGGGTAGAATTCCTGGTCCTCGCCTTCGCCGCTCGGCTTGTGAATATCATTCCAAGGTTCTGTCATCTGGTATGGGTGGAAGGTAGACGAGCAGATTAGAGCAGCTCAGGGGTTCCACGATGGTGCGCACCTTCACAGGCGATTTTGGAGCTATGGCATTCATTGTCGAGTGTGCTCCGCAGGTCGCCGACTACGTCCGGACATTGATCACCCCCGCGTCAATATTCTATTCCGCTCAGCACTCAAAATGAGACGCACCTGTGTCTGACGTGTTACTACGACCATGCCTGCTGTATCCTGGTATCCCCAGTCCCCGTGAAGGATCTGTTCAAAGTCCTCGCGAGGAGGCATAGGTCGTGGCATCTTGAGTTCGACCGTCTGCGTTTCTAATGCAACCGGACCCTCAGAGGACTCGGAACCACTCGCTCGCGTCTGCGAAAATGTAAACAAAGCAATCTTGGAAGAGTAATCGTGGAACTTGCGACCGTGTCCCGGCTCGCATGGACTCCGTGCTCGTTGGTCCATCTACGCCACTCCTGGAACCACTCTTCATACAAACGTAGACATGGCTCAAGCCACGGTGGCACCTGTGGTAACTGGGAAGCATTTCATCCGGTGAAATTTGGTAATAGACGGTAAGCATACAGAATGCCACGGACATTGTCAAGCCGGCTAACTCACCGATCCACTGTTCATGACCGTGCCACTTTGTACGCTTGCAGAGTTTTCGATGACGCCTACTTCGTTTGCGTTCGTATAAGTTCTGTCTTCGGGGAAATCCTCTGGCGACCGGTTGAATGGCCGAAAGGATCGAAGCTCTATCCAGATTGCCTTTAACATCGCGGTGGCCGGAGGTTGATAATGGTTGTTCGGCCAGGTGAATGTGGCGCGCGGCGCGCCGACGAGAAGGATGGGCTGGTAGCGATGGAGGCACGCGATCTTTTTATCAGTCAATGAGGCACTCGTTCGCGGCAAACGCTATCCGTCGGTGTGGAACGAAATGACCGCAGTTTATCGTTGAGGGAATGGCTGAAGTAGAAAAAGAACGAACGCAGTGCCACCCGGACACGTTGTTTCCTGGCGCCTACGCGCTTGTGGCGGCGGTGCCACATTTTGGCCGAGCAGGCCAGATTTCAGGGCCATAATGTATTCTGACTGGAGGAGCTTCAAGTCGGTAGGCCTATTCGCCCTCATTACATTCGATCGAGCTCATTTGAGCAATTTACAGCTAGTACACGAACATTCTTGCTATCGATTTCACGTCTCGAGACACACCAGAGTCGGCGTTGCCCACATTATCCTGGTGAAATCTATGCGACATCGTCGTTCGATGGCCCCTCAAAGTCGTCCCCAAGCAGACCTTTGATCTCTCGATACAAAGACTTGATTCTCAGCTCACTTTCTGCCAATTCCTTTGTGCACGACGCACATCGTTCGAGCGGTGATCCTGGGCCTCGAACATGAGTTTCGACGATACCGGCGACGTCCTCTTCGTCACCATCGGAAAGGGACGTCGCTGCTGTGGAGATGTTGCCAGCGGACTTGTTGATCCTCTGCATGTCCAGCTCCCAACGAGCGGTCCTGTTTAACTCAGACGTATTGCGCAATTCTTGGAGCTCTCGAGCAAATCTTGCATTCGGAGCTGGGGGCATCTACCGAAGGAAGGAAGAAGTTCATCCACTGTAATTGGCAGCAGAATTCGGGCATGATGCTTACCGTCTCTTCCAGCTGGCCAGCAGAAGAATTTTCCTTTGGTGCAGGAATGGCCATCTCTTCATGATTACGTGTCGTCTGAAGACGTTCGTCAACTATACGCCTTGGACACAGCACTTAGTTCACCACATACCTCAGGCTGGCTCAAGACGGCTACTGCCGTGTTCCCCTTCGAAGTCGGCACCTCTTGGAGACCCCAGCTACCTTCAAGGATGGTATTGTAGCATTCACGAGGCCTGGTGGCCGTGGGCATGTACAACGGGACCGTTCGCAGGGGCATCTCCCTCCACGTAGCGCCAACCCATCCTTCCTATCGACAACGAAATAAGATTAGCGTGGCTCCACGCTCTGCGGATACCACATACCGTCTGGTACCACCTCACGTAGTTGTCGTCATCGTCGACCTCGCTCGCCCATGCCCAGTACCGATCTCCCAGGTACCAGTCCCTCTTCCACTCCTCTGGGACGGTTTCCATCCATGCCAAATGCGCCCACTCGTCGTCTTTTGGCTGGGTCGTATAGGTAAGCATGCATAATAACATGACACCATCAACCTGGCTAACGTACCGCTCCGTTGTTGTCGTACATGTAATCGTGTGTGCTTGCAGTGCCCTCATCGTCGCTGAAGTCTTCGATATCCGCAAAAGACTCGATGTAATCAGAGCTGTCCCAGGAATCTGGCGAATCAGGTGGCTCGAAGTGCCTCTCAACGACGTGATCGTTCATGGATTTGTAGCAGTTCACGCAGCCGCGCGGCTTGTGGCGAGATGATACAGTGTCACAGTGAGGTCCAGAGCAATGTGGAAGCAAGTTGATCGCAGATGACTGTGGAGAGCGAAACAGATACGAGCAGTACTACCAAGGCGGCTTTTTAAGGTCCCGATAATGAGTGGCCAAGATGGAACAAGTGGCACACAAGCAAGAGCAAGCGGACGCATGGCACGTTGTCAACGGGCGCTAACGCGTCTGTGGCGATTGAACCACCGTTCATGCACGGGCACATGGGAGACGCGCCCCGTTGTCATGCAAGGGTCTGACAAAAAAACGATCTGTTTCAAGCAAACACAATAACGATTCGTCTACATAAACGCAGGACAATGTAGATGAAAATGACTGTTCGATGCACATTCTGCTTCGAGCCCTTCGCCCTGGACTCCCGCTCTAGTCGTTACCTCTCCTCACAAGCAGCGCGATAAAATTGCCTCCCTTTCCTTCTTCCGCTCCTCCAATGCCTTTTTGGACTGTTCGCGGGAATGATGTACGCGTTTCGTCATATCCTTCAGGGCCTCGAGACAGGCAGCAAGCTCCTCAGCATCATCTTCGTAGTCATCTCTGATGGAGGACGCGAAAGTGTCTGATGTGGACGCCATGGTCGAGCATGGTGAATCGCAGCTTGGGTCGAGAACTGCATTATAAGTGCGGAGGATATTCTCGAGCCTCTCCAGCCTTTGGCAAATGTCCGCGATCATCAGCTTCGTCCAAGTCCTCCGAGTCTCCTTCGGAAGAGTCGATAGCAGGTGGTACTCTTCGACGTCCTCCTCCATAATGCTGGGAGCGAGTTCGGCGCGGCACAAAGTAGGCGAAGAGGCGTCTGAGTCTGAGCTCTCCGTTGTGTTCACTATTCGCAGCTCATGCTGAACGGGGGCAGCAGGGCTTTCATCGGAATAGTTTGCGGAAGAATATAGGTGCTGTGAACGCAGACTGGTCATTATCAACCCGAGGTCCACGATGCACGGCTAACTGACCCATAGACTGAAGCTCTCCGTCTTACCGCTGCGGCATGACTGTTGGCCGTTGGTCGAATCCGTGGTCTTGTCTGCCGGGCATCCGCTTTCACCATTGACTTGCATCTCATGTATCTTCTCAATGGGAGGAAGAATGGGAGCAGCGAGATTACCATTGACCTATCGGCATGTCAGTCATGGTGTATAGTCGAAAGTTGGAGTGTGACTGACCAAGTTGTAGGATGCCACGGAGTCAAGAGAGTCTTCAACATCTCCTGCCCAGGACGATGCATCACCGTGGTGTTTGTCTAAGTACAGGAGATCCAAGTACTGAGCCGGTCAAAGGAAATGTAGATGGATACATTGCTCTGGTAAGCACAGTTATCATTACAAAGATGGCATCGGCTGACTTACGGATTCCTTGTCCTTCTTTGTATTGATAATTGTGCTAGTGAAAGCGGCCGTCTCGAAGTCGCCTTGATGGCCAGTGCCGTGGCCCGGTAGGTTGGGGTGGGGTTTCACTATCATAATTATGAAAGGAACCTTGCGCTTGAAGGCCGCTCGAGCCCGCTTCACGAAGCCTAGGATCATCTTGTGGTGGCCAGTCGCGAGTGTGGCGCTCTTATAGTGTCGATGAACTTGTTAATGGCGAGGTAGATATGCTGTTACGGACGCGTCTCAGACAAACGTAGATCAATGGCCAAAGAAAGACAAGCTGGACACTGTTCCTCTCGTGTGTTGTGGTTGAGAGCAAGTGGGGGTGGAGTGGCAGCGGACGTCGGAGTTGCCTCTATATTTGGGCGCTTATATAGTGGTCGCCGGCCAGATGCCACTGTCCAATTGGGGAAGTAGCCTTCGGTGCGAGTCGGTTAGAGCCTCTCAAAATGAAGAGAATTTCCGAAAAAAGCAGACAATGGCCAGAATGGTAGCACGCAAAGCTGCTGCTCTGTCGCTCCTTCGTCCAATACTCATATCCACAGGTGCAACTATAACGGTACTGCAATCCATTTCATCTCGTGCTTTGGCTTGTCGTTGTTCTTATATCGGCTGTACCTGCGATCACTTTTCGGCGAGCTAGTAAGGTAGCTCGCTGCAGAGTCGTTGACTTAAAAAGCACCTTAATGGTGGTGAGCAAGCGGACCCACGCGGGCGCTGACACGTCTGTGGCGGTTGAACCACCGTTCAGCCACTGGCACATGGAAGACGCGTCCCATTGTCGTGACAAAAAGCCATCTGGCTCAAGTAAACACAATAACAATCAGTCTTTATAAACGCATGACAATGTAGATCAAAATAACCGTTCGATGCAAATTCCGCTTCGAGCCCTCCGCCTTAAACTTCCGCTCTAATCGTTTCCTCCCTTCACAGGCAGCCGATAAACTGCCTTTCTTTCCTTCTTCCTCTCCTCCAGCACCCTTTTGGATTGCTCGCAAGACTGATGTACATGTTTCGTCATATCCTTCAGTGCCTCGATACAGGTAGCAAGCTCCTCGGCATCATTTTCGCAGCCAACTCGGCGCGAGAGGCCGGACGTGGTACCAGAAAATAAAATGCCAAGATTCCTCACATAGACGAGGTGGCCGAGGATGACGAGCCGCAGTCTGGTCCGAGAATCGCATTGCGTGAAGAGGATGTTCTCGAACCTCTCCAGCTTTTGACGGATATCGGCGATCATTAGCTTCATCCAAGGGCTCCAGGCTTCTTTCGGAAGAGTCGCTGACAAGCGATACTCCTCAATGTCCTCTTCCATAGCGTGGTAGGAAGCTCGGTGCATCAGAAAGTAGGGGAAGAGGCATCCGAGTTTGAGCTTCTGGTGGCGTCCATTGCATCCTTTACCCGCAGCTCATGCTGAGCGGGCATAGCACGGAAATGAAACAACTGAACAGGCCGATGATGCTGTCCCCGCAATAATAGTGGAGGCATGATGGTTGCGTGCCCGTGAATCGACGAGCCCATAGCGTGGCGCTCATACATGGCTGCCGTATTCGAGTAGTTGCCGATCCAGGCGGGCAAGACACAACGGCTTACAGTAGCCTCCTTCGTAAACGGGTCGTCGGTGAGCAGCATCTCGTCGTCTGGCCTACCAGCGATAACGGGAACTCGTGGTGAAACCAGGAGGGCGATGCTGCGGCCACAGCAGAAAGCGACGAGGCAGGTGAGTCGGATGCTCCCGGGAGCGGCCCTTCAAGACTCTTGGGAAATACCATGCTGAGCGTGTGGCTCATCTCAAGCAGCGCGAGGAGTGAGACAAGGTGTTCCGTCTCCTCAAGGAGGCCGAAGGGGAGGCCGCGGTGGGGATGGCCGCCTTGAACCGCGTGAGCTTTGCCATCTGGGATAGGCGGACAGAGGCATGGAAGGCGTGGAGGAAGGAGGAAGGAGGAAGGAGGAGGCGGCTAAGATGCCGCAGATGTCGCCACGCCTGCTGCTGCTAAGGCAGGAGTCGGATGATCATGTTGAGAGTGAAGTCGTCAAGTGTCGCTATGAAGAGGATGGCCGTTGATTCTGAGCAGCCGTTGAAGGTCCGGAGGAGCGGGCCCTTGACGTCGACCGCGAGGCGTCCTATAGAACATCGCACTCAACTATGTTATCTCACCAGCAAGTATTAGATCGCTCACAATGTAAATATAAGCGCCTGGCCTGTTACCGAGATCTTCGAGGCGGTGGCATCCACGCGCGAGTGTGACCACCGCCACAGACGCGTTGGTCGTTGATCGTTGGTGTCCGCCACAACGTGTTCGACTCGCGTTATTTGGTTCCAGTGGCACTTCAACTTCCGACTCGAATATAAAGGCGGTCGTATCCCGGCTCTTCTGCTTACTCTTAATCAGCTCCGCCGCTCTTTTGCACCGCGCAGACTTTTGACTATAGAGTCTTCGTTTTTTGCCTCTGTTACTTAGGCCCTCCCCTGTCACTCAATTGCGCATACAACTGAGCCATGGCCACTTATCCTATGGAGTGCGACGATAACACCACGTTGGTGAACCCGGAAATCGATCACCGCAGGGTCGTGGCATCCCCAACCCAGTGGAGCGACGAGTCGGACTCGTGGTTCGATGATGAGCAAGGATTCGATGCAGAGACCTTTGCAAGTGCACAACACGAAACGTTCACGGACAGCGACTCGGTACGTCAGCTCGCCAATCAATGTCCGTTTCATCCTGTGCACTCACCAATACATAATACAGGATTCCGACAACACGGACTACTGTCGCCTGTGGAGGCGCATTAGCCCCACTCCGCCTGCCAACCTCGAACAACGGATTTTGGACTGGAAGAGCCGGACTGATGAGGAAGGGAATTATGTGAGCAGGTGCCTTGTGGTAAGTTTCTGTAGTGGGCACGCACTCTCAATGATTCTGATGATTCATGTCCTGTTAGACGAGCTGTACAAGGGTCTTCATGGACAGGTCCGGCAACCCCATGATGTACATGGACGGTTCGCATACTGTCCGGCTTATGATGCCCACGCCGATCCCGCCGCCAGAGTCATCCCATGCCTTACGGAAGGGACTGTGGGACTGTCATGTAGTGGATGGCCAAGTGGTTATCACACAGCACACTTCAGAGGAAGCAGGATCCCTGGGGCCTAAATATGTTGATGCGGAAAGTCTATCTAGAGTTTCTCGCATGAAGGCGTCCGACAGCAAAAGGGTGAGGCGGGTTCCTGTCGGACCAAGGCCTATGAGGAGGCAATCCACTTTGGTGAGTCTTACATGCTGTTTTGGACGTCCTGGCAATTACTTACCGCATGCTTTAACTCTTCTCTGCTCATGTCACCGATCGTGACCCAGGGTATGTGCTCCAAAACCTCTGCTACACAGGAAGAATACAGCATGGCCGCCGTGGCTCACCTGAAGGAAGCATCGGAGTCTATGTGCAACAGTGCTGCCGATCCCATCCTATGGTGCTCTGAACGTCAAGCGCTACCGCCGGCTGTCATGCAGTGGTGGTGAGTATAAGGCATCTGAGTAGAGGTCATTCGAGTTAGATGAAATAGTGATCTATTGTATTCTCCACGATAGAATCTCGTCTTGTTTGTGCGGGATGGTTGTACGTTCATCATCGTCATACGCGAATCAATCCCGCAGATCAGAGTCTTCAGCATCGCTTGCATGATTCCGACAGCTTCAGCTGCACTGATGAAGATGAAGTGTATGCGGTAAATCTGAGACAATCGATGAAGTAGCAGCGAAGACAGATCTAGACAAACAAGTCGCACCTCTGAGCGGCGTGCGCACCGTAGTAGCTATAGCAGGACCCCGAAAATAGTCACCAACGTTTTGAGTCGATCCTTGGATCGTTTTGGAGTAATTTTGGAATAAAACGTGCACAATTTTGCGCTCTTTTGATCATTGTCAAAACTTGATGCTCAGAAAGCATCCGACATGGCCACTGGCCTGTGCAATGTGACTATCCTCTATTCAGTCCCCCCGATCCAACTCTTTCTGTAAAACACTCTAGCTGTGATAGATCCCGCGCCCTCAAGTCAGTCATACATTGGTGACCACAAGTACTCACGCTTTGAGCCTCCGATTGGCTCGTTAAAACAATGTCCTAAGCCGTCTGGCGATTTACATGCGGCGACGTAGATTGACGGGCTAATTTTGGGTGCTCATGGTGTCAGATCTGCGAGTATTTGAAAGATAGGTCCCCCCCACCAGCCAGTTGTGACCGTCTAATCGCGAAAGTTCGTGACAAATGTTGGCACCATCCCCAAAACCAGCTGCCGGATAGCCCGATCGGAAAGTTTTAAGTTCGTCATAAGTTCATAAGCCGTATGATCATCACAACGTTCAATTCGTTCTATCTCGTCGCTGCAGCATCGGGATATCTTACAAGCATACATGGCAGCCACAGTGAAAACTAATGGGTCAAGAATCGCTTCCTCGAGCCAAACGTCAATGGAGTCGCAATTATCGGCTTGCGGGGAGGCTCAAGCAGAGAAGGTAGAACTCATCGACACATTCAAGCTGATCATAAGCGATCACCCCAGACATGGGGCCATTTTTCTGCATGTAAAATGGAAAGAAAATGTGAATTAGTATTATAAAAATTGGGTATCTATTTGTCAAACCGGCAGATTGCTTTACACATTGGGCATTTGTAAATGATAATGGGATTATAAAATATGCTTAACCATATCGTAAGGGCAAATCTTATGTCTATTTCATGAATTTAACACAAGGATTTACACACACTACAATTAATGTCACAGATTTTGGATATATGATGGGCAACCACACTTTTGCATACTTTGTCTTTTAGAAGGCACTTTGGAACTTATTATCACACAGGATATGCATAGATGGCAGATTATGACTCATTATTTGCGCTCGTGACAAAGTACAGACGACTAACTACTGTCTCTTTAAGACATAGATCAGGTCATTATACGACACCGTGATCTCCACCGGCTGCAGACACGGCTTTTTCTTAGACCTCCAACGAGGCAGCTTCGCTTGAGGCGGCCGTAACACCCATGGCCCCTCGCCACCTGATACTACAAATGCCACTGTACCGGTATGTTCACCTGCGATGACCAGGGCATCATTGTTGATTTTGGGAGGGCATGTCTCGAACGACGTCGCAGGAAGTGTGTATCTTCGATAAAGCCCAC